GATCTCCTAAAAACGATCTGTCGTTTAATTTATCCAAATTATATTATTTCTTATAAAATAACCTGCTTAACTCCAGAATGCAATCGCATTCAAGCAAATAAATTTATTATTGGTCAAGATAATTCCTCATTTACGGCTATCAACTCCTAACACACTGCCTCATTGTTAACATCAAAGTATATTTATTTATGTACGCTTTAAATCATAGAGCACAGTTAAATAAATTAAAAGCTTTGAGATGTTTCTGTCTTTGTACTTCGAAATAAGGTATTTTACATTTTGGTTTATCCTGTGATCTGACTTCAGTGTGAACAAATGATCCAAAATGCGATAAAATTGACATTCCCTTCAATTTTCGTACACATCGAAAATCCCATTTCTGCGACAGCGGTAATAAAAAATCAGGTGAGGATTCAGTTAGATAAGCTTATTTCATGCAATCGTCGATGCAGACAGACATGAGAATACGAAGTGTAACTGGACATGTGAAATACATCTTTCCAGATATTCGGAGAGTTCTTTGTCCGAAATTTATCAACTTAGATATTTAACCTAATATGAGTTTAACTAACTTGATCTTCCTTCCAAACATGATAAATGCTTTCAAGTCTTTTGCACTCTATGATTTACTAAATAAAAGTCTAAGAAATATGTGTAATCCTAACGAAATAATAATCTCTCAATGATCATCCAAATGGAATAAACCTTTCAGTTTCAAGAAATCAAATATGCATACTTGTCAATCTGAAGCGGTCCGATTTCTCCCTTTCTAATGCATCAAATCCCAATTTAGTGGCTGTAATAAATTCGATGTAGAGCTGAGCACTTTTATTAACCCCTGATTTGACTTTAATATTTACGAACAGTTAAATATTCCATGCAAAAAAGCCTTGCTTACATTTTAGTACCTTATACTTGGGGTGAACCTCATTTGTACGACAGCGTCGATTAATAAACCAAATATGGTTTAGTGGATAAATTTTGTTTTACATAATTGTTTACACAGACAAACACAAGAATACAAAGCGCAACGGCAAAGCAAAGCGAATTGTAGAATGTGAGTGAGCCAAGCCCATGTGCTAAGGCATGACTAAGTATTTACAAGTCGAACGAAGTGTGAATACTGACTTAGGTAGATAAGCTTAATTAGTTTGTCCCAAAGTGCGGACAAGTCCTTCGGGCTCAACATATTGGTACATACACTAACTACACTGTCTAGTGTTTGCAGGTTTCTGATAATAAACTGTCCTACATATGTTCGGGATTTCAATCAAAGGAATAAGACATTTGTGGTGCGTGCTACTTATAAGTAGTATATGACGCGAGTGTAAACGTAATGTCTGGCAGCAGAAGATGGGGGGGGAAGATCAAGAAAGTAAGAAGAGTGGGAACACAATGGAATTTGTATGAAACGCATAAAAATAGTGAAATGTCAGACAATGGATTGATGATGGATTGAAGATTTGCAAATTAACGGTTACGATATGTTTTTCCTATTTTACTAAGTAACTCTGTAATTTTCGTTAAATACAATTCGGTTGTCCTCACCTGTGTTCTCCTTTACTACACACTATCTACAGCTCCTTTCCATTATCGAAAAAATATCATTTTTGGAAAAGGCTTAAACAACAGCCAAAGAGATAATAAACATTTGTTTCTGCATCATGTATGTATTTCTGCTGTTTATATCCCATCATAAAACTCAATTTGAACTAACTTTCTCAGGCAATAAAGATTACTGGGTCTGTGAAATTGTGATAAATGTTATTCTTAATACTTTTATTGACTGATTTTTTTCATATATAATACGTGCACCTTATGTTGAATACATTTTCACAGGTGTATTATGAAATAACTGTTCAAAATTAAAATAATTCCTTGTTTTAATGCAATGAATCTTCGAGAACAATAAAAAAAAATCAAATCAAATCATTTCAATTATTTTCTTTTAAAAAAATGATATTTTATCTGATCTAACTAATTTTTACAATCAATAAGTGATGCACATTTATTTAAGACCTAAATGAAATCATTATATAGAAATCTAGATGAATCATGAAAACAAATCTGAAACGGGCTTTATTTTCCTCATTACATTACAGTCAGTCAGTTCATCGCAACTTAGAACTTGATACGTACATACATCAGTTTAAATTATCATACCATATTTGAGATCATTAACCAATCATCATTGTTAGACCACCATTAGAAACCTGGAAGCACTGGACGGCCGTTTCGTCCTAGTATGGTACTCCTCAGCAGTGCGCATCCACGACTCCTGCTCCTCGCAGGATTCGAATCATACCATATTTGCTGAGAGAGATAAATATTGTTAAATCAAACTCCGAAGTAGTAGAGGTAATAGCAATCAGTATTAGTGAGAGTGAAAAAGATTCAGGATCGACAATTCAGTGGGAATTTCAATGAAAGGTCATGATGAATTCTGAAGCTTAGGATTTTAAGGGAGACAAAGAGTTAAAATGCGTCTGCCCCGTTGTAAACGATTCTGAGTCATGTCATTCAGAGATTCTAACTGCCGGATAAGATTTTCATGCGGATCCCAATCAGGTAGTTTAAACTTGTTAAGATATGAGCGAATTTGTAAAATTGGGTGTTATATTGGATTGTCTGTAAAATGAAACACTTCAAAAGTCTTTGTGATTTGAAAAAGTACCAAGGGAGCCGGAATTCTGACCGTCCACTTACCCGTTAATTCTGACTGCTTACTTAATAACTATCTCCTGTTACCCTTTGTGGAGCTTAGCTTGCCAACCAACCAACAATCTTCAACCGACTGTGTTCCATATTCATACAATTACATACAAGCCAATTTCATACCGACGGGTAGATGATAATCACAGTAATTTGTCTGAAACATGATGTTATCATATCAAAATTGAATGCACAGTTCGGGCGTCTAGGCACAGATGATAGTCATCTGAGTGGTCAATGGGGACTTGTTTGTCACAAGTTGGATGATGCCAATCGCCTACTTCACTTTTAGACTGACTGCAACCTGTTTCTTGTTAGCACTAACCATTGGTACAGTCATCGACGATGTGTTACCTGGCATCTTCCTTCTGCTTCTCAAGCCTGGACTCAGACTGACCACATCACGATCATCTACTGCTAGCATGATTATGCACGAGATTGCGGCTTCTTCCGGAGTACTTATCTGGATTCTGATCATTCGTTAACTTCCACAATAAAAGAAAATCGCTACTTGGTCAATTAGTACAAAGTTCACGTGACGATCGAGAAACCTGGTAGTCAGAGTGTAGCTGTATTTGGTAACTGCTGGAAGCTCTTTTTACTCAACCAAGCCACTAGCAGTAAGAAAGCTAGTAACAATATGTTAAGCTAATCTGATGCCAATTATTAACATCCACCGACATTTTGAACGATGGACAGTTTTCCAATTAGTTGTTCAACTGGTCTGTTCCCGAGAGGATATCAGTCAGACTTCTATGTTCTCCATAGAAGCCAATCTTGTATTTTTCTGAAAAAGCAACATGACTTTGTAGAACAAACAGAATACAGCCAACAGTCTTATTCAGGATTCGCGTGTCGTCCCATTTAGAACTTGTCAGTTAAATGTACCTGAATGTAGGACGTTTGGACCCACTACCCGCCACTTCAAATACCCATCTAGTGTAGCAGTTTTCTGAAGACAATCTCCACAGGACGTACAAATGTAAATTAAAGTCAACTTAAATCCCATTTAAAATATCAATAGCAGTATAATCGGAAAAAAAATTGGATTATGAATTTAATGATTGTACTTGTAGTGAATTGATCTTGTTCGGTTTATTGTTGAAAACCAGGAAGCAATAGTATGGAATTTCTTAAGATTGAGAACCTACAATCCTATCAGGAGTCAGATTGATGATCCTATAGTGCCACGATGAGCTTCTATCTAATAAAACCATTCCATCAGCGATCAATGATATAGTTTCAAGGTGGATTAATTTGTATTCTGTCAAAACAATCACTGAATGTCATTAGTGACAACTGTTTTACTCCTCCTAACATGTTTGAACTTTACCAGACACAACTTTTCACAATAAAACTTCACAAACTAAATTCAAGAACTAAAGAAAAATTATTTACTTACTTATAAAATACACTAACGAATTGTCTAAAAAAAAAATCAACAATAACCTTATTCGATCACGTAATCATAATGTCATGCATGAATCGATCTAATTAAGGGTACCATTAGAAAACTGGAAGCACTGGATGGCCGTTTCATTCTAGTGTGAGACTCATGACTTCTGCTACATGAAGGATTCAATCCCACGATCTACTGTCTTGCCCGCGAACGCCTTTAGTGCCTCCACATATATTTGAATTCGCTTACATTTAATTTGGTCAAGCCTTTCGATTAATTTATTTAACCAAGCCATTTGTATAAAAATAACTTATATGTACCATCGGCTTTTATTATTGTTTGATTTGTATGAGCTTGTGCGACTGAGCATTGCTTACGCCTACGCGCTTAAATGTTAATCTCTTAATGTCCCTATGGACTTACATGACTTGTCTCGCTTCATTTGACCTTATCAATCATTCATCGCTTTCATTCATGTGTGTGCATACCTATTTCGCTCCACATCTCTCCCTTCGCCCATTCGTTCGCATTGTAATCCTGAGTGTTGGCTCAACAGCCTTCTTCAATTCACGTCGCTTCATTTGCTTCTCCGATTCGCTTTGTGGTGTGTCCCGAAAATAAACGTATTCAACACTTCCAGTTCACCTTCTGATTTAAAAACCGTCAGACACTAGTTAGTAACCATTGTCTAGACGAGCTAATAACACGCAGTAAATCGACACACTACACGCTTAATCTCTGGATTACTGGGACGGCCATCTAAAGGGTGTCAATATCGAACTTCGATCAATCCACATTCCGACGCTCAACAATCGCCCACAACCCTCATAATGCAATAAACACGATGTGTAGAAGTGAAAGAAAAAAGTTATTGATTTTTTGCTTTTATTTTAAAGAGAATAAAATGATAATTTTCCAAAACGAATTAAAACATAAATATTTTTTCTGAAAAAATTTTTTAGGCAATCACTTTTAATTATAACTTTTTCTTCATAGAACTGACATTCTTCTCTTGTTTTTTTGATAAATTTGATAATGATTTTGTATGTGATGAATTGCTTATTGGCGTTTTTTCAAGAAAACCCTTTCTTCTCGATGAAGAACTACCAGCACCAATCGACTTTGTAGAGAGATTTTGAGCTTCGCCTAAACCAATTGGTTTGTTGTTGTGATGATGATGATTCATGGGTGAAGAAGATGAAGAAGAATAGTACATTTTACTACTGCTAGTACTACTACTACTAGTAGTACTTGACGTTTCTCTATTGTTTTGTGATATTGATAAAGATTTTCCATGATTTGGTTTCAATTGTTCATCAACAGTGTGAAGAGGTTTTTTGGATTTTATTTGGGTGGAATGGATTTCTATAGAAAAAAAAATAATATTTTTGAAAATAAAAGTGTAGTTAACATTGGTACAATTCGACTTAGAGTCTAATAATCAATCAGTTTCATGTAAGACAAGGATGAAATATTAATATGTATGTATACAAACTAAATTTTGATTGACACATCTATATACTACTTTAATTATATATAAGTAGTATAATGTGAATATAAAGTTTAAAAGACAGAGGTTCTCTCCTATTAATTAATTTGAATTAGGAAAAAAATTCGAAATTTAATTTTGATGAATAATTTTTATATTTTATTTAACTTGTAAGCATAACTGAACAAAAATGTTGAGTTAACAAATTACAGTTGATTAGTCAGTCATGTAAGAACTTTATTTAGTTTTCAGTTATTGATCGCTTAGTGATGTGTCTAGATTGAGATTTTTAATTTATTGTATGTTGCAGACTTATGTGTGATGTGAATATTTTCAAGTGAGCTCTATAAATCCTAGCAATAAAAATGTGTTGGGGATGTTAGATCCTCAGAGCTCACTGAGAAAAAGAAATCCTAATTTTGTAATTTTATTTTTTCGAGCCAAAGACGCTTATTTTGACTTTCAGCTTGTATTTCCCACTCTGGAAATCCTTGACTATCATTGGTTGATGTGTTATTTTAGTGCACTATTTTGTGGCTTTCAACAAGGGCGTTTTATCATTGTATAAATAAGCTTGGGTTGTGTTGTATACTTGTGGATGTCGTATTTCCTGGATGCCTGTGGAGTACACATTCTGTTCGTGTTATCAAGACTTCTTCCTCTAGTTAGTGGAGACTGAGACGATTGGATTAAAGTAGCCAATCGTGTTGCAGATCTTCATTCCATTTACCGAGTAAGGTGAACTCGTAATAGCTGAAAACTTACCAAAAAGGATAGTTCGGATTGAGTTTTCTGATATCTATAGTAATATCTATCTATATATCTAGAGTAATGTAGCTACTAATATTTATTGTCCCTACTGCTACTGTTAAGCCTTTTACCGAAGTAGTATTTATTGAATGATGGAAGGAATTTGTGGATATTGTACTATTATCATGGTTAAAATCAAAAATTTATATAGACCAGATCATTATCAGAAACCTGGACACACTAGGCAGTGTAGTGTGTGTACTGATATGTTGAGCCCATAGGGCTTCTCCTCATTTCCGGATAAGCTAATTAACCTTTTCTGCCCGACTCATTATTCACTGGTCTTTTCAACCTTGCCAATTATTCGCTTTAATCTTGGTTGTTTCTGCTTGAGTTTGTGTGTACACATGCTTACTTCGCTTTTTACATGCCCAGCCTATTATGGCCTAACTAGAAATACTTAGTCATGCCTTATGGTGTTGTGTTGGCTTACTTGCCTTTGCACTTTGTATTATCATGTCTGTCTCTACATGAACAATTACTTAAAATAAATGCGTCCAACCGAATTCGTCTTTGGTTTTTTGTACACACCGTCGTCGCACAAACTGAATTCGCCTAGGTATGATATAGAGATTTAAAGGGAAATTTCATTTCATAGCATAAACAAGTATTCATCCGAAAACGAGTGAGATTTACAGGTTACTACTATAAAGTGGCGAGCTCTTACTTCGAATTTAACATGGCCACTAAAAATAGGGGGTATACTATACAATAAACAAATAAGAAATGAAAACTCATCAGATTATTTGGTTGGAATTACATAATTTTCAGAGACTATTACGTAATAAATCTTTGGGTGCGAAGACTGGATCATAAATGATTTTAGAGTATTATTCACGTATGGTCGGAAGATCAAGTTAGTATTACTAAAATTAGGTTAATCATTTTATGCCTAAATAATAAGTTGATAAATATCGGAAATAAAGTGTTAGCTCCGCTCTTGAAATTACTTTACCGCCGAAAACGGAAATCCGTGGGGCAGGGTGAGGTGCAACGTTGTTATGGTCAACCTTTTCTAACCCCATCGTTCCTTCTGAGAAGGCAGGTTGTCCGAGGAAAACACCTTACTGTTGTCACACCTATCCACAGTCAGCAGTAGGACTTCACCCTCAGACATTGCGTTCGTCAACGAAACAATGCCTCCCGATGTCTTTTCTAGTAAAGCTACGTTTCCAACATTTGAAATTATTTATTCCGATGTAGGATTGTTAAAGGTAATCTACAGAAAATCTTGACTGACCCAAGTTTTCTGCTAGTTGGTACTCATTACCAAGATATGCTAACAACCATGAGGAAACTGTCGGTCACAGCTTTAGAGTTTGATACGTTACCAATAAGCTTTTCGGGCCATGATTAGGCGCCTGCAGGACTGAGATAATTATAACTGATTGACTAGAAGTGGTCGCATTACAATTTTATCAAAACACTTTGGTTGGCATTAAAGTGCTTGATAAATATGACATTAAGGATCGACCATTTGTTACTTATCTTGTTAATTCATGTCCTACTATCACCGAGCGTATATGAGGTATAGCAACTTGGATCCTATGTGCTATCAATCATTGAGTCTTAAGTGTACTGTTTCCAGATAAAAAATTACAAATATACATCTTCCTATTTCATTTTAGAAATCAGTAACTGCTGTCGTATTGTGAATATGATTTCGTGCAAAGATTTTGATGTCAATCAATGACATACTTCCATAGTATACAACGAAAACTGGCGAAATCACGATGACAAAAAAGGAACAGAAACAAGCAGGGTGATAAGTAATAATTGAGCCAACCTCTCTATATTATGTTAACCGTTCGAGATATCATAGTTTATATCAACGGCTGATGTTATTGGGATGATTATTAAAATTCAGGAAGCAATGGACAGTAGGTTGTTGAAGTAGGTGGCTCCATTAGGGATCGAACAAAGCGCCCTCACGATCTACGACAAGCGCTTAAACTATAAATCACTGAGTCTATGAAACTATGAAAATTAGAACTCTCGTCAAAGTTCTATGACAAAAAAATGATATATTTTGCTGAGAAACATTGATACGGTTTCTGACACTTGGAAAATCATCTATGGTTTTTCTTCTTAAATCTGAAATGATTAATTACTCGCAGAGTTTAAGCTTACACACGTCAAACCTTTCGAAACATTTTGGTCACGTTAGTACATAACAATGTTTGAATGACGCAAGATACTACTGAAAAGAGACAAGTAGTCAAAAGATAGTGACATCATTTGACGACCTTAGGAAGTGATGGAAAGAGTGGCTCGGTAATCAGATCACTTCAAAATGAAGTCGAGTCAAGATTATTTGTATTGGTTAAGTATCTGTAGTCAATCCAACTACAGTTCCTTCTGCGTAAACAGTATGATTCACAGTTAAACTAAGGGGAACCAAACTCTGTTTGTTTTCACTTGAATAACATACTTACTGACGCCTAGTTCTTTATTTCCAAAACTTTCTTTTAGTTTATCGATAGGTAATATTGTTACTTTTCTTTGTGCAGTGCATTTCTCGAACAGCCCTGGCGAGCACTTCACATCATAAATAGAGTAATACAGTCATTTTCAAGACACCTAACGTGAATAGCCGTTTACATTGTGAGATGACATAAACTGGCAAATTAATGACACATTTCAGAAGTGCTGGACAGTTACTTCATCCACATACCGAAACGACTACTGAATTACTAATAAGAAGTGTGCAACCTGACAACAGTCTCAGTTGTAGTAGAAGGAACTAGATATGGACAGTCCAATTCAATAAATAAAAGCAGGAATTCGAGGAATAAAGAACCATAAAATACAATTTAATCACAACCAAGATTACACGTGAATGGATCCGCTTGATTGCAACACATTCTGAGCTATGTCGCATCTAACATGACTAACCGTTAGTTAAGATAATAATACGGGTCTTATCATGTTGAGCTCACCACTTTAATGGCCTACGATCTGACTCTCATATTTACAAATGATCGAGCACGCGATGAAATAAATTTTCCCTTCAATTTCCGTAAATCATACTTAAGCTAAACACGTTTGTGCGACGGCGGTAATAAGAAGTCATATACGGTTTTGTGAATGAATTTATTTCATACAACTTTCGACGCAGACAGAATAAGGAGCGTACAAGCAAAGCAAACTGAAGTGGAGAAGGCGAGTGAGCTAACTGCATGTAATGAGGCATGACACTAAGTATTTACAGCCAGACAAAAATAAGTCAGACATGTGACAAGCGTAGTAAGCATATGTACACACAAAATCAAGCCGTAACAACCAAGATCGAGGCGATTAATTGGCAAGGTCGAAAGACGAGTGAATAATGAATCGAGGAGAAAAGGTTAATTAGTTTGTCTCAAAATTGAGGACAAGCCCTGTGCGCTCGACACACATGTACTTTTTATTCTCTGTGTTCTCTCAAATCCTAATCATCTGGATTCTTCAACCCCTCTAGTTTTGACTTTCTAAACTTTTCTCACTGAATCATACTTCTTGAATAATATCTTCTAATCCCAACCTCTCCGATTACTTCTAATACCCTTACTACCTCTTCTACTATTGGATTTGAATTGACAATTACATCTCTGTGCTGATGTAGTATGGCGACATGAACTGATGTACTTACGTACGAAGTTCTACGTTGCATCTGACTGACTGACTGACTGACACATGTACTTACTTACTTACTTACGCTTGTTACCCACAATAGAGGATAGGTCACCGACCCGCATTCTCCAACCAACGCTGTCCTGGGCTTCCCTCTCCAGTTCTGTCCAATGTTTGTTCATTCTTCTCACATCTTTCTCTATTTCTCGGCGTAATGTGTTCTTTGGCCTTCCTCTTTTGCTTTTGCCTTGAGGGTTCCATGTGAGGGCTTGTTTCGTGACTCAGTTAGGTGCTTTCCGCAATGTGTGTCCTATCCAATTCCACCGCTTATTACTGATTTCCTCCTCCATTGCAATCTGACTTGTTCTCTCCCACAGTTCGTTGTTGCTGATGGTGTCTGACCAACGAATACGAAGTATTATGCTTAGACAACTGTTAAAAAACACTTGTATCTTCTGGATGATGGCTTTGGTAGTTCTCCAAGTTTCCGCTGCATACAGTAGAACTCTGTTGACATTTGTATTGAAAATCCTGATTTTAGTTTTGGTTGAAAGTTACACCACACGTGTAGCAGTCTATAACATAATATTTATAAGAATACTGTAGGTTTTCCGAAATTAATTTCCTCTACCATATATATAGAGAAACACAGGTATTTTTAAGCTGAACCTATCAATTTTGTCAAACACTTAAATTTTACAGCAAAAAACAATATTTTGAACAGAAACAAAATAGAACATGAAAATCAATATAACCAATCATCGCGTAGTACAGTGATGTCTGAAACATTACCAAATCCATTTAGAATAAAAAACCAACCTAATACTAATATTGGTCACTACTATAGAAGCTTAAATAAACAATCTTTTTTATATATTACATCAACAATCAATACAGACATTGAACAACACAGAAGATTGTGAAACAGTTTATCTTATCTGATCACAATAAATAAAAAAAAATCAGTCAATGTGTTTTGGGGATGCTGTGTATTGGTATTGATGTGGAGTTGAACAACTAATTTAAAAAATCAATAAACTTTTGTATTCAAACATTTTACATGGGAAAAAAAACTATTTTTTTAATCTTATTATTGATATTTCCATAGTTTGAAAAACGTAAACTTACTTAAAGTTGCTTTTTACTTGACTTCAATTTTAAACTACTTCGACGATAATATTACGATCAAAAATTCAAAATTATTGAACATTTTAACTTATTAGCCGACGGACCAACTTTATGTTTTACTTGGAGTCAGTCAGTTAGTTAGTTAGTGACAACGTAGAAGTTCGTACGTACGTACGTACATTAGTTCAGGTCGGCAAATCACATTAGTACAGAGATGCAATTGTCAGTTCGAAACAATTGGGGTAGATGTAATAGAAATAATAGCGGTAATAAAGAAGGTCAGGTTTCGGAGACATGATTCAAGAAGTATAATCCAGTGAAATTTTTGCAAATAACAAAATAAAGGTAGTGAGGAATTCAAAATACTAGAATATGAGTGGACACAAAGAATGGATGCACCTGCATCATCGCAGAGGACTTGGAGCCATGTCGTTCATGGTCTTCAAACGTCGGTTGCTATCGTCCAGCGGACCCCAATCGAGTAGTCTACACTTATCAAAACGATTCAGTCCACTTGTCAGAGACTTCATGGATTTGCTCTATATTTTGGTTTGGCTGCCCCTAGCCTTCTTCTAATGAAAACATAGCTCATCGAGGCAGTAAGTGGTTTGGCATTCGTACCATATGTCCCAACCACTTCAACTGATAAAGATGCGGTTCGTCATTAGTTAATTTGACGTCCTTACATAGTACCTATTTCCTAACAACAGCATTGCTCACTTGGTTTTCCCGGTATATACGGGCAATGCTTCGGAGATATTAGTAGCCTACGAATATCCTCTACTCTTGTTGGCCATGTTTCACAGCCATAAAATGGGACGGAGCGAAATACTGCGCAGTACACTCGTCCTTTGGTTGGTAGACGGATATCTCGCTTTCGCTACAGGTTACGAGCCTTCTATATCCATGCTGAGATTTCGTCAGTCACCAGGCCATCAGCACTGATGAGAATCCCAATATAAGTGAGGCGGTTGTACCTAAAAGTTGGTTAAATATAGTTATTTGGTGTTAAACCAATGAATCCCAGCTATAATATATTGATTTCTAATTATTGCCTCAGTGGTATTAGTCTGAGCCTGAATGCAGTATACTAATGATGAAAATTGACTTCATATTATTAAATTTCTTGGTTTCTGATAAACGTTAAGCTAACTGACAAACTTCCATGAGTAATATAGATCGGAAAAATAAACACTAGTAATTGGTCTGTGACCAATCCATGTCGAAATGCAGAGTCTTCTGACTATCCTAAGCAACAATGCAAGCATGTTCGGGATGAGGTTCTCATCATCCAAATGCAAAATGTTGCTTCAAGATTGGCATGCGACGGCACCTGCAGTAGTGATAGGGAGTAAAGCGTGTAAACCGCTTCAATTATCTGGGGAGTCTCATCAGTCCTGATGGCCTGGTGACTAATGAAATCTCGTCACGGATAAAGAAGGCTCGATTGTCTTTCGCCAGTTTGCATCACTTATGGCGTAGGTGAGATATTTGTTCGCTAACTAAAACAAGAGTGTGCTGTGCAGCATTCCACTCGGTCCTACTATATGGATGCGAAACATGGCCATTAAGAGTAGAAGACATTCGTAGGTTATCCGTATTCGATTATAGATGTCTTCAGAGCATTGCTCGTGTATCCTGGGACAATCGAGTAAGCAATGCTATAGTTAGGAAACGAGTACTAGGTAGGGATGGCAGATCAATAGATGAAGTAGGTGAACTTAATCCGTTGAGGTGGTTGGGAAATGTGTTACGAATGCCCAACCACCGATTGCCTCGTTGAGCTATATTTTACGATGCAGGAGTAGGTTGGAAGAAAGTTAGGGGCGGTCAAACAAAAACAAATTTAAGTAGTCACTGTGTAAAAAACAATCACTAACTAACTTGATGAACTAGATTTGGATACATCTCCTTGTGCAATAGTGCTATGAGAGTTCAATGATGTTTTTGAATTTTCCTTTACTTGATCACATGAATTGTCGGATTTCTCTGTTTGATCTTCTGTTGCTAACATCAATGAACCATTACCAATTAGGCATAAAATCTAAAGTATGCATCGACAACAATTTATGCATGAAAGAAAATTGTATTATTTGAATAATGAATGGATAACTCTAAAAAGAAGCTCTATGACTAATGTAACTTATTTCTCAAATATAGATCCTTTTATTCTATAATGCAAATCACACTAGAGGTATGAAAGTTATTGATGTTATCCAATTGCTTAAGCCAAAATAATAGGAGAGAGATTTAAATCTGTGATCCATTGATGACAATTCGAACATTTCAAGAGCTTATCCTATTTAGAAAAAAGAGACAGTTAAATAATATTGGAAGTTTATTATACAGCTCGACTCTTTTAGTACAGTAGTGAAGGAGAACACAGTTGGGGCAACCGGACTACAGAGTTACTCAGTAAAATAGGAAAACAATATCGTAAATCGTTAATTTGCAAACTATCAGTCAACCATATCGAACTCGACTGTTCCTGTTGCAAAACATCAATCCATTGTCACTATTCATGCGTTTCATACACAAATTTCATTGTTTTCTAACTCTTTCTTTCTTGATCATCCCCCATCTTCTGCTGCCAGACATTACGTTGATACTCACGTCATATACTACTTATAAGCAGCTCACACCACAGTACTAATATGAGTTACTTAATGTGAATTATAAAAATAACTAACTATCGGATTCAGGAATTCCTAACACAATGAAAGTACGGCTGCGTATTCCTCAAGCCTAGTGGTGATAACGAGGCCTTATAGCACACTAAATGCTTACTAGATGGTCCAAATATTGAGTGTTAGTCTATTTGAAAAGTTATCACACGGCACAAATTACATACTCATGTGATAGATTAGTTCGCGTAGAGTTTGCCATCGACTTATTGTAACCATGTTGTTAGTGTGAAGAAAACTCAATTAAAACATTCAATGAAAATGTGTCAAGATGATCAAGTGACTGTTAAACGGCAGACGATGGATTGAAGTGTAATTGTAGTGAAGGAGCACACAGGTGAGGACAACCGAATTGTATTTAACGAAAATTACTTAGTTACTCAGTAAAATAGGAAAACCATATCATAAACGGTTAATTTGCAAATCTTCAATCCATCATCAATCCATTGTCTGACATTTCACTACTATTCATGCGTTTCATACAAATTCCATTGTGTTCCCACTCTTCCTCCTTTCTTGATCTTCCCCCCCCCATCTTCTGCTGCCAGACATTACATTGACACTTGCGTCATATACTACTTATAAGTAGCGCGCACCACATAATGATCGTACTTTATTTCAATCTTCTTTACTTTGCTGTGACTATTTTTCTACAGCATCGTTTGTTTATATAGCCTAATTTCTTCCCTGATTCAATTACTCACTACTACTCTGTGTATTTTTATGGTAATTATTCGCTTTTTCTCATTATATTATTTTACTGGGAAAATTGGAAACGTGCTGACTTAGATTGATACATATTTCTCCTAGAAATATATTTGTTTAGCTGTCTTTTTTTCTGTGGCTCTGCCTAAAAACAACACATATTGCACTATAACTTATATACAAGACTCTGAGTACAATCATACATTGACTAAAAAGTACAAAACAAATTGATCAGAAAGAAATAAAAGACATACTTGATGTTCAGAAATTAGATCCAATGGATAAGTGGAATGACAAAATTCACATGGAATCATTGAATTTGATTCCACATTATCCCTAAGATAAGAAATTGATAAAGTTTGAAAATTATTAATTTCGTCAAATTTGGCATGACATGATAGAGTTCGAAACTACTTACTTACGCCTGTTACCCCCAATCGAGCATAGTCCGCCCACCAATTTTCTCCAACCAACTCTGTCCTGGGCTTCCCTCTCCAGTTCTGTCCAATGTTTGTTCATTCCTCTCATATCTTTCTCTATTTCTCGGCGTAATGTGTTCCTTGGACTTCCTCTTTTGCTTTTGCCTTGAGGGTTCCAAATGAGGGCTTGTCTCGTGACGCAGTTAGGTGCTTCCCGCAATGTGTGTCCTATCCACTTCCACTGCTTCTTCCTGATTTCCTCCTTCACTGGAATCTGGTTTGTTCTCTCCAACAGTACGTTGTTGCTGATGGTGTCTGGCCAACGAATACGAAGTATTTTGCGAAGACAACTATCCATAAATACTTGTATCTTCCTGATGACGGCTTTAGTAGTTGTCCATGTTTCCGCTCCATACAGTAGAACTGTCTTGACATTTGTATTGAAAATCCTGATTTTGGTTTTGGTTGGAAGTTGTTTGAAGTTCCAGATAATTTTCAACTGTAGAATTGCAGTCCTTGCTCTGCCAATCCACGCCCTCACATCTGCATCGGATCCACCTCGATTATCGATGATGCTGCCCAGATATGTAAAGGTGTTAACGTCCTCCAAGGCATCTCCATCAAGAGTGATTTGTTTGGTGCGTGTTGTGTTGCATCGGAGAGTTTTGCTTTTTCCATTATGTATGTTGAGACCTACTGCTGCTGAGGCTGCTGCTACACTGGTCGTCTTCTCTTGCATTTGTTGTTGCGTGTGCGATAGGAGAGCCAGATCATCTGCGAAGTCCAGATCGTCCAGCTGCGTCCTAACTGTCCAGTTGATACCGTACTTCCCTCCAGATGCTGATGTCTTCATAATCCAGTCGATTGATGACCAGGAGAAAGAGAAAGGGTGAGAGTAAGCAACTTTGCCTGATACCGGTCTTCAAGAGTTCGAAATAAGCGGATGTAAAAGAAAAACTCTACTGGTTGATCGAATAAACTTGAACTGAGCCCTATAGGTGGGTGCAGACCTTCTGGTTATGTTATGGATGATTATCGTAGCCAATGGCTAGAGACTTTTGGGTGACATGACTTGAAATCATTTGCTATTGAGTCAGTATTCTATGTTTTACTCGACTGACTGACATTCCTGATGAGAATTGACAAATTGCACTGGTATCAACAACGATTATGAAACGCAATTTTCGTGAATTATGATAAAATATAATTCGATTTTTCGAATCATTAAAGTTTCACAATTGACTACTACGATAGTAAACTGATAGGAATGCTTACATTTATTCATAAGTGATCGTTTACTCACAAAATGTCTCACTTATGATCAGTACATTTTCTTTACATAGCGTGTACAACAAGTTGCAAAAATCAATGAGTCCATGTTGTTTACGCTTTCGAAAGCCTTATTAGTTCTTCCAAAAACGGACGTATTTTTATTAGTCCAGAGTGGAAAATCACAGCGTGTATAGAAATAGATTCTTAGTTCTTGAAAATTCACTATCTAAAAAATTTCTCACTGTACTGCCGTTAGTATGATTTTTCGGGTTTGCTTAAAAAATAGCTGAATGACATTAACTTATTAAATCGACTTTATAACTCAGTAAGGAATGTTCTAATGAAATGATGACGGGGTTATATCATGTGTCAATCAACCGATCATCATCGACATAAAGCCTGGTATAGATGTACATAGGATCAAGTTAGCTCAGTACATTAGTATTACGAGGTAAAAATAACAATTTGCAAGAGATAAAAATAACGTGGGAGCAATAATGACAAGAGAGATCAAACAATGGGAATATAGTTTGAAAAGATTGAATGGAGAGGTAAGTGAAGGTATATTCAACTCAAGACCGAAACGATGAAGAGAAAATGAATCGGCACGATTGTGAAGGATCCTGAGCTGTTATCTGATATCTTCAACTCCTAATCATGGTTGTCACATGAACACCAACCAAGTAGGCTGTTATCTACCAACATAGCTCAGAATAACCATCAATGAATTTATGGACTGATTGGACGTTCAAGTTTGGTTGTACATAGCTTTTTTGAATCTACCTCTGTACTAACAAGCGTCGATTGTCATGGTAGGTAATTTTTAGGCATACATAACACACCCTAACTGCTTCAGTTGATTTAAAACCTCATCAAATAAGTTGCCACCTTTGCTTTGTACCTTATCCCTACTATCAACACTACTTACTCGGTTATTTAACGAAATACGAGTAATGATTCGAATACAACTATGTAGCTCATGAATGCCTTTTACTTTTAAGACCATTTTCACAGCCATAAAGAGTTACAAAAAGACTGTTTTTGGGCAAAGAGATGCGTTTTCAAGCCTTCTGATGGTACATTCAAGTGAACAACGCAAGTAATCAGTTTCCATCATTACCTTAGTTATTGACAGAGACCAGTCCTGAAAAGAAATTTTGTATTTAAAAGAAAGGATTTGAGTTGTTACGCTGTTGGTATTGGATACAAAATTTTGGTCGGTTTTAGTAATTACCTCAAAACATAGAAATGCTTCAATAAAACAAGTGCAATAAATCTGAAAGAGTTAGCAGTTAATCGGGCTCAGCAGATAATGTGTTAGCGATTGAAATGAAAGGTACTAGATCCAAGTCAGAGTATGAATATAAACACTATAGAGTAGGTACATTGTGTTGATGAGTGGCAGACGGCAAAGCACTCATCTAGGGTTCACGTTTTAGCCGCAATTTGTCAATTACGGACAAGTGAATTGTAAAAACGAAATTTTCGACCTTTACTGATCAATCACATGAGTGAGCATACACATTTGTGATTCCATTTATTTTACTATGAAAAACTCATATTCTAATCAACTGATAGCAACGTAGTTTTGAAATGAGGTTTGAACAAAAACACCTCTACAATTTTATAATTTAATCGGGTGCATTTGTTGTACACAAATAGTGAAATTAGGATCAAGTTTTGATGAACTAATTTTTTGAATAACTAATATTTCAGCATCTTGCTTTGCAATCAAAAATTTAGTCAAACTTGCAAGAGGTTTTCAGCCGGTTACCTTTCCATAGTTGTCCGATGGCATGGGTTGTTAGTTTGACTTTGGATATGTTTCTGCAATATTTCAAAATGCTTGCTTTGAATATAATCTTCGTATTGCAAGGCCATAGCCACACGGAAGTCTTTCTCGAGATCCTGGAAATAAAATGTTAGATTCAAAATGAACACACATTCCGTGGGTTTGTTAGATGCTCTAAAACTCATTAATCTATTAGTTACATCTACCTGTGTATTTTTCACACCGGTGAGTTTCAAGGTTTTTAAGCATTATAAAGTCACCACACTTTGAGCAGCGTTCTGTTCTGGCACCACATACGGACTCGTGGTCATCTAATAGGTCGATGGTCACTTCTAAGCTACAAAAGGCACACTCCACCAGCTGTCTAGGGAGCATACGCTAATATGAATAAGTTGTCAGTTGAACGCATACTTCATGTTCCAAAACATGGGATTTTTCGACTTCAGGACCACAATTCATAAATTTATTTTGACTATGTATATCTAGCTGGTGCTTCGATAACTCAGTTCGCAAAATGCTGACACCACAATCTGGGCAAAGTATCAGGTTGCGATGACAAAATGCCTCATGCAGATCATAATTCGGTAAAACTATGTTTTCTTTGCTAAAAGATAATTAGGACTTAAACGAAGACTACCAATTAGTACATTTCTTATGCAGTATTGGGCTAGTCATAACGGATTGCGGCCTCGAAATGCGCGGTGACGCTAATCTCCGATATTCAAAATCCAATATGCAATATCTTTTTCACGAGCTAGTATAAAACATTTGATTTCTTTGTACTTTCGTTACAGTTCCAGGTGTTTGGCAGTGTCAAGTCGATTGAGATCGAGTCTTCCAACTGCGTAATGCTAGTCAGTTGGTAGATGTTTATGAGTTTGTAGGTCCAGTGATTTGAAGGATTTCGTTTGTTCCATGGCAGTAAGGTTTCTGGAAACCGGCAGCTATCACATTACCGGGCCCTGTGCCAGTTTTTTGCAATGTGGAGAATAATAAAGAGAAATTTTTGGTGATCATAAGGAGATTTCAGGACTGAGTCAATAAATGGATAATTTAGTTTATTAATTGGTAGTAAATATTGTGCGAGAGGACGAAAGTGTAAGAAAGGGAGAGAAAATGGAGATACTAAGCGGGGCAGATTAAGTTGGTGATCTGACGAGATGGCAGTGATAACAGCTAGCATGTCTCAAGGCATGCATCAGGCACAGCTCGTTCACGTGGGCTATGATAATCCCTATGTAAGTACGTGTTTATCAAATCTCTTCTTAAAGCTGTTCAGTGAGATGTCTGTGGCCATCTGCGTTGGAAGAGCATTCCAAGTCGCAACGACTCTTCATGAGGAAAATTGTGCACAAACGTGAGTGTTCACCCTTTGCTGTGCAATTTTTGGAAGATTGCCTTGAGGGGAATGATGGTAATGCATAGCTAAGGTACTCACGTTTAGATAGGTTGGAGTGCATAATATATTGTACTCCGTAATCAGGTCACCTCCTCTTCTGAACTCAAGAGTAATACTCGCAGGTGCTAAAGTCTATCTTCAAAAGGTTTGTACATCAACCCAATCTCCTATTTCCTTACTCGCTATGCACTCGATCCAAGAGATGTATGTCTCTTTTAGGAAGATGAGTAGCGCCGACGTTATAAACCGTGCACATGTCCAAAACTATGTTTAGCATAGTTGTGGGGCGAAAGCACTAAGTGGAGAGATGTATTATCCCACATTGCGTTCCGAATACAGTTCTGGCTGGTGTGGAGGCTTTCTGTGGTTATTAAACTGAGACCACCCTCTCAGGATACATCAGAGAGCGGACTTCCGTTGAAAGTGTAAATTGTCATGTGGAGCAGAATTTACATGAAGTTTAGTTTTAAACCGCTTTTCACTGCCCATTCCTTAATGGATGTAAGGCCCTTTTGGAGCTCAGTCGAATCTTCATCACTTTTAATGGACCTCCAGATTCTAATCGTCTGAGCAGATCAGTGCCGTGGAGCTAACTTATTCTAACAGGTCGTTAATGAATATCAGGAGGAGAAGTGGACCTGAAATGGTGCCTCGCGAAACTCTCGACGTTGACACTCACCAAGAATAGGACAACGCGAAAATGCACTCTATTTTTGAACCAAGATCGGAGTGGGTCAGTGAACGCCGTTTCCATAACCTTCGCGACTAGGCGTGCGCGCGAGGGGTGTGCAAGGGCTTGGCCCCATATCTCCATTCAGCTGGGAATTTGTTTGACTCCAGTGAATGCCTGAATAGGTCATATATCGGTGAATTCAGGGCTTCTGAACATTGTTTCAACACTATTGGATGAATATTATCACAACCTGGTGACTTTCCTGGGTGTAAGTGTTTTAGTTTCTTTAGCAGTAAGTCAGGAGTCATACTGATAATCCCTAAGCCATCAGCAGGTACTGGGTTTGCATAGTATTCTGAATATGTGGATACCTTGTTTAACTGATCAGTGGAGTCAATGTTGAAGATCTGTCATATCTAGGTTGATGAGATCTTCTCCGTTAGGACCTTTGAGGGAACACAAACTCTGATTCGCAGGTTTTCTTTCTGTCATGATCCCAAACATACTCTAAGGGTATGCTTGTATTTGGACAGCTAGCTTCATCTGAAAGCGTCTCTTTGGTATTGCATTTGTTTCTCAATGCCAAGCAAGAACTGCGATCGAAATCCTTCAAAGAGACCTTGCGCTTGAGTCAGGCTCTTCTTTTCAGCCTGTAGCAGGCGTTAAATGCCACGCCTAACTTGTGTCATGGTATTTCCGGGTGCGTGGAGCGACTGAGGTATATTGTCTAGGACAACATTCTGGTTGATGGCTCTAACTATTTGCCAGTAATCATGTACTGTCAGCCTCCATCACTCCCATGGCCATGAGGCATATAGAACGTTCTCTCTCATGTGCTCTAGTGTGGCTGAAGCTGATCATTTTTTGACAAACAATCTAAGTTTAAAGATTTTACCATCTTAGCCCATCTAGTTACACTTCATACATGCACATTCAGCCCAGAGCTTCTAATAGCTGCGGCAAGTCACCTTTTGGACCAATAGGTGGGATTTGTACAGTGTTCGCTCTCTCATCAAGTGTTTTGTACCATTTGTGTGGAAACGACACCAAAATAATTCTGTCACCTCGGTTAGTAGGGTGTCGAGTGGTATCTCGGCTTATAAATGGTTGTTAATATATAAAGCCACTCCTTCCCCCGTCGAGTGTGACTTGCACTTCATGTGCATGAACATCATCCAAGCTACCTGTAGCTAGTTTTGGCACGCCGCAAACTACCACACTGGTCTACTCTTCAGTGATATCCTGGTTGCCGGTCGGTTTATCGTGCCTGATTCGGATTAGGGAGGGTAATTTAACCGAGGGTCTCCAGGATGCGAGGAGGATATCTTCGGCGAGTTGTAACAAGTCTAGTGTTGGGCTCATCGTAGGGGGTTTCCCTCTCGCGACGTTCTGGCCTTTGAAAAGAAGACATATTTTGACTGGGGTACTTCACATTCCGAGGACTGTGCTGTACTTGTCCCACTGTAATTTATCAAAGGCAGCCCTACTTTCTAGAAAGCTAACCTCCAGGATTGATAGAAACCGTATTACTTAACACGATATCTGAGAGATTTGGAGATGAAAAAACTAGATAACTAAAAGAGAAAAATACGCGAATGTAGGAGTTTTGGAAGGATGAGTTTGGTAATATTTAAATATAACTATGAAAGGATAGAAACTGAAAGTACCCCTGTATTGCAACTTTAAATTTGCGTGGATCCAATATCTTTTTCACAGGCTCGTGTGAAAAAATCAATTCCTTTACGATTCATTCTTTTTATTTCAATACTCTCTGAGGTATTTGATGGTGTCCGATGGATTGTAGTCAAGTCACTCGAATGTAATAATTCTAGTCACTTGATAATCACATATGAATTCGTCTGTCGCGTGATTTGATTGAGTTCTTTTGTTCCAGAGCAATAGGGTTTCTGGATGAAAGCAGATATTGCATAACCGGATCACAGAGCAGTTGGTTAACGTACAGAGAGTCACAAGGAGAAAACTGCAATATCAAGTGCGAGATGATTGTTTAAGAAACTAAGTAGAAATCATCAGTTAATTGATTGCAAGCGTAGACAGTATGACGGGACAGGAGTTTAAGGACGAAGAAGGACAGTAAAGTAAGTTAGTCAGAGAGAATAAGTTAGTGATCTGAGGTAGTGACAATAATAACAAATAACAACATAACAATAATAACAACAAACAATTATTTTCAACACTATTTAAGACATAGGCGCGCCCACACCTGGACGTTCACAATGTCGTCGCACCCCCTCTGCTTAAAAGTGACATAAATCTCTTGGATCGAGTACAGAGATGAGCAACCAAATAGGTTTTAGAGTTGAAAAATAAACCTTACGACGACAGACTCCAGCTATTGGGATTATTTCCACTGAGCTACAGGAGAATTCGAGGTGACCTGATTATGGCGTACAACATACTAAACAGACCAAACCATCCCAATGTGCGCATCTTACCTAAGCATCACCATCACTACGCTCGAGGCAATCCTCGAAAGATTGTACATCAAAGTGCGACTACTCACATTCGTGCACACTTTTCCGCATCGCGAATCGTCGCAACTTGGAATGCTCTCCCAGCCGAGGTAGTTACAACCCCCTCAGTGGACTGCTTTAAGGAGAGACTTGATAATCACGTACTCACATACGGACTATCATCTCCCTCTTGGACAACTTGTTCAGGATGCATATCTTGAGACATGCTAGTTGTTACCATTGCCATCTCCTCAGATCACTCAATTAATCTATCTCGTCTATTATCTCTGTTTCCTCTCCCTTGCTTACACTTCGGTCCTCTCTCACAATCCTCACAACAAATTAGCAAACTAAATTCAACTATATATTACTCAGTTCTGAAATTTCATTCATATTATCATTAGAATTCTATCCTTATTATCCTTATTACTCTGCACATTGCAACTAACTGATCTCCGGTCTGGTAATGTGATAGCTACTGGTATCCAGAAACCCTACTGCCCTGAAACAAACGTTTCATTCAAACCCCGAGACATACAAACTCACAACCAACTACCAACTGACTAGAATTAGACAGTCGAGTGGCTAGACCTCCATCCATTGGAAACTACCAAACACCTGGAACCGTACCGAAAGAACAAGAATCGAGCGCAAAGAAATCAATTGGTGTACACTAGCTCGTGAAAAAGATATTGGATATTGGAATCACTCACGGTTCATCCTAGAACGAAATGATAATCCGTGAATGAGTAATATTTTAGGGAGACCGTTGTTACCTCAGCGGGGAATAAATTCAAATTACGGATTAATGGATAATAAATATAGAGAGAAGAAGATTCGAACCCATAGGATTCAATTGTTTTACACTATTTCGCGAATAAATATTGTATATTGGATTTTGAAGCACTAGGTTTGTAAGTTGTCATATGAGACCGTTTGCTTATGGATATTAGGCATTCGGTGTATTTAGTTATTTTTTTATCATTCAGTAAGTGGATCTTTAAAATTAATTCTACTTTTAGACTTCGAAAACATCCTGCAGGTGGACGGAACTGCCACCTTATATTTCAAGTTTGTTAACGTTACAGTGAGTTCATCTGGAGGACATTGCAACTCTTTATCAAGACCAGATTACTGTGATTTATACTTTAAACTATGTATAGGTGATGAAAAGTCTAAGTAGGCTTTGTTTATATAATTTATCCAGAATCGAATAGGGGGTGTAGCATTTTATATATGCGAACACCGAAATCTTCTTTAATGAATCAGAATTTTATCTCTTTTGGTGATATGATCGACTACATACCTAACCCACTATCCAAAATAATAACTAAACTTCCGGTAATATTCTTAAAGTTCGTCTTAACAATTTCTAGTCCAAATTATATATGAAGATCGAAGTTTGGGATGCAGATTATTCGTTTTCTGATTTAGATGACCATTTGACAACATTTGAAGACGATTCATACACATATACTGTGTATCCATATGAAACTGGTAGCAGCGTTGTACTTAGTGATTTATCAACTTTTCATCCCCATCATCATCAAATTTTTCGGAATATAACACATAAGTACATAACTATGTATATAGCAGTTTGGGCAGTCTGCAATCGTGGCAGTTATGGAAGTGACTGTAGCATCAGCTGCGTACCACAAAAAAGAGTACGGCACTACGGCTGCGATATTTCAACTGGAGCAAAAGTGTGCATTCCTGGTAAGTTCCTCTATGTGAATAAATTTTATAGATGCTCTCATGGAATCGTAAATTTAACTGCACTCCTCAAAATCAACTCGTATAGAATATTTTATTGAAGGTTTTATAATATCGTGACTGGTAACCAGCCGAGGTGAATAGCCAGGACGGTTATCACCTTAAAACTTTACAGTATTTTTTATTCTTGGTTACGACTTCTTAACAAGTCTTACATTTTGAACAGTGTTACCAGAAATGATATTTATCAGTGACTTTGTGTTGCATTAGAAAAATCCTTGCTAATTATCTAAAACCCTCCTAGGCTTGGAAACCTTTTTTGATGTTTGTGATAGTCCCATTGTAGTACTATAACAATGTGAGTATTTAGGAATCAACAGTTTTATGTGAAATTCCGGACACTTTGGGACTATTCTTTTGATGGCGTTCTTATGTGTTTCAAAAGAACAATGTTCTTATTCATATACTAGGTAGTAATGGTGGATAGTAATGGAGAAGCCTAGGGCTTGGAAATATTATTCAAGAAGTATGATCCAGTGAAATAGATCTGAAAAGAGAAAGATGAAAGTTTTGAGGAATTCAAAAGACCAGAATTTTAGAGTACACAAAGAATGGATGCATCCGCAAAATTGCAAAAGATTTTAGAGATATATCATTCAAGGTCTCCAATCAACGGTAAATATCGTCTCATTGACTCCAAACAAGTAGTCTGAATCTACCGGCATGACTCAGTCCACTTTTCAGTGGCTTCATGAATTTGCACAATCCTTTGATCAGGCCAGTCTAACGTAGTGCCCGTTTCCTAACAACAGCATTACTTACTCGGTTGTCCTAGGATATATGGTCAATGATTCGAAGACACATGTGGTTGAATATCCTTTACTCTTGCTGGCCATGTTTCACAGCCATGAAAAACTATGGAGCAAACTACTGCGCAGTAAACTCGTCTTTTGTTTGATAGAATGATTTCTTGTCTACGCTGTAAGTGCCGAAAGTTAGCGAAAGCCAGTCGAGCCTCTTCTATCCATGCTGAGGTACTGTTAGACACCAGGCCATCAGCACTAATGAGATTCACGAGATTAGTAAGGTGTTCAGCATGTTCAACTACTTCACTCTCTATCACTAGTATGGGTGCCAATGCAAGACAATCCTGAAGCAACATTTTGCATTTCAAAGGGGAAGATCGCATCCCGAACACGCTTAGGGTGGGCAGAACACTCTACATTTTGTCACTGCCTTCAAAAAGTAGAACTATTTCATTGGCATATTCTAAGTCGAGAAGTGAATGTCGTGGTAAAAGTTCAATTCCTAAAAAGTCAAACGACGAAAGTGTTAATTCTAAAAGCACATGCTTGAAAAAGTTGTATAAAAATGGACAGAGTGAACAACCCTAACGAACATCACTTGAGGTAAGCAGTTCCGATGATAGTTCACCATAAGTTTTCACTCGACCAGTAGTGTTCGATTAAAGAGCCTGTAAAAGGTTGATGTGCTTCTTCGGTACACCTTTTAATGACAGACACTGTCAGACAACCTCACGATCGACAGAGTTAAGTGTCGCCTTAAGTCTCAGGAATAAGACTATTGTAGTCCTATGACCTATCGAAGTGTAAATATCTGGTTTATACGGTTTATAGCAACATTAGTAAGGAAATAATAACTTGTCTATTGAGCTGTCTTTCTCATAGCAGTTAAAAGAAATGATTTCATACCATCAAAGTAAATATAGTTTCTATGTTTTTATTAAAAATTGTTTTGCTTGGACCGGGTGATCTAAACAATAAATGTAGTAATATATGATTATGTCATTGTCGAAGTAACTATAATCCACAACGGGCCTTAAAATATTCTAGTTTTGAAGCCTTTTACATAGTTCCCGAATTGTTTAATTGGATATGATGATCTACATTTCACAAAAGCTTCTAAATAAGGTCAGTTTCTTAAGCTCATTTTATAAACATCGTTGAGTACAGACTTATCACTATGTCCAAAATGATTCAATACTCCGGAGAAGATTTTTTCTAACAACATATATGAAGCGTCTTAAACCTAGAAATGCAACTCAATCAACTGAATAGCTTTTTAAATAAGAAGTAATTTGAACTGGCCTAAAAATAAAACAAAATCGATTTATTTCTTAGTTTTAAACCGTCATAAAAATCGTCACCAATCAATGATATTCCTCATTTTCATAAAATTTCATTTGTTGATTCTTATGTTTTATTTAATTTTAAAAACTAGGATGGTTTGGTGATGAATGTAACAAAATTGACCATTGTGGAATTGTAACACCATGTGGTCCAATGGGAATTTGTACAAATACTCATGTTGGATATAAATGTACTTGTAAACATAATTTTACCGGTAAGGTATCGAATTTTTACACGGTGGTCTATAGTGAGTTGTTTTAGTACTATGAAAGCTTTTATTCAGCCGATACACTTACTTATATTCAGTCATTTATAGTTCTGCTCTCTTCAACAGTTCACTACATTTTATAAGACTTTTATTTCTGTAAACCTGAAATATAACCGATTACAATGCATTGTTCTTTCGTTCGGTAGCTATATCGAATTCCGTTCAATTATAAGTTTTCTGATAACCTACAAATATTCTGATTTAATTTGCATTTATGCAAACTATTACATTTGATTTTTATATGAAACAAATGCATATTGACAAATTTCATTAACTTAAATAATCGACTGATGAATGAAAGGATTTATGAATATACCTATTACGAGGAACTGTAGAATAACCACTAAAAGGTTTATGCAAAACGTAATCAGGTAGTCACAAGTGAACCAGTGTATATGTGTTATTTTATTAAAATATCAACAAAGACTTTAGTCACTTGCAAACTATTTACTGATCACTTCAAGCATTACAATAAGCTTTTGTGCTCGCTGTATTTAATGTGAAATACTAAGAAAATCAATAAAATCAGTTGAGAAAGACAAAAATCTAATTCTGATGAAGAACAGTGTTGAGAGATGATCAAAGTGTAGAACGAGTTACTTATCTAGACTATCTAGATTTTTACAGAAAAAACTTTCTTAAACACGGAATTTTTCTCTTTAGACTTTTAAATAGTTTCAAGCAAATAAAATCTCCTACAGATGAAGTTGTTAAGTAATCAGAAAACTGTAATGGAATTAAGGAAAGATGTATTATTGAACAGTGCTTATGTGATTATCATCTTTACAAAATGATTTGATAAGAGAAACAATCGGAAAGTTGCACTATCACTTACCGACTCACTGAAATACCATGACCATGGTGTATGATTATAAATTTCCCTCACTTACTCATTTATTTACGCCTGTCAACTTCAATGCAACATAGTCTGCCCACCAGTATTCTCCAGCCTACTCTATCCTGAGCCCCTCTTTCCAGTTCTGTCTAATTTTCGTCCATTCTTCTCATGTATTTCTCTATTGCTTGGCATAATGTGTTTCTTGGCCTTCCTCTTTTCCTTCGCCCTTGAGAATCCCAAGTGGGGGCTTGTCTTGCGACTCATTTGGGTGCTTTCCGCAGTGTGTGCCGTATCCGATTTCAGTGCTTCTTTCAGATTTCTTCCTTCACTGCAATTTGGTGTGTTCTCTCCCACAGTAGGTTGTTGCTGATTGTGTCTCAAAAACGGATCGGAATTACTTTGTGTAGACAACTGTTAATGAATACTTGAATCTTCTGGATGACGGCTATGGTAGTTTTCCAAGTTTCCACTCCATACAGTAGAAATCCACCTGGAGCCCCACTGGGGCTACTATTGGTCCCAAGCCCAGATAAAGAAGGAGTGTCGGGTATGAGGTTGGGTTCTACATCCCGCAGAAAACTAACTCGCTAAAAAAAGCTAACGAGAAAACATAAATCTATTTCAATTATAAGCCGTAAATTAACGTGATCGACTACTTAGCTACTGAGGATCAATTCCTTGCAACCCAAAAGAAACATTAACTTCATATATCATTTGCAACAAGTATTTCCAATTTTGTGATGAAGTCTTGAATGATTTATCAAGATGAAACTTTATCAAAGGGTTAAACGGTCAAAAGAACAGTGGCAATCGAAAAATCCTGAAGCATTATTTCGCAAGACTGAAGGTTTGGTTTCCAAGTACAAAGTCATGTATACGCACTAATGATGAGCCCTACTCCAGGCAAAGACGGTTGTTCAGTGCTTTTACGTTTCTAAACACAACAATTTTCACAACCCTATGTCTTGGCTTCATGAATATCTAGGTCTTGTGCGATCATAGACTTGATTTCTGCTTGGTCAACTACCGTCATTTGCCAAATTGATATACATTAGAATAGGTCTCCTTACAATCATGTCAAAATACCATAGTCCTAAATGTGTTTATCCATATGTGGTTATAGTAAAGTTAATAAAATAAAATGCGCTTGAGTTGTAATCTGTCAGACAGATAGAAGACATCAACATTTGAAACAATCCTGTATTCTGACTGAGTAACACATCTACACTGATGGATGGGTTAACTTATATTTCTGTTGATGACCACCTACCTATACTTCATTTTATTGTGTTTAATTACAACTTCATGAAACATATCGCTACCATATCGGTTTATCTTAGATCAAATAGATTATATGTAAGCTTCTCTCTGTCACTATTGGTACTGTAGTGAAGGAGAACACAGGTAAGGGCAACGGAAAATTACAGAGTTACTTAGTAAAATAGGAAAACCATATCGTAAACGGTTAATTTGCAAATCTTTAATCCATCATCAATCCATTGTCTGATATTTCACTTTTTCATACGTTTCATACAAATTCCATTATGTTCCCACTCTTCTTCCTTTCTTGATCTTCCCCCCCCCCATTTTCTGCTGCCAGACATTACACTGACACTCACCTCATATACTACTTATAAGTAGCGCGCACCATAGTACCATCTATGTGAATTACTTTTTGCTAAAACCGAAATCTAATAACAACTCATTGAATAGATAGATGAACATGCTAATCTATTGGTTGATGATAAACAGTTAGATCTGAATAGTTTTTATTCGTTTGTTTAATTATTTATTGAAAAATTCAAGGGCCACAATGTTCAATACCTCCAAACCAGTGCAGTCCATTACAAGATTTCTGTCAAAATGGATTTTGTTTACTGAAATATTTTGATGATGAACAGAACAAAAGTTTATCCAATCCAATTCCATATTGTGTTTGTATACCTGGATTTACAGGGAAATGGTAATTCAATGTGAATATATATGTATATATTAGGATGTTTTTAAAAATTTAATTTGATAATGCTTAGTGTATAATAAATTGTTTATTTGAAACCACTTAGTGGTCCGATAGTTAGGCGTTCGCGCAAAATACCGAAGGTCCTGGGTTCGAATCCTACGAAGTGCAGCAGTCGTGGATGCGCACTGCTTAGGACTCCTATACCAGGACGAAACGGCCGTCCAGTGCTTCCAGGTTTCTAATGGTGGTCTAACATTGATCGATTCATCGTTCCAAAAACATGTAACTTGACAATCTTCACAACCCCGTAATATAATAAAACGATAACAATAACCAATCAATGTAAAAGAAAATGTGCCATTCAACCTGCTTTTCGGAACAAAACAACAAGCTATGATTTCATTTAGGATAATTTCAGTCAGTCAGTTAGTTAGTCGCAACGCAGAACTTCATACGTAAGTACATCAGTTCAGGTTGCCATACCGCATTAGCATAGAGACGCAACTATCAATTTAAATCCCATAGTGGTAGAGATAGTAGAAGTATTAGCAGTAATGGAAAATATTAGGGTTTGAAGATATTATTCAAGAAGTGCAACTCAGTGAAATAAACTTAGAAAGACTAAGGTAAAGATGATGAAGTAGTCTGAATATTAGTATATCACAGAACGCAAATAATGGATACACCTGTTCCATTGCGAACGAATGAGCCGTCTCGTTCAAGGTCTGTAATCATCGGTTATTTTCGTTTCGCAAACCACACCCAGGTAGCCTACATCTACCCACATGACGGTGTTAATGTCTAACTTGATCAAATTCACGGAGTTGCGCAACCTCATACCCTGTATACATCCGGACAGGTTTGAACTTCTCTGGTCACGACTTCCCACTAGAACTCGGAGAATATTCCTCACCAAGCTAGTCACTAGTGGACACATGTAATTGCATTGCGAAGTGGTTGTTGTGAAGATTGTTAAGTTTTATTTGTAACCATGAATAAAAGTTTAAATAGTCATTGTAAATCTCACAGGTCCTGAGTTCGACTCCTTGTAGGATCGTTCGTGAACATTTCCGAGTAACATACTAAAATGAGATAGTTGTTCAATGCTTTCAGATTTCATTAGTTGTCTAAATCAGATCCCATCCCCTATAATAGCATTTGTATATTATTTTTCTCTCCGCTTTACTTCTCTCTCTTTCTTGATAATCCGTATTGGACTAATTAATGTTCTTTCTTTTTCGGGCATTATTTATAGGTGTGAATTGGATATCGATGAATGTGCTATGAAAACACTGAATAATAATGATAGTTTACTAAGTAATAATACTATCAATCATCATAGTATTGTCACATCATATTGTAATGTACAAAATTCATTATGTGAAAATCTCTATGGAAATTTTCGTTGTTTTTGTCAAAATCAATGGACTGGTCTACGTTGTAATACACCGCCAACTTTATGGCCAAATCATTATGAACCAATTATCAATTCAAATGGTTTACCGGATTTTTTAAATTTTAAAAGAACAAATCTAACAACTGTTACATTGAAAAATTATAATGATGATTTAATAGGAGGAATAAAAAAAGTAATATTTTTATTATAATGAAAATATTTAATTTTATTATTAGTATTATTATCATTATTATTAAATTCGTTAAATTTTATTGACATCTAAAAGCAATTTATGTTTAGTTTCGCTCTGATATGTGAATCCTCAGCAGTGTAGATTAATAAAATTGGCAACTAGGAGTCGAGTTCAAGAGTTTTTGGTTGTACTGTAGTGAACGAGAACACAGGTGGGGCAACCGGATTTTAATTTAACGAAAATTACAGAGTTATTCAGTAAAATCGGAAAACCATATCGTAAATCGTTCATTTGCAAAATAACAGTTCATCATATCGAACTGGACTGTTCCTGTTGCAAAACATCAATCCATTGTCACTATTCATGCGTTTCATACAAATTCCATTGTTTTCTAAGTTTTCCTTTCTTGATCTTCTCCCATCTTCTGCTGCCAGACATTACGTTTTCACTCACGTCATATACTACTTATAAGTAGCTCACACCACAGTATGACCGTAGATAAGCACTGCTAATGAGTTCTGTACTAGAACAAAACGGTAATCACTTGCTTCCAGGCTTTCAGTATCTATCTAACTAACATTGTTTGATGAGTTACAAGGAGATCCACTTCCTGGGATAGAATATGCCAATGAAATAGTTCTAATTTGTGGAGACACTGATAAAATGTAGAGTGTTCTGACCACACTATGCAACTATACAAGTGTATTCGAGATATGAATCTCCTCTTCGAAATGCAAAAATTTTGCTTCAGGATTGCCTTGCATTGACACTCGGACTAGTGGTAGAAAGTGAAGTAGTTGAGTATGTTGACCGCTCTCTACTTATCTTGGAAATCTCATCAGCCCTGATAGCCTTGTGTATGACAAAATCTCAGCACGGACAGAAAGGCTTGACTGATTTTCGACAAGCTGTATCCCTTATGTCGTCGGCAAGATATCCGTCTTCCAACTGAAGGATGAGTCTATTGAGTAACAGTTCTCTAATCCTGCCTAATGGCTGTGAAAGATGGCCCGGAAGGATGTTGGTAGGTTACTAGTATTCGACCACATATGTCTTCGGAGCTTTGCTTGTGTGTATCTTGAGACAACCGAGTAAGTAGTGCTATCATAAGGAAACGAGCACTACGTAAGGATGGAAGATCACTTGATGAAGAACTGCATTTTTATAAGTTGAGGTGATTGGAACAGGTTTTACGAATGCCGAACTACTTACTGTCTAGATGAGCTATTTTTCGCGGTGTAAAGGCAGGTTAGGAGAAAGCTAGAGGTAGTCTGACCAAAGAATGGCACAAATCCATGTAGTCACTGACAAGTGGACTGAGTCATGTGTGAACATGCGGGCTACGTGGTTGGGGTCCATGAGACCCTGAAAGACATTGCTGAAAATAGTTTTGCTTTGGCGCAAATGCATCCATTCTTTGTGTTACATGAAATTCTAATCTCCTGAATTTCTCATCACCTTTATCTACCTCTTTTCAAATCTATTTCATTGAATTATACTTCTTGAATGATATCTTCCAACCCTAATCTTACCGATTACTGTTCATACTTTTACTAGCCCTATCACTATGGGATTTTAATTGACAATTGGATCTTTTTCCCTAACCCCCCCCCCTTCGTGGTATGGCAACTTGAACTTATGTGCGTACATACGATGTTCTACATTATAATTGACTAACTGACGATGTTAGTGTCTAACTTTAATCACGATAAGCAATTTGTAGTTACTGCCTACAACTAACAGGGTTTAATTTCACTGATCACATCTTCTCACGAAGATAGTCACTAGTGAGCAAATTTATTCTAGAGAAACTTTGATAATTGGAGTTATCATATTACCTCTAACTGATATATCACAGAGTTTTCTTTAGAGACACGACTGTCAGAATATTTTAATGTTTTGGAAAAAAGTATTATAAACTAACAGTTTTCTGAGTAAAAGACAGAGTTGTGTTAGATTGTAGAAAAGAAATGCCTTCGCTGTTGTGTTTGCTTATAGATTTGATAAAAGTCTATTGAAACTTTCTTAGCTTTTCCACTGAGTTAATTCCCTTAATTTCTATTATCCAAACCGGAACTAAAAGTTAAACGCGTAGAAGCTTTAATTTAAATTATCTCTATATTGTTAATTTTAAGTTCTTACACTTTACTTTTTATCGCTATCGTATTGATGAACTTTTAACGAGTTCTTAGCCAATCAGAAAACAGATTTTATAAAAAACAGTTATATTACTTTTCATTATGGAGTTGTGAAGATTGTGGAATTTCATTGAAATTGTAAATCTGGTCACTATTAGACTAGCTTCGTGAGGAAATTCTCGAAGCTGTAGTAAGAAGCCGTGACTAGTAGATTTAAACCCTGTAGGGTGTAGGCAGTCACCTACATGAAGACATTAGATGAGGTTGCCCAATACCTTGGATTGATTAGAGTTAAACACTTAAACCATTGGATGTCACCTAATTGGTCTAGAGTATGAATGTTTGCAAATGTCCGAGGACATGGTCATGTATGTGCACTGCTGATGAGTTCCATGCTAAGACGAAACGGCTATCCATTGTAGTCTAGCAACGATCGATCTATAATTTCAGTGGAAGTTAAGTTACTTATTGTAAACGGACTCTACTAATTTATTAAATCTATTTAAGTATTCCACAGAGTAATTTGTATCTAAATTGTACAAAAACCCATATATAAGTTAGTTAGACATCTCAAAGGTTTGAAACAGATATTTAAGAATTTCTACATTGTTCTTGGTTAAGGTTAGACATTCAGAGTAAGGTTTAAGAGTTTAAAAAGAATGTTTCTACTACTAACAGACATTTACCTAAACACAAGAATACTGTACAGATAGATAAACGGATGAACGAATTTCGGGCAGAATTCCACAAAACATTATTTATTTACTTAACTCATCAAGTGAAATGCTATCAAGTTGAGATCTGTTTTAAGATAATTGGTTGAGGGTCAAAATTTAAGGATAGTGTTCATTAACCGATTACACGCAACCTACAGAGATAGAATTGGATATTTGATATGTTCAAAACTCTTATTTCTATTCGATAATGTCAAAAAATAATTTACTGCAAATCATTCTAAACACTTTGAACAGAATACAATTGTATTTCTTATTAGCGTTACAAGTAAATTTCTTGACTGACCTCTTCTATACTTCTTTATTTGTTGATATTTCCTTGTTTCGCCGTAGGAATTAGAAAAACCAAACCATTATTGGATATATATACTTCTTAGTGTCATTGGCAGTTTATGTCTAATTTCTTGTGGAATTATCTATTGCGTATGTCGAAGACACAAACATTTATGTGCTACATACATGATGAACTGGAATCGTAAACCTAAAATGTAAGTTCATTATTATTATTATTCAACCATTAACAAGAATTTCTAAAGTTTACATCAGTGTTAAACCACCATTAAAAAGCTGAAGCCACTGGACAGCCGTTTCGTCCTAGTATGGAACTCCTAAGCGGCGCATCCACAACTCATGCACCTCGCAGGATTTGAACCCGTGACCTTTGGTCTTTAGGGCGAATATAGCTGGATACCTGCTTAGTGGTCCACAGGTTAGGTGTTCGCGCCCTCAAGACTGAAGGCCCCGGTTTCGAATCCTGTGAGGTGCATGAGTCGAGGATGCGCACCGCTGGTGAGTCCCATACCAGAACGAAACAGCGGTCCAGTACTTCCAGGTTTCTATAGGTGGTCTAATATTGATTGATTCATGATTTCAACAAAATTTAAATCACCAGAAAAAAACTAAGTTTTTTATTTCATAAATGATGAATAGTTTCCAAACTGTTGTTCATATACTGATCCAAATGAATGAAGTGAAATGGAATAGTTGACAATCAATAATTGAGAAGTAAACTCTACTGAAAAGCTTGAATGTTTTTGTAAATAAATTATTGAATGAAAACGCTTTCAGTAAAATCATTGTCTTCCTAACTTCACTATAAATCCCTAGACTAATAAAATTTAAATCCATAATGGGGTCATGAAGATTGTTGAGTTTCTTAATAAAATCGTGAATCGATCATTGTTAGATTATCATTAGAAGCCTGGAAGCACTAGATGGCCATTACGTCCTAGTATGGGACTCATCAGCAGTATGCAGCTCGCAGGATTCGAATTCAGTACGTTTCGTCTTACGCGTGAACGCCTAACCTCTTGGCCGGCATCCAGACGGTGGTAATGTCTAACTGTGACCAATCTAGCGATTTTGCATGAACTTGCCAATTCGTCTGTGGTAGTTACTGTCTGCACTTGATCACATCCTATACCAAGACGAAACAGCAGTCCAGTGCTTCCAGGTTTGGCTGATTGGTGATTTCAATGTGTAAAAACACTAATTTGCACAACTCTCAATGAAAAACAACAGTCATGATTGTCTAGACCATCTATCACCTTATAAAGTTAGTTCTGTGTTTATGTCTTTACGCTAACCAATCCGTAGATTATGACTGCTGTATGCTCCAGGGACAACCGAGTAAGCAATTCTGTCGTTAGGAAACGAGTACTACGTAAGGATGGCAGATCAGTAGATGAAGTGATGAAACTTCATCAGTTGAGGTGGTTGGGACATGTGGTACGTATGCCTAACCACCGACTACCTCGACGAGCTATGTTTTGTGGTGTAGGAGTAGGTTGGAAGAAAGTTAGGGGTGGCCAGACCAAAACATGGCACAAATCCATGAAGTCACTGACTAGTGGACTCAGTCATGTTGGTAGATGTAGACTACCTGGTTGGGGTCCGCGAGACGAAAGTCATCAATGGTTAGAGACCTTGAACGACATGGCCCGGAATCGTTTGCAATGGCGCCGGTGCATCTATTCTTTGAGCTCTCTCAAATTCTAATCTTCTGGATTGGTCAGCACTTCTACCTTTGTCTATCTAACCTTATTTCACTTAATTAGGCTTCTTGAATAATATCTTCAAACCCTATTCTTCTTCATTACGATTAATACCTGTACTGTCTCTATCACTATGGGATTTGATTTGACATTTGCGTCTCTGTGTTAATGTGGTATGTCAACATGAACTTTTGTAGTATATACGTACGTAGTTCTACGTTGCAACTGGCTGACTGATTGACTGTATGCTCCAACGATGACCCAGTCCTACCATACCTTATTCTAAGAGGAAGAATAAAACACCGATTACCAATAGTTCAAGATTCTTTTACATTGCTATGTTTCAGATAATCCTTTATATGTATATATCTGTATGCACACACACCAAACCGGATCACATCGTACCAATAAATGGAAAAAATAACCACAATGCAAACAACAATGACCTAAAAGTGACTGTCAATAGAAAAGATTGTAAATATTATATATATATATATATATATATATATATATATATATATATATATATATTATCAGCAGAATAGGAACAATACATTGTATGATAATAATTTATGAATTGAATAGAAAGCCTATGACAAAGAATATATAAATACCACTGGAGTCCATAAATTAGTTGTATAAGCTATTGTTTACTTTTTGTCTTCCTCCGGATGCAATAATTTTTAACGTTAGCATAATAAGTAAATGGAATCTCATGAGCATTGATTTTAGATCATAAAGGAAAACAGATTTTTATGGGTTAGACTCTGTAAAAAGCAATTAAATATTCACTGAAATAAATTTTCCTTTTTAATTTCCTGCATATCACATTCTATGATGAGTCTTGTTTGTCCGGTGAAAGTGACTGAAAGCTCAATATGGTTTAATTGGAATGAATCTTCTTGATACATTCACGATTACAGAAAGGACATTAAAAAGAAGCGTAAAAGCGAAGTGGAGAAAGTGACTGAGCCAACTCAGAGTGACTAGGCATGATTAAGTTTTTATCGTCCGAAAAACATGATCTAGACAAGCACTAAGCAAATTTAGCAGGGTATGCACACATACACACTCACAAATAATTAAAACCAAGATTATGAATTATTAATCAACGAGTTTCAAAGGTGTGTGAATAATCACATGAAAATCAATAGATTAGTTAGTTTGTCCAAATGGTAGGACTAAGCCATGTAGTCTCGACATATTAGGGCACGCATAATACAGCATAAACATGTGGAGTTGAAATCAGCCTTAAGATCATTGAGGAGTTATGAATCAGTAAACTAATGATAGAACTCATCCAATACAGTAATCTAATCTTTTCTGAAGAAAGCCGGTCAGTATCAAATTATCCGAATTCAGAGTCTAATAAATTTCAGGAAATTCATCAACAGTTTCACTTCACATGAAAATTGTTTTGACCATAGTTTCTATAGTGAACCTGAAATTTCGACAAATTAGTCACTTCAAGAAAGTCAGGAAATCATACTTCTTTCAATCAATTCTCTACTTAGTAATAATATGAAGAGCTTGTATTGGTTCTTGTTAATACATCTAAAATAATTGTATTTTTTGGAAGATTATAAACTGAAATTGTCAACAGAAGCGAAATCAATTACATGAACCAATAAACAGATTATTCTACCATACATAAATAACATATTGGAATTTACAGTACGACTATTGAGATCATTTGGAATAGGTGTGGCACACAAGTCAACAAATTTACTTCGATCGATCTTACATAGACCAAGGGACAAAATGACAAATGAAGAAAAACCAAATATCATCTACAAAACAAAATATTCAGACTGTGAAAAACACTCAATCGTTCAAAGTGGACGTCCTCTTTTAGCTTCGTCTACATGAACATTAGTTAGCAGTCAAATGTCATCACATTTCTTCCCTTATATCAGTATATACGGATAACTAAGGACATTTCTTTCGATTGGAACAATGCTGAAACACTGGACAGAGGGAGTACAAAGAACACTAGAGAATTTTTTGGAAGTTCGGCAGTCAACAAGCTTATCTACATTGACCTAATTTATCAATCAATCATAAAAATCATAAACAAACATAGGATCAGGAAAGGTTATCAAGGGTGGATGCAATCAGAATAAATATGCAGACAATGAAAAGTCTAAGGTTAATAGCAACCAATCGCGATCGAGGCTAAGAGATCAAGTAATGGGTCACAGGTGGAGAAATTCGAATACTTCACTTCCATCTGAAGAGGTTTGTGCTGATGATGTTGTTCAGAAGAAGAACAGTGAAAGCTCCACAACCAAAACACTCAGCTCAGAGAACAAAGTACCACCAAAATAAACGGTAAAGTTTGGTTTTCAACTTCAGCATCAAACTTTCACTCTTGTCTGTTATAACTAGCCACAGAAACAAAGTAACATCTGGATTACGGGTTGTGAAGATTGTGAAGTAACACATTTTTGAAACCATGAATCGATCAATGTTAGACCAACATTAGAAACCTGGATGCACTGGACGGCCGTTTCGTCCTGGTATGGGACTCCTCAACAGTGCGCATCCACGACTGTTGGACTTCGCAGGATTGGAACCCAGGACCTTCGGTATTGTAGGCGAACGCCTAACCAACGGACCACTGAGCCGGTATCCAGCGGTGTTAATTTCTAACTTGATCAATTCATGGAGTTGCGCAACCTCATACACAGTCTTCGGTAGACACTGTCTACACCCGAACAGGTTGAACTTCACTGGTCACGTCTTCCCACTAGAACTGGGAGAAGATTCCTCACGAAGCTAGTTACTAGTGAGCACAGTTAATTTGCATTACGGGGTTGTTGTGAAGATTGTTAAGTTACACATTTTTGAAACCATGAATCGATCAATGTTAGACCACCATTAGAAACCTGGAAGCACTGGACGGCCGTTTCGTCCTGGTATGGGACTTCTCAGCAGTGCGCATCCACGACTCCTGCATCCCGCAGGATTCCAACCCAGGACCTTCGGTATTGTAGGCTTCCAGGTTGCTAATGGTGGTCTAACATTGATCGATTCATTGTTTCAAAAAAGTAATATCTTTCAGGTTACCGAAGATGAACTATACAAACCTGTGTCCTTTACATGTGAGTTCATTTACTTATACTTCAAATAGGTATTTCAGATGGTGAAGAAAGAAACTGATACATGTTTATCCTATACATAGCATTTCATGACTATCTAAACTGCTTCTAAGTTTACAGACAATGACAATTCCACCTAGTCAATTGCCATCATAATTTCCATAAATTGTTTAACTCAATAATAGTCAGGAATAATTTTATTAATTTATCAGTTTGTTTGTTTTTTATTCAAAAGCTAATTGTTGAAATAAATTATTGAATGTTTAATCAGAGAGTTTAGTGTGGTGACTGAATTCATAATTATCGAACAACATGACAATTTTTTATTTTTTGTATATACGCGACATTACCTGTGTTGTAAAAATGAAAATTACACAATCCTCAATTTTTTTCTAGTTCAATTTACAGTGATTGTACACTTGACGTTTGTTATTGAACATTGAATGAATGTTTTAGTTGACTAATATTTTTCAAAAAAAATAATAAAGAATATTTGTTTATTTATATTATTTCATGATGTATTATTTATTGATCCGAATGAACCTAGGTATAATAAATAGCATGTGCAAATTAATAGATCCATAGATGTCTGTCTGTCTGTAACTAATTAACTAAAATTTGTAAAATAATGTACGAACGAGTCAACAACGGTGAATAGAATCAGTGAAGTAGTAGTATAACAATGTTTTTATGATTATAGTTTATAATCAAGATAGATATATAAATAAATATAGTAGTTTTATAGAAAAACAGTCATAATCATGTTGTTGTTTTTTTCTCTTAAAATAAATGTTTTGTAATTAAGTGTGCATTACTGTACAATACATTAGTTATGAATTTGTTTGATATGACAAATTGATTCATGTTAGACTAGCTGTAGAAACTTGGAAGTACTGAAGTGTTATTTTGTCATGGTATAGCAGTCATTAGCTGTGCACATTCATGACTCACGCTGGTTGGAATGGGACATTGAACTTTTGGTTTGGTACGTCAACGCCTAACATTTAGACAACTGAGATGGCATCCGATGACGTCAGTGTCAAACTTTCATCAGTAGACGTTTTTACACAAGCCTCAGGGATTCATAAATTCATCATATTTCAAGACTTGACATCAGCTGAAAATGGCCTTGATGTCAGTCAGTTGCAACGTAGAACTACGTACGTATGTACATAAGTTCACGTTGCCATACCACATTAACACAGAGACGCAAATGTCAAGTCAAATCCCATAGTGATAGAGATAGTAGAGGTATTAATGGTAATGAAGAAGACTAGGGTTTGAAGATATTATTTAAGAAGTATAATTCAGGAAGATAAGGTTAGAAAGACAAAGGTGGAGGTGCTGACGAATCCAGAAGATTAGGATTTGAGAGAGCACAACGAATGGATGCCCTTACGCCATTGCAAACGATTTTGAGCCATGTCGTTCAAGGTCTCTAACCATTGGTGACTATCGTCTCACGTACTCCAACCAGGTAGTCTACATCTACCAACATGACTGAGTCCACTAGTCAGTGACTTCATGGATTTGTGCCATGTTTTGATCTGGCCTTGATGTAGGTTGATAATATTACTACGTAAACTTTCACAGACTGCAATTGATAAAGTTTTGTTTAAAACGACATGTGAAACATTAAGTAGAAATAACCCATTTAAAATAGTAGTTAAAATTGTTTAAAATATATTTACATATATATATATATATATATACATATATATATATATATATATATAATATTTTTTGTCCATTTTCTTCAGTTCCAAAGTACTCTGTACCACAAGACATACTTTTCCATCACTCAATAATAATAAACCAATTATACCATATCATCAAACATCATCAACACCGCATACATCAAGCATTACTCAACTCACTTTCCTACCACGATATCCTCATCATCATCATCAACATCATGTACCAATCAAAACGGAAATCAATCAATTATCAGTTTATGATGAAATTCCTGATTATTTTTTACAAGACAAATCACAACTCAGCACAAATATCTCCTCATTAAGAAAAACTTCACAAATTTCCATTTATGAACCATATAGTCAATTAGAATATGATACTTTGGATACAACCATTGAAATTACAAAATATTCAAATACACATGATCTCAATAATACTTGTCATTTGTATTTGGACAATCAAACACAAATTGATACTACTATTAATACTACTACTAGTCAAAATGCAAGTCATTTACTCCATGAGCATCATCAACAACTAGAACAACTAGAACAACAAGACCAAGATTTAATTTTAACCAATTGTACTTATCTTGAACCGAAACAACTTTGTTTGTAATGGGAACAAGGTGAATTATTGATTTTTGATTGCCCATGTTTGTATTTTTCTTTCTGTTTTACTTTTTCATGTAGAAAAAAACGGGAATGTTGTGTTATTTGTGTAATTTTCTTTTGTTTAATACAAATAATAATAATAATAATAACAGATCATTTTATTATGATAATTATTTTCATTGAATTTTTGTTTTATATATGTGTCTAGTAAAAATTAACTTTTATAATGTGAATATTTTTTTTTTTACGAATATGATTATTTCTTTTTCGGCGAAAATGATTTTGTACTTATTTTTAAGTGGATATGAAACTTTAGATTATATGCATCATTACATTGATTTTTTATATGATTAAAAAAAAATAAAATACACTGATCATCATTTTTATTTGTATGTAATAATTAAAATTAGTTTTTAAAATCTATTCACTCCGACTTCAGTTTGAATTGATTTAATTTTCAATTTTTTCTGGTTAGCGTTTTTTTTGGCAAATTAGTTTTTTGGTGGTATGGGGTCGATAACCCCATACCCAACCATACTCCTTTATTCGGGCTTGGGACAGACAGTAGCCCTGAAGCTTCTATAGGCGGAGTTGTCAAGACAGTCCTACTGTATGGAGTGGAAACTTGGAGAACTACCAAAGCCATCATCCAGCCCAGGGCAGAGTTGGTTGGAGAAAACTGTTGGGTGGCCTATGATTCATCGGGTCTTCACGTAAGACGTCAACTTGAAATACTTGAACTATTACGAGTTTACCTAGTCGGAAAACGAGTGCGAGGATCCGGTGACACGACATGCTACTGAAATCCGATTATCCCAACCCCCATATTCAGTGAAAATAAGAAGATCTGATATGATGTAGAAACTGTATTCTACAAGCATCCAGAAAGTATGAGGTCCGAATCCAGAGGAGAATCAGGATCCTGGACTAGGAATCCGGGACCGAGGCCTGGTCGTGGTCGTGGACATAAAACGTTACACATAATGCGTATTTATACATTTTGGTCGAATAGGCAACAGTATCGAATTCTGTGACATTGACAGTTAAGACAACCAATAGGAAGTAACATTTGCAACGACATTGACAGTCCGGATGACCAATAAGAGACAACATTGAAGTATTTGACTTTGATAGTTAAAACGACCATAATTTTGACCAATAGAAATCGACCAATAGGATTTGACCAATAATTCTCTTAGGATATTGGATGAATATCCTAACAGTAACAGGCGTAAGCAAGTAAGTAAGTCTCTCTGAATTGCAACTATTTAATTTGTTGATATACTTTACTCTTCAGTGTCGAGTCTCATCGCATTCAATGTTCAATGATCAAAATTATTGGGTTGAAACTAGTATTTACCAATCTTCATATTATTTAGGAATGTTTCAAAAAGTTTAATAATATCGAATAAGGTTAATCCGGTTATTTGGTTGTAATAATTGCAGTGAATTTGACAGATATTTGAAGTCTGATTTATAATTTAAAAGTAAATTAGCATTGTATAAGTTAGTCACTCTGTGCGGGTCGAATATGTTAGAATGAATCGAATCGACAACAATTGGGAAGTATGTAGAGATGAAAATCTATGATTGTGTACACAGCTATTCATTCATTTTTTCATGTTATATCGGGTTGAACGATATCCCAAGTATATCAACAAACAGTGAGTGAAAGATGGATTGAATCTGCATACTTTCTGTTGCTAAATTATTGATGGTATTTACTGGCTTTCATATATATATTGTATGACATGGATCACTTAAGTTGTTTTGAATCTGCAAACTTTATTCTCTTTTCTACTAGATTTCAGGAAAAGAATTCTGAGTACACGAAGTCAATAGTCTTCAGTTCATTTGCTACCTTGTTATAGATTTCCAAAAATGTTCCAAAGGATTCATATTCTTTCTCTTTTCAAAAGATATAGTATGTTTTAAAGCACGGAGATGCATTTTCCTAGCAAAGTGAAACATGATCCATATTTTAGTGATCACCAATGTTCAAGAATGTTTGTTCACTGAATACAGGAAGTGATATAATATTGCGTTTCTATAAATCGTAGTCCAGGTTGACTCTTCCCTAGGAAAAATAGACTCTGCAGTAATCCGTATATTTAGTGGTTTCCTACCTACTTCCCAACTTTCGTACCCAAGTTATATAGTCAATACCAATAACAAATACACAGTAGTAACCACTTTCATCTATTACTAAACAGCTTCATTCAGTCGCATATAATGTGCCAAAGGAACGTAATTCTCTCTGCACCTTAAAATCATAAGAAAAATCCACTGACAGACGACAGACTAAATATATAGTCTCAATTCAAAGTAATATGAGATTTGTCTGCAAACGTAGTGTTTGTCTTGCTTACAATTTAGGAGACTTAAAGGCATTCCTTCAGATTTTTTAATGCACCAAAATATACAGCTCAGAGAACGTAATACCACCACAAGCACTTAGTCACATTATCAGTCCACGCCATACTGCAAATACCTACGACCTAAAAGCTAAACAAAGAAGGCTACATTGCAGACAAAATTTATAACCTTTTCGAGCAGTTTCCTTCCAAAGAAGTAGCATTTCTATACAGCCAAAAATGGAGAGTTTTACAAACTTCGTCTACAGAATATATCGTGAGCTTGAAGTCAGAAAGATTGTTTTTCTTCTTGAGTTTGATTGTAACTAATAGTCAACTGAAGTCCTGCCTCAGCTTGCTTTTAGGGTATCATGCTTCTTAAGTCAAGAGGCGACTACTTAGATGTGCGTTCACTGGCACTACTGGATTTTAAACGGAATTCGGACATGCTGTCAGACATATGGTCTCCATCGTCACGAACACTCGAAAAATTCACCAAAGATACTCTTTTGTAGATTTAATATCTTTTTGAAGGATATTCCTGAGAAAAGGATTATCACAATGAGTTTTATGACAACCGATACCGATAACCAACTGTCATCCACTTGCATTCATGTAGACTATATGATATCAAGATTAACCACAGAAGTAAATTAACGTCGATTTTTCCGGTCAACGACATAAAGTAAACGGAAGAGACAGAGACCGTTCATTTGCAAATCCTTGCATAAGTGGATTACCCGTTCCTGCATATAAAGCTCGTCTAGACGAAAAAGATGTGGAAACGTATGCGTCTCAAATCGAAAGTTTGGTGGCCTGACGTTTTAACCCAGTTCATATGAACAAGTCAATATACTATGAAATAAATCTTTCCTTCAATCTCCGAACATTAGACGTTGGTTAATGTTTACACGACAGTGGTGATAATCAGCACAATTCGGTTTTATTTAAGTGAATTCATTTGATACTTCCGTGTTTACAGAGGGAAATAATGAAGCGGAAAAGCGAAGTGAAGTGGTGAAGGAGTGTACTCGTTTCAATTCCTGAGATATAATAAACCTCCAAAAAGGCATTTATTAAACATAACTTTGTTTACTAGTTTACTGTTGGTACTACCTGGGTTGTAACTTGAAGTCAGTAGATTTTTGCAATGGAGTAATATCAGTGTAAGATCTATCTTGCGAGGCTTTGTTTGTGAAAATCCATCCATGTATACATTTGTAATATGTCCTTATCGATTTCTTCTGTCTTACGATTTGGTAATCTGTTTAGTTCCATTTTGAGATGATGATATTTGTATTTCATTATGGTTTCTATTTTTTGTGCTTTTACTGAGTTTCTGTTTCTTTTCGAACTGCATTATGTTGTTTAAGCTGATACGTAGTTATGGCGACAGCCATACTGATTTTGTTCCTCTGTCGGTAGGAGCACTTACATTGACTGGAAGTGTGCAATTCGGATTGGAAATTGGAGCACTCTTCCAGAATTGGAAACACGCTGTGTTATAAGATGGATAAAATATCATTTATTCGAATACTCGAAAGAATAAAGCTGAAATATTTTTTAGGTTATAGTGTTATACTTTTACGAAGAAGACAAAATTGCAGACATTAAAACATTGTACTTAATTCTGACAATAATCGTTATATTATACTCCTCATGTTTATCTGTACTAAAGACTATCTCTCGCGCGGCAAGCGTGTTTTTCCCATTCTGCTTCTCCGCGCTTCTCCTGCCTAGTAGTAAGCTACTTGTGTACCATTTGGCCTAGATATTATTTCGATATCACAAGGCTAGAATCGTCTTTTCTCTGATTTCTAGATTAACGGGATTACAATTTGTTATGCCGTAGAGAATTATAGTTGTTCCGATATACCATAAGGTTATGACATATTTATATTTATGAATAATAACAGAACCGTTACTTACCCAATCACTTGTTTCGGATTTAAACTGGGCGTGTCTAAACTTTCTGAAAAGTTATTTCTAAATCCAAATCTCAATTTGGATACTACAAACACTGTTATTCAGGTTGATGCAGAAACTTGAGTTGTGTCAACCTGGAAGTGCTGAAGCTCGTGAGAAAGGCGGGATAATTTGTAGAAGTAAGCACAGCAATAATTAAAGCCTTATTCGTCTTGATTTATCGGATTTCAGAGTCTCCTTGAAATACAGAGCTTTTTGGTGATGACAGTTATTGTGGCGCACATGTGTGTTCTTATTCGCTTTGACCTGAGCTTTAGTTGACTTCGCGGATATGTTCAACTGAATCGCAACATAGAATGCGAACTTATCTACGTAAAATTCCAATTTCAAGTTATATGTTGGCGATGTTATATCCCCAAAATTCGCTTGATAAATGCTTTATTTCGGTTTTCATGTTTGCGAGCGTGGGCTGATCAGTTGACCTTGAGATTTCAATTCCACCAGGAAAATCCATGGGTGTGATTGGCTGCTGTGTATTTAAGTGTACTATCTTCTTCACTGTCTCAAGGACATTTCTATGTTGTATAAATAAACGAGAGTTGTATGCTTGTTTGTACTGTGATTGCTGGGTGTCTGTAGAATATACTTTCTACGCTTACAAAGCCTTTTCACTTCAGCCTTGGATTCAAAGTAGCCTACCTGGACGCTGGTAAAAGTCTCGTTCGCGTTTATAGTCTAAGGTACACTTGTAATAGCCTCAAGCATTCTAAGTGACGAACTTTTCATTATATTAATCGAATTTGACCAAACTACCTAATGGATGTGTTAAATTCTCTTAATGGATTACATCCTGATTTTTTAATTTCAGAACATTAGATCCCCAATTAAATACGCGAAAGAATCACACATAAGTTAATTTATGAGTCCATCTACTTATGACCACAAAAATCTAGCTGAAACTTTTCTGTTCGACGTGTACTTTTGCCGAAGTGGTCACCGGCTAAAAGTATGTACAACTGTCTTTCACTGGATACTAGTGGGTAGAAATTATCCACTATGAAATCATCACCATCGCTGTTTAGTCTAGTCGAACCATTCAGGTGACACAAAATGTACGTATTGGGACGTGATATAAACTCCTGCGTTCTAACTCCAACATAGTTCATTATTATCGGGTTATTATTACTGACTTATGTAATAAGGATTGGCACATACGATATGAAATTTAGCTGCAAATAGGAAGTTTTGCGACGTGAAAGATTGCCTAAGAAAGGGGGAATAACTTGTGCACTTGTTTTAAGTATCCACTAGTTATAAAACAAGAGTGAGTTTATGTTGTCTTCCCACAATGCGTCAAGGAGGTCCAGCCAAATGAAATTCACCCAATGAACAAAACAAGTAGAACGAAACAAATCTCTCAGACATTAGTAGAATAAATAACATTTTACTTATCCCTTTATGGCAATGTCTCAGAATGCGTCAGTTTATCTAAAAAGTGAAAAAAGATGAGCAATAAAGAAAATGTTTCAGAAAGAAATCGAGAAGCCTTTATGTTGGGTCTAGTGATATCACAGTCACAAATAACTATACAAGTCGGAGAGATGTAAGTAGGTACGTAGGTTAGTAAGGTACGAATGAACAACTCCGAATATAAGGATGTCGTTGGACAAAGCTGCTTAATATCACCCTATCTCATTTTTCTGGTTGTTGGTTAGATTATGAAAACTGCAACATATGAGGGGAGCTAAGTGATACAGTAGATAAATCGGGTTCAGCTAGACGATCTTGACCACGCAGGTGACTTGGCTCTACAACACATCATGTACTAACAAGATCACGATTGGTGGATAAGCTCTGGAATTTGTGGAAACCCTTACGTACGAGGATTGTATTATTGATAAAGAAGGGGGGTCTGATATAAATGTGAAGGCAGAGATAAGCAAAGAGACAGCTAATTTTCTGCAGTTGAAGAACATTTATTAGTCAAAACAACTGTTTTCCTGACGAAAAAAAAACCAAACTCACAATTTCCAATAGGAACTTCAAGAGAGCTGTATTGTATCGAGCGAAAATGCCTGGGAGCATGAAAGCCATCATCCAGAAGAAACAGGCGTTTTTCATTACATTAGATGGTACAGGTACGTTTGCCAGACAATATCAGTAACAACCCACTGCAGGCGCGAACAAACCAGATTGCTGAAGAAATTATGAGAAAGTGCTGGGCATACCATTAACGGGCTAATGACTATCTTGACGTAAAGTAGAATCTGGTTGCTTAGAGCATAATATAAAGTTTGACTGACACACTTTTATCTGATAAGCACAGCAAAAGTCTTGATGGACATTATGTTGGGACTCTAGGTTGTGCGATGTATACCACATTGAGATTAGATACATAATTTATGCTACTTAGACTGCTTCCTACTCCTTTCATCAACCAGAATCATCCGAGAAATTATTATAGCGATCACCGTTTGTGCGTCAGATGGTTCACACTCAGCAGTGTTTGAGCTGTTCACCTTACTTACGTCATACAAATCCAAGAAGCTTAATTTTACCTAATGTATTTTGTAACATTCATAAACAAGTTGTCTACTAAGACTGTTGAAATTACGACAGTGTTTTTTGTCATTAAGCGCATACTGATTACAGTCTTAATAAAATACACAGTCATTATCTACAATTATTCATAAGCAGCTACCTGGTTATTGCACTGATATTCTTTACCATTTCAATAATTTAGTTTTAAGCTTTCATGAAACACACTTTTAAAAACGCAAAAGGACGTGCTGTAAGATGTATCTTTCTATACCTCTGAATAAGTGAAATATATACCCATCAAATGTTTACCCCATCGGACTGAAGACAAGCGGGACGTTTGTTCTTAGAGGTCATTTTGAGGTCACTGATTGATATGGCTGAGGGGAAGCTAAGAATTGGTTCTCGTGTTGAAGTTACAGGAAAGGATGTTGTTGGTACAGTAGCATATATTGGAACAACACAGTTTTCACCTGGTAACTTCATAACTCTCTCCTTATTTTGAGTTTAGGAAAATGGGTAGGAGTAATGCTAGATGAACCGAAAGGGAAAAACAATGGTACGGTTCAAGGGAAACGCTATTTTACTTGCGAAGAAAATCATGGCATCTTTGTGCGACCGTCTCAGGTTCGTTTTAAATATCTTAGTGTAAATAAACCTACGATATCTGACTTAAATTTTGTCCTATAATCCCTTACCAACTTAATCGACATTTTTTAGAATATCGCTGTTACGACAGTTAATTGTAGTTAATATCTTTTCTCTGTTACTTAAATCTTGGTGGTGAATGTAAATAAGCTTTTTTTACGTAAGTTGGGCCGCGTCATACCCAACACTCAGTATTTTCCACATAATCAGTAAAACTACTGTTAAAATAATTAATGTCAAGTAACTTTAGAGTACAAATAATTTTAGTGTTTAGTACCTCTGGCTCTCAGTACGAGTTATTTATGAGAAGGTAGTCATCTTGTATGGGTTCAGAGAGAGAATAGTTATTAGTGTCTAGAAAAATGGTCTGGATCGTTCACAATAACCCATGCTATTTCGTTTCCGTCTTTTAGATATTCCATTTTCTCCAACTGTTTGGTTTGACTGATGATGCGGAACTTCATATTTTCGATATTTTCATGTGTTCTTTTACTGTTCCGAGATATGACAACTCCAGTTGCCATCCTTTTGTCTGAAGTGATATCCCCATGTTTCCAATGAATTCGAGTGATATATATCCCTCACTTACTCAATTACCTCTTTAGTTCTGTCTAATGTTTGAGAATTTATAGTCAGTTATCGACCGGTTTGCTTAATTGACTAAATTTTGTAAAACGTGATCACGCTTATCGGTGAAGCTTATTTTTAAAAAATTTCATTTAAACACAAGCATTAGTATAGAAGAACACCTAAATATTTATGTGCCACAAAAATTATTAAGTTTTTGAGTAGGCTAAATTACTGCCACTAATTGTTTCGGGACCCTGGAGTCTATGTGCACCATTAGTTTGAAATTAGGTTTTTCCAACTCTCCTTGGTGAATTCTCTATTCCTACCAACCCGGTTAAGGTGTCAGGTACTCGCTTTTCATCCTTTCGATCTCACGAACATCACTTGGGCCACGAGAAGGCGGTGAGTGGGACTGACCTGTCAGTGGCTGTATTCCCGTGACTATGTGGAAGTGTTTGGGGTGGGTGAGCCAACTCTCATCACTTTGGGCCGTACCGGGACAAAAAGATGCAAGTTTTTATTTAGGTTAGGACCATAATCTAAATATCGCCTGAAAATGATGCTAAGTTGACTTTGAGGAAATTCATCTACTTGCTAAGGTAAAAAGAGGACTATAAATATATGCAAACATTTGAATTGAGAGTAAGAATTTAATGTTGGGGATTAGTTAGAGTTTTCGTCACTGACATCAGCTATGATGTCGAAATCCTGTCTAACCTTATGGATGAAGAAAGTCTGCGCCAAAATCAACGATTCGCTACATTAAATCGCATTGGTTCATCCATACATTATAGTCTCATCGAAAAATATTGTTTGATTTAGTGTTTCTGATATGGCGCAACATCCAATGTTCATCTCACCAAAGCCATATTATGACGTAACACGGGCTCGTGAGTTTACTTTCCGTTTGTTGATCCATTTACTACATCTAGATTCATTTGTCAGTCTCTCTAAAGTCAGTTATACGGATATAATGACGTTCAGTAACTTTTCATAACCATGAGTGATAAACATTTCTTTATTCATTTCGTTATTTATCATATTTTCTACGAGTATCTCACTTTTTGTGGTAGTAAGTAATAAAGAATATAAAAGCAGTTTGTCTTAGTGTCCATTATATCGACCACCTTTACGAGCTCAGTGTTTTAATGGGACTTGTGATTAGCATAGGATTGTCATGGGATCTTGTAAACCTTTTGGAAAAGCAAAAGTTCACTCCATGAATACTATGTCAGCATTCACATCCTTCAATACTTAAGTGATATTTTTCTACTGGACTACTTGTTTGTCATCTTTCCCTGCATCTGATCATTTGTTTGACAGCTGTTTCCATACAGAACTATGTCGATTTTTTTAATGGCACTAATCTTTGTACCAATAAGTTACTTACTGGTCGGATGAGAGCATACAATAAACTGTCATCGGAATTCTTTACTTCAAGTGGTGTCCTTCAGGGCTGTCCACTCTCTCCATTCTTTTTCAATTTTGTCATAGACATGCCCCTAGATAAAACCTTATATTCGTCTTAATTTTCAGGTGTAGACCTACCAGGAGGCTCGTTTATTGACTTAGAATATGCCGACGACATAGTCCTACTTGCTGAAGACGCTGACAAAATGCTGAGTCTTCTGACCACCCTAAGCAACAATGCAAGCATGTTCAAGATGCGGTTTTCTCCCTCGAAATGCAAAATGTTTCTTCAAGACTGGGTTGCGTCGGCACCTGAACTAGTGATAGGGAGTGAAGTAGTCGAGCGTGTAGACCGCTTCACTTATCTCGGAAGTCTCATCAGTGCCGGTGGCCTGGTGACTGACGAAATCTCAGCACGGATACAGAATGCTCGATTGGCTTTTGCCGACCTGTGTCACTTATGACGTAGGTGAGATATTCGTTTGCTGACTAAAGGACGAGTGTACTGCTCAGTAGGTCGCTCCGTCCTACTTTATGGCTTTGAAACATGGTCAGTGACAGTAGAAGATATTCGTAGGTTATTGGTTTTCGATCATAGATGTCTTCCAAGCATTGCTCGTATATCGTGGGACAACAAAGTAAGCAATTCTTTTATTAGGAAACGGATGCTAGGTAAGAATGGCAGATCAACAGATGAAATATTGAAACTTCATCAGTTGAGGTGGTTGGGACATGTGCTGCGTATGCCTAACCACCGACTACCTCGGCGAGCTTTGTTTCGTAGTATAGGAGTAGGTTGGAAGAAAGTTAGGGGCGGCCAAAACAAAAGATGGCAGAAATCCATGAAGTCATTGACAAGTTGACTGAGTCATGTTGGTAGATGTAGGCTACCTGGTTGGGTTCCGGGAGACGAAAGTCATCAATGGTTAGAGACCCTGAATGACGTGGCTCGAAACCGTTTGCATTGGCGTAGGTGCATTTATTCTTTGTGTTCTCTCTCTTAAATCCTAATCTGGATTGTTCAACACCTCTGCTTTTGTCTTTCTAAATTTATCTCACTGAATCACATACTTCTTGAATAATATCTTCTAATCCTAACCTCTCCGATTACTTCTAAAATACCTTTACTACCTCTTCTACTATTGGATTTGAATTGACAATTACATCTGTCTTTTGCTGATGTGGTATGGCAACGTTCGAAGTTCTACGTTGCATTTGACTGACTGATAAGTTACTCAGAGCACTAATATCAAGTGGATAGATCTGAAAAAAAATATCCTATCTTGTTTTTTCATGTCAACGTACGTACGTACGAATTTCTACGTTGTAACTGACTGACTGATTGACTAATCAAAGAAGATATTAGTTAGCAAAAAACTTTAAGAAAAGATGACAAAAGCAATTTATGTCACTTGATTTTTTATCATCATTGATTTGTTCATGTTAACTACATCATAACTTCTGATTAATTAGCATTTCCTTTTTTTTCAAATCATAATTCAAATAATAAATTTTTCTTTCTATTCATCTTCAAGCTTACTCTTTTAGATGCTCAAGATGGATCAAGTATAACGGATGTGTCTACTTCAAGTGTCCTTTCCGAATCAGGCACAATCTCAGAATCAAGTTCATCTAGGTTGTCTGTAGGAGAAACTCCTAAACGTACAGGTTCTTCAACTTCTTTGTCTGGCAGTGTAAAATCTGAAGTGACAAAAGGTATAATATCATGTAATTGATTTTTTAAAATTGTTTTTATTTTGTCAAGACTAGTTTTTAATATTCTAATGTTTGGTTCTTTCGTATAAATTAACGTGTCATAGACGTAAATATCATATTACTTGTGACTAGTTTGATTCTACTGTAGTTACCCATTTTTGAAACCATGAATCGATCAATGTTAGACCTGCATTAGAAACCTGGAAGCATTGGACGGCCATTTCGTCCTGATATGGGACTCCTTAGCAGTGCGCATCCACAACTCCTACACCCCACGGGATTCGAACCCAGGACCTTCGGTATTGTAGGCGAACGCCTAACCATCGGACCACTGAACCGGTATCTAACGGTGTTAATGTCTAACTTGACCTACTGTAGTTGCCAATCAAGTGTTTAGTGTTACTCGTATGCCAAATTATTTTACATAGTAATGCACTGTAATATACTGATTAATTGATGTATCGGGTAGGTGTTTATTTAGCTGGCTTTAAATTGCACAACATATTAAGGAGTTCGAACTTGCTGCCGAATGATTGAAAGTAGAACTTCATATTTACTAAGCCATTGCTCTAGTGCATTAAAATTCAAATGAAGTGTTTTCCTTAAAAACACTCAAATAACTTGTTATATTTGTTAACATATTACTACTTTGAGAGGAATAGTGCTTCAGCTGTCATCGCCGGTCACTACACCACTGACTTCAATTATATTTTAGAAACCGATTTAAGCTACACTTCTGTTTACTTCAAAGCATAACAATACAAAATTCCAGATAAAATTATGAAATTCTTACACATTTGGAATCGTCAATCAATCATTGTTAGACCAGCATAAGAAACCTGGAAGCACTGGACAGCTGTTTCGTCCTGGTATGCGACTGACTCATTAGCGGTGCGCATCTACGACTCCTGCACCTCACAGAATTCAATCCCGGGACCTTCGGTCTTGCGCGCAAATGCCTATCTTCTGGACCACTGGGCCGGCATCCAGGACGAAACAGCCGTCCAGTGCTTTCAGGTTTCTAATCGTAGTCTAACAATGATTGGTTGATATGATTTAAAATGTATGTAAACAATTATCTCCATAAACTCTAATTGAAAAATAAAATTCTTATTAATTGTTTTTTATAATGCTTTTGGGTTGATGAAGTTTGATTAATTTTAGAATCATATATAAAGGCTATCATAAGCTGAACGATTATGAGAAGCGTAGGAAAACTATCGACCGTTTTTGTACTTTCTGCCATTGCGTACTTTCGACTCTGTCTGAAATATAAGCAGCCAAAATACTCATATTGAACCGGTGATTCAGAGCAAAGTGATCCGATTTTTCAATATTTCACAAATCTTAATCATCCTCCTGCAAAGTTACCTCTATCGGTCGTGATTTTTTGTTTATTTTCTCTCTGAGATGACGTGATTTTGTGGCCGAAATAGAAATAGAACAACTGAAAGTTTGGTATTTAAAATTAGTCATTAATGTAGCGCATTCTATTGGATTTTATCATTTTAACAAAACAAATCTGTTATTATTTCACTATTTTATAAAGTTTTTCATCTGATTTTTAACTCATCTACTACAAAAAAATTCTAATATTAATACATTGACAGGACAAACTTTAAAAAAATCATCAACTCTCAAGCGTTCTTCTCTAGCTAGTTCAACACCATCAATGAAGGATAAGCCTAAGTTGCCTGTCTCTACGGGTAGACGTACGTTCTGGGTTTTTTTTTATTTAGTTGGATGCATCTTAACAAAAAAAAAAAAAGAAAACTGCGCATATTCATTGGCTTTAATCTGTCTTACATTCGCTAACACACACACACAATCTTTGCTTATAATTAACTTCTTTAACCCATCATGACCCCAGTAGTTGTATGTAATTATACTTAGCCCTAATTCTTTTATTTATATATATGTATATTCATAGGTCCATCTGAAGCCAAAAAGATATCACAAGTAAGTAATTCGTTTGTTATCATTCAGTTTTTTTTTAACTTGTTCGTTGAGTCATTCGATTTAAGGCCACTAAATCCTTGATTCGAACCCCGTTCCACTTCGGTTCGGGTAAATAGTTAGTCTCATTAACACCCTTATAATTAGGGATGTTATATTGATTTTACATATTACTTGAATGCAGTATGTTGTAGTAAGTAGGTCATTGTTATAGATACTAGTTTGTCAATCGTTTGTTTAAAGCGTACATTTAAAAGTCATACCATGATAACATAAAGGTGCCTAATTTCTACAGTAGTTATTCGAATATAAAAATATCATTTTATACACACAAAATATTGTGTAAGTCGGCATCAAAAATGTATACTTCATGCGAATCGATGGAAAAGTTGACGAAGATTAGTTTGGAATAATGAAAAGAGGTAGTTATGTGTCTTCAATTTTAAGATGTTTCTGTACAGAGCCTTGAGTATGTACATAGATTTCTCAGGCTCATGAAAAACCAGTCTTAGGATAAAGTCCTATCCGAACGACTATCGAGTAAGCAATGCTGTTGTTAGCGGAAGGGTACTAGGTAAAGATGTATTGGAACTTCATCTGCTGAGGTGGTTTGGACATGTGATACGAGTGCTCAATCACAAATTGCCTCGATGATGTATATTTTGTGGTTTACGGACAAGCTAGAAGAAAGCTAATGGCGGCCAAACCAAAACATGGCACAAATCCATAAAGTAATTGAAAACTGCACTGAACTATGTTGGTAAATATGGACTATCTGGTTGCGGTCCTCAAGATGATTATAATCGATGATTTGAGATGTTTGCAATCAGCTCAGGTGGATACATTCTTTGTGTTCTCTCAAATTGTAATCTTCTAAATTCCTCATCACCTTTATTTTTTCTTATTAAGTTTATTTCGCTGAGTTGGACTTCTTGAATATAGTTTCTTTGAACCTTAATCTTCTCCATTATCATTACTACTTCTACTACATCTACTACTATGGGTTTGGAATCGACATTCGTATCTCTTCGCTAATGTGGCATGGCAACTTGAACTGATGTACATACGTACGTACGAAGTTCTACGTTGTTAGTGACTGACTGACTGACTGACTATGAACCGCAAGGAGACCTGATCTCGAGAAAAAAGAACGAATTTTTGCCTGTCGTCATTTTAGCGATGCTAGAACATGGAGGGAAAGATAAAATTACAACAAACACGTCTATAACCACCGAAAAAAAACCAGTCTGCTCCTTTCAGATCAACCTTTCATAAGCGTTCATATTATGTATATCTATATGGTTACACAAATTTATTTTTCAAAAGAGGCGTGGTTGTTTGTTTTCAAATCTCAACAGTGTTACCACATGTTACCACTACATATACATATCAATATATGTGAAAAATTTGCCACAAATTGATTATATTCCTTATGTATACTACTACTACTATTACTACTACAATACTTCTATAATACTCAATAGTCATTGTAGGTTTTTTTTCTTCTGTTCAACATATATTGATCATGTTTCATGCTTACTTATATTCACAATCAATTTTGAATGAATTAAGTTTATTCATACAGACGCGCGCGCGCACACACACACACAAACCAAACAAAACTCTTGTTTTACTAATTCCTTTTCTCTTTTGTTGTTTAGTTCAAGTGTTTTATTATACTAATCTTTTTATGTCCTGTATTCTTCACTAGCCTACTACTACTACTACATTAAAACGATCTAACATGGTAAGATTGATTTTCATGACTTAACCATTTCAAAAGAAGAAGAAGAAGCCTTACTTACGCTTAAACAGAGAGCTTATTGACGTTTAATGCCGATCTGTTGTACTGCTCTGTTTTAACCTTAACAATTAAATTTTTAACTGCTAAATGATCTTAACGCTTCAAATTGTTTTAGTTTATCGATTTGGTCAATTATGAGCTATTTTCAATGTATCATCTATATCGATTGAGTACTTTCTTTCACACACACACACAAAAGCAGACGAACAAGGCATTTCTTAATAAACAGTCTACCGTTAATTTTTATCTTACATGATAGATAAATTTTGTAAAAAGAATAAGATGTTTTACGTTTGTTTTGAGTTTAAATCTATTAGTGTTTTGACAACTGAACTGAACCATGTTGTTAGTAGATGATAAGACCTACCACTTACTAGGTTGGGGTCGGCGAGATAATAATAACCGATGATTAGTGAGAGACTTTGAATGATATGGCTCAAAATCGCTTGCGATGACTCAGATACATTCATTCTTTGTCTTCTCTTAAATTCTATTCTTGTAAATTCCTGACAACTTTATTTCACCCGGATTATATTGCTTAAATAATATCTTCGAACTCTAATCTCATCTACTGTTAATACTTCTACTACTTTTACTAAAATGAGAATTGAATTGACAATTTCATCCCTATGTGCTGATGTGATATGAGAACTTGAATTGATGTATGTACGTACGTACAGAGTTTTACGTTGTAGCTGACTGACTGAATGACTAACAGTATTTATTCAATAAGTTTATTAAATCTCAGTCATTTGTACATTGTAGTATAATACTTTCTTTGCTGTTATCATCATTGAGAAACTTTTTTTCAGTAGCTGTTTGACTAGATTAAGTTATGATATGTAGGATTAATTAATACAATGAATAGAAGTTAAACTTTACTGGTTATTATTTAAATCCAAATTTGAGTAAGACCTGAGGTCTTGGGTTCGATTCTCGCATGCATAGATCGTGAATGCGCGCCGTCCATTCGTTTCAGGTTTCCAATTATCAGTTCATGATTTCGATCAATCTTAAGGATGACAGATCAGTTGATGAAGTGGTGAAACTTCGTCCGTTGTAGTGGTTGGGACATCATGTGTTACGAATACCCGGTAATGCTTGGTATAGGAGTACGTTGGAAGAAAGTTAGGGGCGGCCAAAACAAAACATGGCAGAAATCCATGAAGTCATTGACAAGTTGACTGAGTCATGTTGGTAGATGTAGGCTACCTGGTTGGGGTCCACGAGATGATAATAATCGATGGTTACAGACCTTGAATGACATGGCTCAAAACCGTTTGCAATGGCGCCGGTGCATTCAGTCTTTGTGTTATCTCTCGTAAATCCTAATCTTCCTGATTCTTCAACACTTCTAGTTTTATCTTTCTAAACTTATCTCACTGAATCACATACTTGTTGAATAATATCTTCTAATCCTAATCTCTCCGATTACTTCTAAAATACCTTTACTACCTCTTCTACTCTATTGGATTTGAGTTGAGAATTTCATCTCTGTCTGTGCTAATGTAGTATGTCAACATAAACTGATGTACTTACGTACGAAGTTAGTTCTACGTTTCATCTGACTGACTGACTGAATTTATTATAATTTAACAAGAAACAACTGTTACACATTGAATCTTCTTCTCTTTAAAAATTTTTTGTTTTTTTTTCAATTGAGTTATAATGCATAAATTTGAAAAAAATTAATTTGTATTCCACCATCCTATCCAATTTTTTATTTCTTGTTTTTCTAAAGTTCATAAACTTTGCAATAACGTATATATAACGTGTCATTTCTTCATGTTGTTGATTCGTTGTGTATGTGAGTGTGTCTGTGTGTGTTTTTATACAATGATTTCAATCTATCCATATATTATCGTGTATTATATACTACTTCTGATTAACTCATCTATTTTTCTATTCTTATCAATCAAGAATATTAATGCCCATTATGATTTTCTCTTGTGCTTAATTTTATTCTAAGCTTCCATCAACTGGATCTAATCCAGATCTGGTACAAAGTAATGTGGTTGAAACTTCAAAAACTCAAAGTCCTGTTACAAAATCTTCTGAAAGTAAATCGATCAAAGAATCCATACAACCGAATGATGATTCATCGTTGAAATCTTCTATTTCATCAACTGTGAAAACAAGTGATTCAAAATTGCCACCACCACCAACAACAACTACGACTACTACTACGGCTACTGTTAGTAGTAGTAAAATACCTGCTGAAGTTTCACCTATTACATCAGAGATTGAAAAATCGAAAGACAATGTTCAGAAATTAATAAGACCTTCTATTGTATCTAGTGTTGTTAGTCCATCCGCTGTTGGAGCAGCAGCTGGAGCAAGTGACGTTGTCGGTACTCATTCACCAGACACTGAATTAGAATTAACTAATCTACGCGCTGAAATTAAAACGCTACATGATCAAATTGAAGCGCTGAAAATGAAACGTGAAGAAGATAAAACAAGAATACAAGAATTAGAACGTATCAAAATTCAATTTACTCAACTGGAAGAAAATCGACGTTTAATGCGAGAACAAGCAGCGGAATTACAACGTGAAATTGCTCAATTAAAAACAGTATGTATTTTACGCCGGACTATGTATAATGATTAATCAGAATAAGTTTAGTTGAATTGATTATCTCTACGTTTATAAAAGCATCATCCCCATGTTTTTCTTGTTCTTATGAACCTAGAACCTTCGGTCTTACGCGCGATCGCCTATCAATAATTGATTGGTAATTTCAATGTGTAAAATCACTTATCTCCGTATCTTTAATTGAAATATCGTGCAATGTGCTCATTAGTGACTAGCTTCGTGAAGAAATTTTTGAAGTTCTAGTGAGAAGACCTGACCACTAGAGTTCAACCCTGTCGGATGTAGGTGAGGTCGAACAAAATTGATCAGAGTTAGACATTAACATCATTGGATGCCGGCTCAGTGGTCCAGCGGTTAGGCGTTCGCGCGCAAGACCGAAGATTTTTGGTTCGAATCCAAATCGAGGTGCAGGAGTCGTAGATGCGCACTGCTGATGAGTCCTATACCAGAACGAAACGGCCGTCTAGTGTTTCTAGGTTTCTAATGGGCGGGGGGTGTAATAATAACTAAGTGAGTTAGTTATAGCTGTGGATACTTCATTCAAATAACTGCATCCTTTTTAAATTTCAGCTCATTCATCTTTTAGTATGATTTTCAACATTATAAGCAGGTGGTTTATTGAAGTTAAAGCATTTGACTTTCGATCAAGTGACTTTCAGGGTTGTTACCTTACTTCACCTATTCCTCTTTTGAATAAAGATTAAAAATATCTCTATTCCTTATTATAATTAAAGTGTGATTCAAAGTTTGATAACTTCTAATTGTAGAGAGTTCGTTCTAAGTTTCCTATTCTAGTTCATTCATTTTAGTTTTGAAAGCCAAATCGAATAACACTAGCCTTCATGCAAATTGCTAATTAATGTTAATAAGAGACTAATTATCGATCAAACTTTATGTACATGATAACATCACTGATTCCTTACATTTGTTACCATTCTTTCACTAAACCGTCGTATAGATAGATATAAATGAGTGAGTCTCTATCACTAGTCAATAACATTTCTTTTCACCTCGTTTATAATTAGATTTGTTGTGAATCCTTAAGAATATGAATCAAGTCCTTTTTTGATGTACAACAAATAATGATATTTACAGTTTCAAGATCATTTCATGACTTATCTTGAGAAATATAAGAATTCCGAATGTGTTATTTTCAGAGATAGATGGTGTCTGTTAGTGCAACTCATGACGCTGGTTTCATTCTATTTTGAACTCGTCTTTAGCGTGATGTACCGGCCTCCCAGACTAGATGTTCACTACGGAACACAAACCTAGTAATGCCCACTTCAAACTCCATCGTATCATCCACTAAGCTAATGACCTTACTGCTGTCGTACTCCTCTTCAGTCAACAGTACGAGTAAGACTTCGCCTTCAGACTTTAATTTGTTGCCGTTTCTCAGTCGACCTGCTTGGCATGGTAGAACCTAAAAGGAACGTATATTTCAGCCAATATAACTTGGTTGGGTCACCACAGTAGGCAAGCCCGACCTCTATGTCATGGTAGCAGCTATGGTCGGTGGGTGTAGTCACTTATTACAACCCGATTTGACGTTTTTCTTACCCACATCTTATTTACAGTTACGTAACTGGACCGATACAACTCAATTACCATGTTTTACTAAACCGATCAGACTGTCCAATATATGTACTCTGCCACAATTGATCGCACACAGTCATTTCTTTTTAACTAATGATAATTTTCTTTAATATTTTTTTCTAAAAAAAAACAATTCAATTAAAAAAAAGGAAAAAGCTGAAATTAAAGAAGCATTTGATCGTTATCGTGATGAAGTAGCTGAAATGGTTGAAAGTGTTGAAATGGCTACATTAGATAAAGAAATGGCTGAAGAGAAATTAGAAACGTTAACTACAGAAATTGAATTATTAAAAGAACAATTAGAAGAATTGACACTTGAAAATCAAATTTTAAAAGAAGAATCTGAAGAAAAAGGTTAGTTAGTTTAGTTAGTTAGTTAGTTAGTTAGTTTGTTTATATATGCATCAGTTACGTCTGTTACGTCTGTTAGTTACTACTGCCTCCTCCTATAATGAAGTATGGGCCCGCTGACTAGCATTTTCCAACCTACTCTGTCCTGGGTCTTACTTTCCAATTCCAACCGTGGTTGTCTCCATTTCTCAGCGTACTGTATTCCTTGGGCCTTCCCCCTGTCCTTTGGCCTTGAAGATTCCAAGTTTGGGCTTCTCTTGTGACGCAGTTGTGTGCTTTCCTCAATATGTGTCCTATCCACTTCCATCGCTTCTTCCTTATTTCTTCCTCTGCTACAGTAGGCTGTTGTTGATGGTGTCTGGCTAACAGATCCGCAATATCCTGTATAGACAACTGTTTATATCATGCATTATTACTACTACTACTTCTACCAGAAGTATCAGATTTATGTCAGAATGAGAAGTTTAAATGGCACAATGTTGTAACCCTAGTAAAATGGTTCCTTTACGTAACCGACATGTGTAACGATGCTGCTTTCTTACAAAAAAAAATTAAGGGAGTTAAATAATGTCTAATTTAAATATAGGACTTTTTGCCCTGATAAACCTTTAAAAGGTATAAAGCTAACGCATATAGAACCACTTGCAAAGTGACTGTGTGCATTGTGAGCAAATACTTGTCATTTAGACTGTGCAGTCATGCTTCCAGATTGATAAAACTACCATTGCTCGAATGTAATTTCTCAGGAACATCAACATAAAGTATCTTTTCATGATGTGGGGCAAACTAAGAAGTGATCACTTCTGACCCATTTCAAATGGCAATCCAAATTATTTCGCTGCTTTGTCCGAAATCAGAGAAAGTATCAACCTCCTGATGAGATGGATAGAAGAGAGGATCAGCTTATATCATAAGTTAACTTCGTTTGAAAAATGTTACTGATTGCTTTCCGGCCGAACAGCTTGAGGTTTTTTTTAGTTGTGTCGAAGTTGGTAGGTCCATAAAGAACATAGAACCAATAACAGATATCTAATCAAGCAGGTAAAGGTGCCACACCACATCATTACGGCAAGATAGATTCCATAGCAGTAATAGTGAGAAGACTGAAGCAGGCTCTATAGATTGTATTTAGCAAATTTACACTCTTAGTCAATTAAAAACGAAAACATTACATTGAACACTCTATTTGCACACCATCTTCGAGTCCTGACTTCCAACGCTCCAGCCTTCTTCCATTCCTGCTGTTGCTTCCTTTACTTCCTGTCGGTGCTCTATTTATTTCTTGCTTTTGCTCTATTTGCTTTCCGTTTTCCTCTTGTGACCGTGAGACTTCTTCTTTCACGCCATTCTTATACTACTTATATCGTTCGTATAAGTAGCACACACCACAATAGTATCAATGATAATAGAACATTGAGCGTAGAGAATATACTTCACGAATCATTAGTTAGTTCGCAAAATTAAACGATATGAAATATTCTTTAAAACTCACAATCTAAGGAAAGATTACGATTCAACGTAACTGTGTATCATAACAACTGATTTTGCACTATGTGACACAACGTCTCTAGTCAGGCATGAACTGGTTAAATTCCCAATGTGTTCTATTTGTATTGTAATACCATTAGTACACATTGTATAGGATAACAGAAATGTATCAATGACTCCATCATTGTAACTGGTTTTTCAGCACATTGCCAAACTGATCGTTATACAGCGTCTGCGGTCCATCATATGCACAAGTCCTACAGTTAAATACTAATGCCGATTATTAAGTTTGAGGCGTTTTTTTCTAAATCGTACGATCCAGTAGCCTGTCCTCAAAATACTCCTATACCTTTCAATGATTTTCTAATTTACCAACTCAACCTTGTGAAGTGTATGTTGGCCGGATGTCTCACCAGTTTTGTAGTGGTCGGTATTCGATATAATTCTTGAGATTGCATAATCTGTTCGTCCTTACTAGATAACGCTGAACGCTGTACGCATCAGAAGATGCGTACAAAGTGTTGAATGCGTTTATTTGTCGCACTACAAACAGACCACCAATACCACAGGCATACGAAGCAAAATGATATGCGAGTGCTAATATTAAAGGGAGTAGAATGAATATGCACGTCGACGATTCGCAATATTCAACCATACCTACTCATACAAACGCAATAATAATCAAAGCACAATGGTAAGAATAAGTTGTTGCTACACGAATAACTCTGTTTGTCAGATAAATTAATGATACGCTCGTCACTTAGAATGCTTGAGGCTATTACGAGTTTACCTTAGTCGATAAACGCGAACGAGACTTTTACCAGCGTCCAGGTAGGCTACCTTGAATCCAAGGCTAAAGTAAAAAGGCTTTGTAAGCGTAGAAAGTATATTCTACAAACACACAGCAATCACACAGTACAATCAGGCATACAACTCTCGTTTATTTATACAACATAGAAACGTCCTTGTGACAGTTAAGAAAGTAGCACACTAAAATACACAGCAGCCAATCACAGCCAAGGATTTTTGCTGGTGGGAATTGAAATCTCAAGGTCAACTGATCAGCCCATGCTGGCAAACGTGAAAACCAAAATAAGGCATTTATCAAGCGAATTTTGGGGATCTAACATCCCCAACAATTAATCAAACTCAAATGTATCTAAACGTACTGTTACAAGAGGTTTCATTGATCTTCTTCGAATAAATACAGTGACAATATAAACAACACCACTTATAATGTCAGATGGTCATTATTTTCGATAAACTGTTTTTTTTTTCTATTATTAAACATTCATTAGGCGGAGCAACCAATTTATCTAGTGCAGACGGTGCACCGACTCCATTACAATTGAAAAATCTTGAACAACAAAATGAACGCATGAAACAAGCATTAGTTAAATTAAGAGATTTAACTAATCAAGATAAACAAGAAATAACTGCTTTAACTAAACAAGTAAGTTGAATGTTTTTTTTTTCATTTGAATGAAATTCAATCATTTAGCATTTATTATGATGGATTTAGTCAATTGTAAAATTTCAATGGTCTAGTCGATTTTAGGTGTTAAACATGGCCATTAAGAATAGAGAATATTCATAGGTTATTAGTATTTCAAGCATTGCTAGTGTATTCTGCAACTATGGAGTAAGCATTGTCAGTCAAATACAACGTAGAACTTCGTATGCACGTACATCAGTTCAACTGTCCATACTACGTTAGCGCACACAAAGATGCAATTGTCAATTCCAATCCGATAGTAGTATAGGCAGTTGAAGTATTAGCAACAATAGGGACCTAGGTGCGTGACTACAGAGCCCAACTGCTTGAGGCCGGTCACGCGTGGCCTTTTGATGAAATTTTTTTTTAGTATTAGCTCCGCTCTTTTTAAAACCCTCAGTGGGCACCCTTACCGACGGAGACGGAAATCCGTGAGGTATGGTTAGGTGTGACATTTTTAGGGTCAACCTTTTCTAACCTTTCCTTCCTTGTGAGAAGGCAGCATCGCTGCAGATGCTGGTTGTCCGAGGGAAACACCTTACTGTTATCAACACACTTCTCTGCAGTCAGCAGTACGACTTCTCCCTCAGACCTTGATTAGCTGCTTTTAGTCTCATCGTTCTTCAATCGACCTGCCTGGCATGGTACAACCTACAGGAACATACGTTCCAGCCAGTATAGCTCAGTTGGGTCATGACGATAGGCAAGCCCGACCACTACGTCAAGGTAGCAATAATGGAGAAGATAAGAGTGCGAAGACATAATTTAGAAGTATAATCCAGTGAAATAAATTTTAAAAGAAAGAAAAGCCGTCCTGATGAATTCAGAAGATCAAAAGACAAAGAATAGATGCACCTGCTCCATAGCAGACGGTTTTGAGCCATGTCATTCTAGGTCTCCAATCATCAGTTGCTATCATCTCTCAGACCTCAACCAAGGTAGTCAACACCTACCAACATAGCTCAGTCCACTTGTCAGTGACTTAATAGATTTTTGTACTGTGATTTATTTGACCACCCTTAGCCTTTCTTCCAACCTACTCCTACATCAGGCGACATCGCTCGTCGAGGCAGTCAGTACGCTATCAATCTATCGGAAATGCTCCTGTCATAAATCAAATTATTGTATTTCAAAGTTATTTTCGCTTTGGTTTCTCTTCTTAATCTTGCTAGATTTCATCATTGGAATCGGAAATAAGTCAACTTCAAACAGAGAAAGAACGTTTAACTAAAGATTTAAAAGAAAGTATTGAACAAACTATCGAGTTGAAAGAACAAGTCGATGCTTCACTTGGTGCTGATATTATGGTTAGCCAATTGACACAACGTAATTTAGAATTGGAAGAAATGCTTGAAAAAGTTAAAGAGGAAAGAAATGATTTGGTATGTGTATATGTGTATTGGTATGTATATACATTTATTTATATATGTTACTTATTTACATACTTACGCCTGTTGTTACCCCCATGGTGCATAAGCCGCCAACCAGTATTCTCCAGGCTACTTACTCTGTTCTGGGCTTTCCTTTCCAGTTCTGTCCAGTTTTCGTTCATTCTTCTCATGTGTCTGTCTCCGTTTATCGAAGTGATGTGCTCTCTGGTGTTCCTCTTTTCCTTTGACCTCGATGGTTCCAATTCAGAGCTTGTCTTTTGACGCAGTCGGATGCTTTCCGAAGTGTGTGCCCTATCCACTTCGTTTGCATCTTCCTGATTTCCTCTCCCACAGTAGGTTGTTGCTGATGGTGCCTGGCCAATGAATCTGGAGTATTTTGTGTAGGCAACTGTCAATAAATACTATATATACTTGAAGCCATTAAAATTTAACTGGAATAAATAACCCAACTCCATAGTGTTGAATATTGTTTGTTGAAAGAAAGTTAATCTGAGTAAGATGTTATCTCATTCAAATTAAATTGCGTCAACCGATTGTCAGTGAAACAGTTACTAACTTACTCATGTTATCCCTAATGGAGCGTAGGCCGTCGACCAGCATCGTTCAACTTAATTTGTCCTAGGCTCTCCATCAGAGTTGTTCCCTATTGTTCGCTATTCGTTCTTTTTATATCTGTCTCGGATTGCCGGCGTTGTTTGTTCTTTGATCTTTCGCTTTTCCTTTGGTCTTGAGGATTCCAAGCGAGGACTCACTTTGTGACGCAGTTCGGTTATTTCCATAGTATGTGTTCAATCAACCTCCACCGCTGATGGTGGTTGGCCACCTTACTTACGTACTTACTCCAGTTACCCTTCATATAACATAGGCTGCTGACCAGCACTCTCTAACTCACTCTGTCCTGAGCCTTGCCTTCCATTTCTATCCAATCGCTATTCATTCTTTTCATTTCGGCTTCCGATTCCTCGATCTTCCGCTTTTCGTTTATTCGTGAGTATTCTAAGTGAGGGCTTGTTTTGTGACGCAGTTTGGTGATTTCCACAATATTTATTCAATCAACCTCCAGCGTTTTTTCCTGATATGTTTCTCTGCGGGAATCTGGTTTGTTCTATCCTACAGTAGGTTGTTGCTGATGGTGTATGACCAGTAAATTCTTGATATTTTGTGTAAATAACAGTTAATAATCACTTGTTTTGTTGCATCGGCACCTGAACTAGTGATAGGGAGTGAAGTAGTCGAGCGTGTAGACCGCTTCACTTATCTGGGGAGTCTCATCGGTGCTGATGGCCTGGTGACTGACGAAATCTCAGCTCGGATACAGAAGGCTCGATAGGCTTTTGCCAACCTGTGTCACTTATGGCGTAGGCGTGATATCCGTTCTCTAATCAAAGGACGTGTGTACTGTGCAGCAGTTCGCTCCGTTCTCCTATATGGCTGTGAAACTTGGTCAGTGACAGTAGAAGATATTCGTAGGTTACAGGTTTTCGATCATAGGTGTCTTCGAAGCATTGCTCGTATACCATGGGACAACCGAGTAAGCAATGCTGTCGTCAGCAAACGAGTACTAGGTAAGGATGGCAGATCAATCGACGAAGTGGTGAAACTTCATCAGTTGAGGTGGTTGGGACATGTCTTGCGTATGCCGAACCTCCGACTGCCTCGATGAGCCTTGTTTTGTGGTGTAGGAGTAGGTTGGAAGAAAGCTAGGGGCGGCCAAACCAAAACATGTCAGAAATCCATGAAGTCATTGACTAGTGGACTGAGCCATGTTGGTAATTGTCGACTACCTGGTTGGGGTCGGTGAGATGATAATAATCGATGGTTAGAGACCTTGAATGACATGGCTCAAAATCGTTCGCAATGGCACCGGTGCATTCATTCTTTGTGTTCTATCAAATCTTAATCTTCTGGATTCTTCAACACCTCTAGTTTTTACTTTCTAAACTTTTCTCACTGAATCACATACTTGTTGAATAATATCTTCTAACCCTAACCTCTCCGATTACTTCCAATTCCCTTACTACCTCTACTACTATTGGATTTGATTTGATATTTGCGTCTCTGTGCTGATGTGGTATGGCGACTTGAACTGATGTACTTACGTACGAAGTTCTACGTTGCATCTGACTGACTGACTGTTTTTTCTGGATAATGACTTTTGTTGTCCTACAGGTTTCACGCTTCATACAGTAGAACTGTCTAGACTTTGATATTGACAGTTGTCACCTTGTTTGGTGCGTTTGGTTGTTTGCTTGACAGTTGTTTTAAACTTTTCTCTTTACTACATAAACAGGAAACACTTTGTGAAATGAATGATGAATTACAAGAGAATAGTCGTGAAACGGAATTAGAACTACGTGAAGAAATTGAACGAGCTAATACACAAATTAATCAACTTGTACGTCATTTAGATGCAACACGTGAAACAATCACTGATTATGAACAAACATTAGGTAAATTTCGTGACTTGGTCACTGATTTACAAACACAAAATTCTGATCTTCAACGATCTCTGGCAGATGGTAAACGTTTACATGAACAACAACAGCAACAGCAACAAATTGAACAACAATTACATTCAACAATGTTGTCAACAGATTTTCCTAATTTTATGACCAGTAAATTTGGTGCTACTTCTCAAGCACAAACATTTGCTAAAGTAAGAAAAAATGATTTGTTATTCTTCTTCTTATTAATTTTACAATGATTTTTGATTACTCATGATTACGATTGATTGAGGAACCATGACAAGCAGTGTTGTCCCTAGTATGGGACTCCTCGACAGTGTGTACCTGTGACTTTGTCTTTGACACCTATATCCAGTATCAGTTTTGGTAAAAGCTCATGGTGGTCTATTAGTCGATTGGTAGCTTAGTAGTTAAAGTGCATTCAACTTTCATCAGCCACTAGGTCACAGGTCTTTTGCTGTACCCGCTTCGTATACGTCGATTAGGATAACTGTGTTGTAACATTAACCCTTTCAAAGTTGAGTACGCAGATCTATAAACTGCATATTCACAGCATACTACAAGATCCCCCCATTTCAGTAGTAACTTCTAGGTGACTCTCTTCTATATACTATTTACATACCGCGTTGCAATTAATAAACACCACATACACGCAGTGGATTGGTTTAATGTCATTTAAATATGAACAGAAAGTAAGCATCCGATTTAAACGGACAACTTTAGCTAGATAACTATTAAAAATCGGGAAGTACTTGATGGCGCTTTCTTCCTCGACAGTGTGCATCTACTGTTGCCCATCACAGATTAGACCCACAACTTTTAGATTCCATAACAACTGCTTAAGTTTCAGAAAACTGAGTCAAGATCTTATAGTGTGATTATTTAATCTCAGCCAACTATACTTACTACTCAACTATCTACTGAGTGACTAAGTAGTGTATGACTGACTCAACTATCTAATACATTTGATCGGTAATTGCCCCACACATCCGATATGAAATTGAACTCTACTGTAATACTGTTCCACATAACAATTCGTTTAGTAGTCATTAAAATCTGCCAATTTAACTCTTATTCATTTTTTTTGATCACGTGCAATCGTACCTTTGTAATTCTTTCTGTACTAAAATCAATATAGTGTGTGTGTGTGTGTGTGTGTATTTATTCACTTCCTATTCACTCACTTCTTTATATTATTCTTGCCATAATTTTTCTCTATTGAAAAAAAAAAGGTGATTGAAGCTGAATTAAGACGTTTAGAAGCGGAACAAAGCGCAAATCATGTAGCTCGTTTATCTGCTTTTCTTCCTGATTCATTTTTACGACGTGGCGGTGATAATGAAGCACTGTTAGCGCTTCTATTCATCGATCGTCTCACTGGAAAATGTGATCTATTAGCTAATCATGTGAGTTGATAAAAAAACATTGCATGTTGTGCTTTGTATTTGTGTGTTATACTACTTATAATACTACTACTACTAATAATAATTTTATTTTAGTTTATTGTAATAGAGTTACATGTGATATGCTTGTAATTATTTACGAGTTCACGTTAGTTGGTAAACGAGAACGAAGACAAATGATCCAGTGACACGGTACAAATACAATCAAGCACACAACTCTCGTTTATTTATACAACATAGAAATTACCTTGGGACAGTTATAAAAATAGCACACTAAAATACACAGCAGCCAATCACAGCCATGGATTTTCCTGGTGGGAAATGCAATCTCAAGGTCAATTGATCAGCCCATGCTCTCAAACATGAAATCCAAAATAAGGCATTCATCAAGCGAGTTCTGGGGATCCAACATCCCCAACACTCCTCCCCTTTTTAATAGCGTGTGCTCCTGTGGTCTACTTGCATCTTGACTATCGTTCGCAGATACCTGTGAGGATACCTTCGGGAACGAAGAACAGCTTGCTGCTGAATTTCTTCTCGTGGCGGGGCTCTCGGTAGGTTGAAGGTATCAAGCAGGATGTGAAGTGTATAGAGGATCCAAGATAATCACTGAATATTACATATTCTCTTTCATTCAACAAATCAGATTTAACTCAGAAGCATGATATACATATACACGACATTACAATAGAAAAGTCAACACCGTTTGGTTAAAAATATAAGTCTACCAATAGATTTTTCATGGAGGTGGGTAGTGACTAGCATTGAAATCGTGGACGCGCGTCTCATCGTGTTTCAGACTCGTCAGCTGGATGTGCTGGCATCTTAGAGTCCCATGTTCACGAACAATGCGATGACGCTTGAAGCGAACGTTATTAAGTTTGTGTTCCGTGAGTAAGCATCAACTGTAAAATGCAAGTAGGTTCAGTTGACTAGTTTCAAATAGGACAAAACGTGCATCATGGATTCCACTGCTAGTCAGTATATGCATTCTTCACACTTAGATGGTTTGATGATGATCTGTTTCTTAATGCCCCCAAAAAGGGGGATACAATCAAAACAATGTTGCAAACCATGACTGTTTTAACTTCAACAGTAACCAATCAAGATCTCAATTAACAGAACAATCTACGAGTCATACACATGGAGAATTTGGAAAAATTAACTTCTGTTTGAAGACTTTTGTGCTGATGATGTTGTAATCAGAAGGGTGAACAATGAAGGCTCCACGAGCAAAACAGCATCCAGCTGAGAGAACGAAACACCACCACAGTCGTCCACCTGAACTAAAAGTTTTCTCTTACTTACTTACTTACGCCTGTTACCCACAATGGAGCATAGGCCGCACACCAGTTTTCTCCAACCAACTCTGTCCTGGGCTTCCTCCTCCAGTTCTGTCCAATGTTTGTTCATTCTTCTCATATCTTTCTCTATTTCTCGGCGTAATGTATTCTTTGGCCTTCCTATTTTCCTTTTGCCTTGAGGGTTCCATGTGAGGGCTTGTCACGTGAGGCAGTTAGGTGTTTTCGTAGTGTGTGTCCTATCCACTTCCACCGCCTCTTCCTGATTTCCTCCTTTACTGGAATCTGGTTTGTTCTCTCCCACAGTTCGTTGTTGCTGATGGTGTCTGGCCAACGAATACGAAGTATTTTGCGTAGACAACTGTTAATAAACACTTGTATCTTCTGGATGATGCCTTTCGTAGTTCTCCATGTTTCCACTCCATACAGTAGAACTGTCTTGACATTTGTATTGAAAATCCTGATTTTGGTTTTGGTTGAAAGTTGTTTGGAGTTCCAGATATTTTTCAATTGTAGAAATGCAGCCCTTGCTTTGCCAATCCGCGCCCTCACATCTGCATCGGATCCACCTTTCTCGTCGATGATGCTGCGAAGATATGTAAAGGTGGTAACGTCCTCCAAGGCATCTCCATCAAGAGTGATTTGGTTGGTGCATGTTGTGTTGCATCGGAGAATTTTCCTTTCTCCTTTATGTATGTTGAGACCTACTGCTGCCACTGAGGCTGCCGCTACACTGGTCGTCTTCTCTTGCATTTGTTGTTGAGTGTGCGATAGAAGAGCCAGGTCATCTGCGATGTCTAGATCGTCCAGCTGCGTCCTAACTGCGTCCAGTTGAAACCGTGCTTCCCTCTAGACGTCGACGTCTTCATAATCCAGTCGATTGATGACCAGGAGAAAGAGAAAGGGTGAGAGTAAGCAACCATCTTATAATTATTTTATTTGTTGTTATTTACTCATATTATTATTATTATTATTATTATTATTATTATTATTATTATTATTATCATTTTTATCCAATTTCGACTTTCAATCTTCTCATTTAAATTTTTAAGCTTGTTGAACGTTATCCTTTGCCACCATGTGTACCTGGTCAAACATTAATGCAATTCTCGCAAGTTGATAATCAGAATGTTGTGGATAGTTCAGCGCCAGCGGTTGCAGGAATTTGTATTCCAGGCACTGATAATCCATTACCACCATTAACTAAGAGTAAAGCAGAATTTTACAGTTTTCTAACAAGATTAATTCATTTACTTCGATCAATGGGTTCATTATTAAATCAATACAAACAGTAAGTGTGTGTGTGTGTGCGTGTGTCGTTTCATGCATATTCTTGTGTATTATCAATAATCCTATGGTTAAGAAACAAGTTCTAGGTAGGGATGGCAAATCAATAGATGAAGTGCTGAAACTTCATCAGTTGAGGTGGTTGGGATATGTGTTACGTATGCATAACCAACCGACTGCCTCCTCAAGCTATGTTTTGTGGTGTAGGAGTAGGTTGGAAGAAAGCTAGGGGTGGTCAAACCAAAACATGGCAGAAATCCATGAAGTCATTGACAAGTTGACTGAGTCATGTTGGTAGATGTAGGCTACCTGGTTGGTGTCCGGGAGACGAAAGTCATCGATTGTTAGAGACCTTGAACGACATGGATCAAAATCGTTTGCAATGGCGCAGGTCAGTCACTCAGTTGCAACGTAGAACTTCGTACGTAAGTACATCAGTTCAAGTTGCCATACCACATCAGCACTGAGATATAATTGTCAATTCAAATTCAATAGTAGAAGAGTTAATGAGGGTATTAGAAGTAATCGGAGAGATTAGGATTAGAAGATATAATTCAAGAAGTATGATTCAGTGGTAAAAGTTTAGAAAGTCAAAACTGGAGGTGTTGAAGAATCCATAAGATTAAGATTTGATAGAATGAATGCACCGGTGCCATTGCAAACGATTTTGTACCAGGTCATTCAGGATATCTAACCATCGATTATTATCATCTCACCGACCCCAACCAGGTAATGGACAACTACCAATATGACTCAGTCCACTTGTCAATGGATTTCTGACATGTTTTGGTTTGGCAGCCCCTAGCTTTCTTCCAAACTATTCTTATACTACAAAACAAAGCTCGTCGAGGCAGTCGGTGGTTAGGCATACGCAGCACATGTCCCAACCACCTCAATTGATGAAGTTTCATTACCTCATCTATTGATCTGCCATTCTTACCTAGCACCCGTTTCCTAATAACAGAATCGCTCACTCGGGTGTCCCACGATATACGAGCAATGCTTCGAGGACATCTATGATCGAAAACCAATAACCTACGAATATCTTCTACTCTCAATGGCGCAGGTGCATCCACTCTTTGTGTTCTTTCTAATTCTAGCATCCATGATCAATGTGAAACTCGCGCATTGAATTAGCTAGTGACCCTTCTAGTTGAGCCACTTGACTTTGGCATGTCTACTGAATATTGTGGAATTGAAAAAGACTTTTCTTCATCATTTCGAACATTTTTCATTGTGTTGCTTCTTGAATTGGGTCCTGCTGTTATTATGAAATTGATTGGTGCTAATATATACTGAAATCGACATCCCCGGATTGTATTTTTTTCGGCTTGGCTTTTAAAAAAGCTTTACAGCGGGGGGCGTTGTTATAAAGCGCCACATAACTATTTTTGCGTTTAGTCTGACTGTTATCCTAGTGGTTGGATCGAAACCTTTGAAGGACAAATTTTATTCATCATCTTATGAGCATTGATCAACCGTGTATTAGATCAATCAAGTTTGAGTGTCGGGAAGAGTATTCGGATTCGATTGAGATCCTCTGAACTACAACACGGAGATCTTTAATAGAACTTTGTTCCCTGTGGTACCTTGATTTCTTCGGTATAACTATTTGTGGGATCATTGATGTACATATATTGATTGCATGTCCAAAACAAGGATGAAGCGGTTGTTCATTTCCTTCATTTTGATTTTCAATCCTTCTATTTATGTTTCTCTGTCTATCTGTCGTATAAAAAACTGCTTACCTTCCTAAATCGGATACTAAATATTTGTAATCTTTATAGACTAAAATATTCCATATAAGCAGTCGTTAAATTTGATTTTTACATTGTCTTTACTACTTTCTTGCTACTTATTAATATTCAGTAGTTTGTTTTATTATCAATCATTTTAAGGACCAATTATTTTCTCTTGATTTTAATGAGCTGTTAGTCCATCAGTACTTACAGTTTTATCCTGCTTTCTTACTTCGCATCCGATTTCTTATTCCCTTTTCCTTTTCAAACACTCTTCTGTGTATTATACTCATTCAAACTTGATATTTGACCACAGATTTATGGATATAGTTAAGTTTCATTGAAATAATGAATGGATGATTGTTAGAATTGATAAAACAGTGTGTGATTTCGCACAAGACTTTGGATTGATTCAAGTGAGACTTAATACTGTTGAATACCGGCTCCGTGGTCGAAAGGTTAAGCGTTTGCACGCCAGACCGCAGGTCCTTCGTTTGATTCACGTGAACACTGGGGTTGTGATTTTGAATAATTGTCTACCAATGAATGATCAATTCATAATCTCAATAAAAAAAATGTGATTTATTCTTAGCTGATTGTTGATTTCTACTGTATGGTCATTTATTTCGCTTTGTTTTGTAAACTTGACTACTTATGTTATTGTTACGCACGCCCAGACCAAAACATGGCAGAAATTCATGAAGTCACTAACAAGTGGACTGAGTCATGTTGGTAGATGTAGACTACCTGGTTGGGGTCGGCGAGACGAAAGTCACCAATGGTTAGAGACCTTAAACGACATGGCTTAAAATCGTTTGCAATGGCGCAAGTGCATCCATTCGTTGAGCTCTCTCAAATCCTAATCTTCTGGATTCGTCAGGACCTCTACCCTTGTCTTTCTATCCTTATCTCACTGAATTATACTTCTTGAATAACACCTTCCAACCCTAGTCTTCTTCATTACCATTAATACCACTATTATCTTTATCACTATGGGATTTGATTTGAAACTTGCGTCTCTGTGCTAATGTGGTATGATAACATCAACTTATGTACATACGCACGAAGTTCTACGTTGCAACTAATTGACTGACTGACTACGCACGCTCGTGACCAACGTCATTTGATCTACTTGAATTATTACGAGTTCAGCTTAGTCAGTAAACGAGAGCAAGGATCTATGATTCGGCGACACAACACGCTACTCTAATCCGAGTTTCCTGAATCCTTATTAAATAGAAGAATAAAACTTGATATGAAATAGAACGTGTATTCTACAAGCGTCCAGAAAGTACGATGTGTGAGTCCAGAAGAGAATAAGGATCCCCGACTAGGTATCCAGGTCGTCAAACGTTACAGATAATGCGTATTTATGCAGTTGAGTGGAATAGGAAACAACATTGAATTCTGTGACATTCACAATTATTAGGACGATCATTAGAATTAGACTTACAAACAATGATCTTAGGATATTGGATGAATATTCTAACAGTTACATTCTCGTAAATCCTGTGATTTTAGTAAAAACCTATATAAATTGACATATATTATCCTTTCCTGTTTTTTTTTGTTTTTTTCTGGTTCTATGTCCAAAACAGAATCTTTTCTGCATGCAATGTTGAATTGTATTTAAAATTCGGTTCATTATACAATGAAATGTGTATACATGAACATTGTATTGATCGATTGATTGAACAAACTAAAAATGATCAATTAGATGAAACAATCTCATTAGATTCTTTAATGAAATCATTAGATTATTTTATTCAATTATATAATGTACATTTAAAAAATGAACCAATTTATCATTGTAATGTAAAATTATTAGATTTTACACGTACAATTTTATCGGCTGTGGATGCATTATCAGTTGATTCGATGGCTTTAATGATATTGACTGGGAGAAATGTTGATTGTTTAATACAAATTGCTAAAACTGCTGCTTCCAATGTTACTGGTCCATTAAGTATGAGTAGTATGGATGAGATTAGTTCATCATTATTACTCTTGTCAACATCGTCATCTTCATCCTCATCATCAACTAATGAAAATAGTAATAAAGAAGGATTAATTATTCTTTTAAATGAATTAATTCATTTTGCTACAACTGTACGTGTTATAACACGTCGAATAAAACGTCGTATTCCAACAACAAAATCAACTAGTCAACAATCACAGCAGCAACAATCACAACACCAACAACAACAACAACCTTTATCATTTAATCATGAAGTGGCACAGAAATTAGATTTAGTTATGCAATTATTTAATTCCATTGTTGGTACAATGTATACGACAACACGTTTAGCTGGTCAATTGACAGTTCGTCAAGTGGTAGGTTGCTTTTATTATTCGTTTTTTTTTGGGGAGAATTTGATTAATTCAGTTGAATAATTTACATTCAAGATGGTTGGAATATGTGTTACGCTTGCCTAAGCCACTGGCTACTTTGACATTGCCAATATTGTTTAATGTAAGCGACTAGGTTGGAAAAAAGCTAAGGACAGCCAGATATCCATCAGGTCTGGACTGAGCCATGTTATTATTATGTATACACACTAATTGGTTGTGGTTCGTGAAACGATCGTAACCGGTAGTTGGAGAATTTGAATAACATGGTTCAAAATGGTTGGCGATTCTGAAAATGCATCCATTCATTCTTTGTCTTCTCTCATTTCTCGATAAGCTGATCATCAGAACTAACACAGAACAACTGGAGACTCAAGTAACCCACACAGACTTAATTCTTAACTACGGTAGCAACAACCCAAGAACCCACAAATTCACCTGCATACAAACTTTGTTCAATAGAACGAAGATACATTGCAACACATTGAAGCACTGAAAACTGAAGAAAAGCATCTTATGACTATCCACGCAATTTCATTAAAAAAAACATCAACTGAAATCGTCAACAGAAGCGAAATCAAGTACAGGGACCAATAAACGGATCATCCTACCGTACAACACGACTACTGAGACCATTTATAATAGCCGTAGCATACAAACCAACAGAATCACTTCAATCAATCCTATGTTATAGACCAAAGGACAAAATGACAAAGGAAGGAAAACCAAATATCCCATCTACAAAATAAACTTCCCCGACTGTGAAAAACACTACATAGGACAAACGGGACCTCCTCTTCAGCTTCAGTTGCGTGAACATCAATTGACAGTCAAATGCCACGACAACGCTTCGCTTATATCAATACATATGGACAGTTATGGACATTCATTGGATCGAAACAATGTGGAAATATTGGATAAGAGAAGCACAAAGAATACTATAGAATTTTTAGAAGCTTTGCGTTCAGGTTAATCAGTAATCAATAACCACTTCGACATTGACGCAACTTATCAACCAATCAGAAAAAGCATAGGTGAAAAAGGATCAAGAAACAAATCAAAAGGCGGATACAATCAAAATAAAGGTGCAAACAATGATAGGTTATTTAGGCAAAGAACAATCAAAATTCTTTACCCAAAACAGCATCCAGCTCAGAGATCCAAACACCACCACACATTCTGATCTTCATAAACTCTCATAACCTTTTTCTTTTCCTGTTAAACTTGTCTCCTTCGGTTATACTTCCGGGATTATATTCCTAATCTTTTCGATTGTCGTTTATATTGTTACTATTTCTACTAAGATCGGATATACGAATTGGCAATTCGATCTCTCTGTGCCAATGTGGTATGGCAATTTTAAACTGATGCGCTTGCGTACCAAGTTCTACGTTACAGCTGACTGAAAAGACTTTCGCAACTAATCGAAGATATTCATATATATATATATATATATATATATATCGATAACATGAGTGTAGTTTTTCAGTACATCGTAATTGGTTAAGTTTGAGCTTACATTCAAGTTGATAAAATAATTAACGATCACTTCATGATTTCAACTGTGCAAATTAAAGTTTATTCCGTTTCTGGGGCTGTCCGTTTGGTGGCTTTCAGCTGCATCCTTATTCTCCGCATTCAGGATAAGTTTAAGCTCAATCCACCAACAGTGTTGATATTTATTGATTTTGCAACAAATAAAACTCAATAATGCATTGATAAACTTTGATCAACACCTAAGCACTTAACAAACATGATATCAACAATTATTCATTGATCACGTAATTGTTAATATATCTCAGAAGTTCATTAGTAGCTTGTTTATCTAAGCAGGATTGTCTCATTCCGCAATATAGTGTGACGGAAGTTTGAATCCATGCGATAACATGCTGTTTGCTCATGATTGCAGATCTAGGTTTTCCTATCGAATAGTTACTACTACCTATCCACTTCCACTGCTTCTTCCTGATCTCCTCCTCCACTGGAATATGTTTTGGTCTATCCCACAAAAGGTGTTTTCTGATGGTGTCTGGCCAATGAATCCGAAGTATTTTGTGTAGAAAACTGTTAATGAGTATACTTGTATCTTCTGAATGATGGCTTTGATGTCAGCTGCAGAACAATTCAAAGATTGAAAGAATTTCCGACAAATGTTTGGCTGTGGTTTAAACTCTCTAATGTTGTACATATTAGCCAGGCTTATCCATGTCCGTTTATTTATCCATCTTGCTTTTTTTTACAGGAAGATTCATCCAATCTGGAACCAAATGTTGTATTTACTCAATGTTTAATAGAAGCATGTAAAGAATACTTGACATCAATTGATCTTCGTACTAGTACTACGACTACTACTACTACTTCACGTCCTAGTGTTATTTCGCCGGAAATATTAATTCGTACGAATTTAACTCAAATTGCACGTATTATAAGTCAACTAGTAGTAGCAATGGAAAATGGTGAATATGATTTTGATGGAACTAAACAACCATTGGTAAGTTTAAATTATTCACATTCATCATAAGATTAGCGTTGGTCTTAGAGACCTGGTTGCATAACCGCAGAGTCCAAAGGACAGCTGCTTGAGGCCGGTCACGCATGGCCTTTTCATGAGAAACTTTTAGTGTTAGCTCCGCTGTTTTTAAAATGCTTCGCAGCTGGAGATGGATTCCGTGGAGTAATATGAGGTGTATCATTTTTAGGGTTGACTTTTTCTGACACCTTCTTTCCTCTGTGGGAAGGCAGCATCTCTGCAGATGCTGGATGTTCGGGGAGAAGCCTGGATGTTGTCACATCCTTCTACAGTCAGCAGTACGACTTCACATCCAGACCATGAGTAACTGCTTTTAGTCTCAGCGTTCTCCAGTGGACCTGTTTGTCATGGCAACCAGCCAATATAGCTTGGTTGGATCATCACCATAGGCAAGCCTGACCACCAAGATCGCGGAGAAAGGGATACTATGGAAAACAGATGTTTTTCTTATTTCAAAATAGAATTGAATAATGAGGGACGTTTTTTGTGGACTTGTGGTGGCCAAATAATATCTGCATGTTCAAAAGCTCGGTAATTAGCTCGTTTAGACAATCGTTACAAAGTAGCGTCTGACGGTTATAAATCAGATGAATTCGTAGTAATGAATACGTTTATTTGGGACGCACCAAAAAGCGAAGCGGAGACGCAATGTGAATAACGTGAAGTGGAGAGGCTAGCGAGCCTACTTCATGGATTACAATGCTACCGAATGGGCTAAGGAAGCGATGTGGAGAATGGCTAACAAGCCAACTCGATGAGACCAAGCTTGACTGAGAATTTATAGTCAAACACAAATAAGACCGACATGTGACCAGCGAGATAGGCATGCACACACAAGCTGACCCGGCAAGCACACTAGTGAGCGTATATGCGAATGGGCGAATGAATGAATGAGATTAAAATGTTCGTATACGAACAAAGAAAAATGCCTGAGTCATCGCGATATTTCAGAGATTAATATTAAAGCGAATAGGATGAGTATGTGCGTAGGTATAAACAATGTTCAGTCATACCAATTCATACAAACCACTTAATAATAAAAGCCAGTGGTACATATGAGTTATTGTTATACAAATGGCCTGGTTAAATAAATTCCCGGCCGTAGCTGCTACCTTGACGTGGTGGTCGGGCTTGCCTATCGTGATGACCCAACCGAGCTATACTGGCTGGACTATATGATCCTCAAGGTTCTACCATGCCAGACAGGTCGATTGGAGAACGATGAGACTAAAAGCAGCTACCCAAGGTCTGAGGGCGAAGTCGTACTGCTGACTGCAGAGGGGTGTGACAGCAGTAAGGTGTTTCCCTCGGACAACCAGCATCTGCAGCGATGCTGCCTTCTCACAAGGAAGGAAGAGGTTAGAAAAGGTCGGCCCTAAAAATGTCACACCTCCCCTAACTCACGGATTTCCGTCTCCTTGGGTAAGGGTGCCCACTAAGGGCCTTTAAGAACGGAGCTAATCCTCAAACAACGTTTCATAAAAAGGCCGTGCGTGACCGGCCTGAAGCAGTTGTCCCTTGGGCTCTGCGGTCACGCACCCAGGTCTCTAAGACCAACACTAATTTATCTTCCTTTTCAGGTTCCTCAAGAAACAACCTTCCACGGTGTGGGCAGCCGGGAAGTGCCAACCGCCCTCATACCCATAACAGCACGCGAGACCGAATTGGTCAAAATCAAATCCTTCCTACACCCCCTAGTACCTCTCTTATCTCCACGACTAACTCTTCTCACATTCATTCATCACAGTGCACAGCTAATGCAGACGATACGAGTTCGCGAAACGTCGTTCCTGATCTCCTTAAACCTCGCTCTAGACTACATGTTGGAGCATTTAATGTACGGACATTGTGTCAAATAGGGCAACAGGCTTCCTTAGCTAGGACTTTAGAAACTCGTGCCATCGATGTATGCTGCGTCTCGGAAACGCGCATACAGGATCCGAGTCACGTCATACACTTGACCACACCATGTCAAAATAAAGAAGCAGCTCGATTTACTCTTCGTGTATCCGGTAGCCATGATGCTGCTTCCCGGGGTCTTGCTGGCGTAGGCATAGCATTGAGTCGTAGGGCAGAACAATCTCTCCTTGACTGGATCCCAATAGATAGTCGATTGTGCGCTGTCCGACTAAACGGGACAGTAAGGCCTCGGAAAGATAGGGACACTGGCCGTTGGCTCTTCATCGTATCTGCCTATGCCCCCACTGAATGCAGTTCAGACGAGGTTAAGGATGAGTTTTACAGAAAGCTTTCGAACCTCCTCCAAAAAGCTAGGCGCTCTGACATAGTAATGATGGCTGGTGACTTTAATGCTCAAATAGGTAGACTAAGTGAGCAGGAGAGACACCTAGGTGCATGTTATGGTGTCGCGGCTCAGAGAACAGACAATGGTGATCGTCTGTTGCAAGTATGCTCAGACAACCGCCTATTCTTAGCAAACACTAACTTTAGGCATAAGGAAAAGCATCTGTTGACCTGGCGACCTCCAAAGTCGTCTCAACGTTGGACGCAACTAGATCACATCGCCATCAGCCACCGATGGAGGGGTGGAGTAGACCTTTTACCAGGTGGCTCGCTTATTGACTTAGAATATGCCGATGACATTGTCCTACTTGGTGAAGACGCTGACAAAATGCAGAGTCTTCTGACTACCCTAAGCAACAATGCAAGCATATTCGGGATGCGGTTTTCCCCCTCGAAATGCAAAATGTTGCTTCAAGATTGGGTTTCATCGGCACCTGAACTAGTGATAGGGAATGAAGTGGTCGAACGTGTAGACCGCTTCACTTATCTTGGGAGTCTCATCAGTGCTGATGGCCTGGTGACTGACGAAATCTAGGCACGGATACAGAAGGCTCGATTGGCTTTTGCCAACCTGCGTCATTTATGGCGTAGGCGAGATATCCGTTTGCTGACTAAAGGACGTGTGTACTGCGCAGTAGTTCGCTCCGTCTTACTTTATGGCTTTGAAACATGGCCAATGAGAGTAGAAGATACTCGTCGGTTATTGGTTTTCGATCATAGGTGTCTTCGAAGCATTGCTCGTATATCGTGGGACACCCGAGTGAGCAACGCTGCTCTTAGGAAACGGGTACTATGTAAGAATGGCAGATCAATCGATGAAGTAATGAAACTTCATCAGTTGAGGTGGTTGGGACACGTGTTGCGTATGCCTAACCACCGACTCCCTCGTCGAGCTTTGTTTTGTAGTGTAGGAATAGGTTGGAAGAAAGCTAGGGGCGGCCAGACCAAAACATGTCAGAAATCCATGAAGTCATTGACGAGTGGACTTAGCCATGTTGGTAATTGTCGACTACGTGGTTGGGGTCCGCGAGATGATAATAATCGATGGCTAGAGACCTTGAATGACATGGCTCAAAATCGTTCGCAATGGCGCCAGTGCATTTATTCTTTGTGTTCTCTCAAATATAGAAGTAATATTTTCAAATCAAAGTCCAGAGTGGTAGAATTAGTAACAGCCTCAGTTGTAGTAGAAAAAACTAGATATAGACAGTCCAATTCAATAAATAAAAGCAGAAATTCGAGGAATAAAGAACTATAAAATACAATTCAAAAATTAAAATCACAACCAAGATTACATATGAATGGATCCGCTTGATTGCAACACATTCTGAGCTATGTCACATCTAACATGACAAACCGTTGGTTAAGATAATAATACGGGTTTTATCATGTTGAGCTCACTACTTTAATGGCCTACGATCTGACTCTCATATTTACAAATGGTCGAGCACGTGATGAAATAAATCTGCCCTTCAATTTCCGTAAATCATGCTTAAGCCAAACACGTTTGTGCGACGGCGGTAATAAGAAGTCATATACGGTTTTGTCGATAAATTTACTTCATACAATCGTTCACGCAGACAGAATAAGGAGCGTATAAGCAAAGCAAAGCAAACCGAAGTGGAGAAGGCGAGTGAGCCAAGTGTATGTGATGAGGCATGACACTAAGTATTTACAGCCAGACAAAAATAAGTCAGACATGTGACAAGCGTAGTAAGCATATGTAGACACAAAATCAAGCCGTGACAACCAAGATCGAAGCGATTAATTGGCAAGGTCGAAAGACGAGTGAATAGTGACTCGAGTAAAAAAGCTTAATTAGTTTGTCTCAAAACTGAGGACAAGCCCTGTGGGCTCGACACACACCACACATGTACTTTTTATTCTCTGTGTTCTCTCAAATCCTAATCTTCTGGATTCTTCAACTTTCTAAACTTATCTCATTGAATCATACTTCTTGAATAATATCTTCTAATTCTAACCTCTCCGATTACTTCTAATACCTTTACTACCTCTTCTACTATTGGATTTGAATTGACAATTATATCTCTGTGCTGATGTGGTATGGCGACATGAACTGATGTACTTACGTACGAAGTTCTACGTTGCAACTGACTGACTGACTGACTGACTGGTTAAATAAATTAACCGAAACGCTTGACCTAATAAAATATGAGCGAATTCATATATATGTGAGGTCACTACAGACTGATCCTGCCCGGTGGAAGAAAGAGAGTTCGCTTTCATATTTGAATAGCTTTCATATGGCTAGAATCGCATAAATAGCCAGTGTCAGAGAAGATTTACTCATCCACTATTAGTAACAGGGATGTTATCCAGGAAATTTACAAGACGAAAACAGAATGTTAGTGGATGTTAACAGTCCATCTAGAGGAATTGGAAAATCAATATCATCATCATTATCGTATAGAAATGATGGGCATAGGCTTCAAGATGCAGAGGGAACTCATTGTGTATACGCTTATTATTGGTCATTGGTTAGGAGTAAAACTTATCCCCTAACATTACTACCACTATCTTGTGTGATTAGGTCTTTTGGTCAAACTCAGAGGAAGTGATCCTGTTTAGATTTAGGAACTTATACACAGACTCATTAAATTTGTATGACACATAAAAAAAATAGCCTAACTAATGTGTAGACTTCATCAAATGTGTTTTTTTTGGAAATTTACCATCACCTGTACTCAATAGATTTCTAATCTTTACTCAGTACTATGCGCTTAACCTTAACAATGAGAACTCAGCTAACAACTCAGTATTCAAATGGAGAAACAGCTTGAAAATCTTATTGCATTATTCAGTAGTATAGTATGATTTCTTTTTTTTTTTTCATTGATTGATTATTAAACATCTGTTTTTTATTTTCTCTTCAAATATTTCCAATGTTGTATATGTTAATGATGGTGTTCTAGCCTCAAGAACCAGTTGTTACACGTGCTATCGCTTATAAACGTGCACAAACTGAGCTAGAAGGATGTCGTGCTAAATTAGATAGTCGTGGTGAAGAAATACGTGAATTACAAAAAGCATTGAAAGCACGTGCAGATGAATTAAGTGAAATGTCTGTACGTGTTGGTTTAGCTGAGAAAAAATTAGAAACAATTGGCAAAGCAAATGAAGAGAAAATTTCTCGTTTAGAACAACGTTTAGAACAATCGGAATCACAACAGAAACGTAATGAAAAGTATGTGTTTTGCTTGAATATTTGTGCTGGGGCTGGATTATTTCAAATTATTGGATTTTGATTTCCTACGTTGGATCCTTAAATTGTATAGCTTGTTATATAAGTATTTGACTTCAACAAAGTAGCTCTTTAGTTGTGTTATTTATCTTTCAACTTATCTCTTGTTAGTTTATAATGTAAACTTGATATACTGATTAGTTGAGCTATCAGTCAGTATATATGTTGTGGATACTCTAAGAATGGTCAAAGAGGTCAATAACAACATCATTTGTATCCTAAATTCATGGTCGCTCAAGTTTTCAGAAGAGCCATCAGCCTCATGACTTTCGAGTGCACTCGGCTTTGATTATGGGACATCATAACTCTTCCAAATGAAGACCTTCTAAGTCCCAGGTCATTGGTCAATAATTTTATTTAATAATTTTCTGGCTATCCTTTTATTAGTGAGTTAATTTTCTACGGCATGAGGTCGCTAATCCTACCCTTTATTCAGGCTTGGGTCGGGTAGGAACCCGAGAAGGGCTCTAGGTGTATTCAGGTGTAATTATGATGAACATTCTATATAGGCGATACATTTCTAAATCAGTAAGTAGATGACTCATTCTGTGAATTGTTGCCACCCTTGTATAGCACTCTCCGACAGTGCGCATCCGCCATTCTCACTTGCCGTGATCAGTGGAGTTCGGCCATGTCGAGTGTAAGCAGTTTGTTACCTAGCAAAGAATATGGATGAAGTTGCGCAATACCTTGGATTGATCAAAGTTGAATATTCCACTGTTGATCTTAAACTTAGTTTACATAATTCATAATGGTCACTAACCCTAACTCAGGTCTCATACAGTCAGAAAAATGAAAATTTCGCTATTGTGAAAAAATCATCACGCAACTTGAAGTTAATAAGAGTGTTTGAGCTCATTCCCATCAAGCTTGGATGTATCTCTTGTTATCCTGTGTGCGTACCATATACTTTACTACTATATAGAGCTAAAGATTTCATATGAGACCAGAGGTTCGTTGTGAACATGGTGGATGGTTTGGCATTATTTTGGCATGTTTTACCGTCTGGCCACACACAAATTTGGTCTGCCAGATGTCCCATTTGATTGATACTGGTGGTGGTGGTTACCTTGTGCCATTCCCGAAGTTCATTGTCATTGGGATGCTGTACTACAAATCACCACTATTAAATGTAATGACTACGACAGTCATGTAATCGAGATTGATCGAATTGGCCTGTTCATGCTGTGCGTATTAACTGACACGATCATGGATCGGAAATAATCACTAAACATGTACTGGTTTACTTAAATGGTGTTTGCTATTAGGTACCCATGTGCCTGTGTCACAGGATTGAACTGTATACTGTTCAAGTTGTAGTGTTCTCCTGTAAAACCAAGGTAAAACTACTTTTGCCCTATTAAGGATAGAGATTTATATAGTCTCTGTATATAAATGTAATAAACGGGTTGATAGCGCAGTACAGTACTTATATCTTAATTATAGTAATTTTCTTTATTTTTTTATCAAACAAACCCAATTTAAAAAAAAAATCAGAGAATATGAACAAACGTTGGATGCACTTCAAGCAGATATTGAAGCATTAGAACAAGAAAAAGCTGATCTTAAAGAAAAATTGAAAACGTTAAGTAAAAAAGCTTTATTCGAAGGAATCATTAAATCACCATTGATACCAAGTAAGTTGAGTTGGTGTCATTTTTTTTTTCTCTTGAGTTTATTGGTTTCTATAACTTATAAGATATTATATTCTATTGATGTAATGGCTTAAATCAGGGGCGACCAAACCAAAACATGGAGGAAATCCATGTAGTCATTGACAAGTGGACTGAGTCATGTTGGTAGATGTAGGCTACCTGGTTGGAGTCGGCGAGATGATAGTCACCGATGGTTAGAGAACTTGAACGATATGGCTAAAAATCCGTTGCAATGGCTCAGGTGCATTCATGCTTTGTTTTCTCTCAAATTCTAGTCTCTTGATAAGTTTATTTCACTGAATGATACTTCTTGAATAATATCTTCCATCCCGAATCTTTTTGATTGCTGCTAATATTTCTAATACATCTACCACTGTGTTATTTGGATTGAAAATCTCGTCTGTGTGTGCTAATATGGTTTGGCAGGTCGAGTTAATGTCTGCACATGTGAAGCTCTACGTTGTAGCTGACTGACTTATGCTAAAGTCATCAAGTGGATTTCTACCATTGATTTGGTTACAGTTTGATGCTACTTCTTCACCTCTTGCATTGATGAAGAATCTAACCCTAATGTACCGATAGTCTGAGTTATAGTTAAAGAGTATTGTTTCGTTGTTTATATTTAAAGATTTACAAATCATTCTTGTTTCTATGCTCACCGCTTTATTATAGTTTCATTCTTTTATGTGACTATCTGTTGTGGTTTCCTTTAACACGTACATTCCACAAGCCTAATTTAAGTTTTCTGGGTTTGGCATCCCTTTCTTTTTTCGTTTTTTAGAATAATAAAGTTTGTTAGGGGCAGAAAGTGTGTGTGTGTGTGTGATTTCCTCTTATCTCTAGCTTGAGAACCATTGCCACTGTTGATAAAATTACACTGTATCCCTTGTATTCAGTCGGTGAGTATCGGTAGAAATGAGGATTACCACAATCTTCACCACCTGAATCGTTGCTTGCGTTAGACCAGGAGAATGAGTCTAGCTATCCAGGAGGCAGTACATGGATGTGTGAATTAGTCTTTACATCCTGAAGTGTATATTCAGATAAAGTTTTTTAGCTAGTTATTTTTCTATGTGATGGGGTTAATGACCCTATGCCAACCCCTGCGTCTTAGCATTGTATCGGCAATAACCGCAGAGAGTATCCAGGAGGAGTTATATTTAGACACACCTGATTGTAAATCACGATATGTTTGGCTACACATATATTTAGATTGATTAGCGCAGCAGATTGTAGTGCAATTGTTTAGATACCTTTCAGGTTTTCGATGTAGCATGGACACTGTTTTTTTTCAATGACGTTGACTTTCGCTTAGCATTCATGAAACGAGGAAAAAATATATTCTGAAACCTGTTGAAATGGATACACACAAATATTATTGATAAAGATGTATTCATTTAGTTTCTAAAAGACACGACATCTGACCACCTACATTAAAGTGGATTACATAAAACTCATAAATGGAACACTGCTCAACATACAATATTATCAATATGTTGATCATCGACCGACAACCTTGCTAAATGCTTGATAAAATCACTGTATCTTATGCTACGGCATCCACCATTGCAGTATCAGTGTGAGTGCTAGTCAGTCAGTCAGCTACGTACGTACGTACGTACTTCAGTTCAAGTTTCCACACTACATTAGCACTGAGATGCAATTGTCAATTCAAGTCCCATAGTGGTAGTAGGGTCAATAGAATTATGAGCAGTAATTGGAAAGACTAGGGTTCTAAGATATTGTTCTAGAAGTATAATCTAGTAAAATAAATTTGAGAAGAGAAAGATGAAAATCATGAGGAATCCAGAAGATCAGAATTTGAGAGAATATTAAGAGTGGATATACCTGTGCCATCGTAAACGATCTTGAGCTATGTCATTGAATGCGTCTAACCATCGGTTACTGTTGTATCGCGGACACCTACCTTGCTCAGTTCACTTGTCAGGGACTTCATGGATTTGTGCCATTATGAGAGTAGTAGTAGTAGTAGTAATAAACATTAGTATTTTGATGTGGATGTCAACCATGATCATTAAAGTTGTATATATATACACTGATCAATGTATCACTGTACTCTTCAATATTTCTAGTATGTAACGACAGTGAATGTTTGAAAAGGTGAACTTTCAGAACACCATACTAACTGAATTATTGCTTCTTCCTTTTTTTGTTCCTCAATTATTTATTAACTATTTATTTTATTCTTTTGCCTGTAAGATTTGTACATTGTTGTACATTTCTTATGTCATATGTAGAGCTAATTCAACCTAGGAAAATAACGTCTGATTGTTCCCTTCTGACACAACAACTTTATATTAACAAATAACTCCTTACTTACTTACGCGTTTTACGCGTCATGAAGATTAGCCCGCAAACCAACATTTTCTATCCTGAAATCTGCTTCCAATTTTTACCCGATTGTTGTTCATTTTTCTCATGTCTCACTCCATTTCCCTATATAACGTGTTTTATGGTTTTCCTGTTTTCCTTTGGCCTTAGGGATTCCAAGTGAGGGGTTGTCTTGTGACCCAGTTGGGTGCTTTCCTCAATGTGTGTCTTATTCACTTAATAATTCCCACTGTCAATTATTTTCAATATTTTAGGCACACCACAATCGAAAACTCAACCTTCAACTGGTCCCACAACTGCAGCTCCTGCATCTGGTGGGCAAGCGTCAATCGAGTGTTCATCTCCTTCACCTGGTCCAGCTCGTTTGGCTGCTTATCGAGACGCATCATTTATGGCAATGGAGGTTGGTTTTCATCGATATGTTAACAATTTTTAATAAGAAATTCGTTTAAAATTTTGCAGTGATTTCACATTGTACAACTATACAAACATGTAAGATATCAATTACTGCTTGTCGCATCTATGGTAAAACAATCAATAGGCGAAGAATTGAAATCTCATCAGTTAGGATGGTTAGGACATGTGCTACGGATGCCCAACAACAGACTGCCTGGTGTAGGAATAGGTTGAGAGAAAGCTAGAGGTGGCCAAAACAATACGTGGCACAAATCCACGAAGTCAATGACAACTAGATTTGAGTCATGTTGGTAGGTGTTAACTACATGGTTGATGTCTGCAAGATGATAGATACTGATGGTGAGACACCTTGAAGGTCTTGGTTCAAGATCGGTTGCGATGGCGCAGGTGCATTCATTCTTTGTCTTGTGTCGAAACCTAATTCGCTGGATTCTTCATCTCCTTTATCTTTCTCTTTTTAAGTTTATGTCACTAGAATATATTTCTTGAACAATGTCTTCAAACCTTAATTTCACCGAATACTCCCCCATGCTTCTACTACCTCTACTACTATGGTATGGCAACTTGAATTGATGTACGTTCGTACGTACGAAATTCTACTTTTTAAGTTACAGTTTACCCAGTCGCTGTTCATTCTTTTCATATCTGTCTGCAATACTTAGCGTAATGTGTGCTTCGGTCTCCCTCTTTCCTTGTTGTCTTGTGGATTCCAGGTGAGAGCTTTTCTTATGACGTAGTTGAATGCGTTCCTCAATGTTTTACTTATCCGCTTCGAACACTCTCTTCTTCCACTGGGATCTGTGTAGTTTTATCCCACAGTAAGTTGTTGCTGATAGTATCTGGACACTGGATCCAAAGTATCTTGCATATTAGTAAAGCTTCGTGTTTATATAATAAATAATAGAAGAAGTATTCATTTTTACTTCGGATTGATGAGTTCAATGAGTCGGTACCTGCGACTTAATAATTTTTAATTCCCTAAAATTCACCATGTATTACCGATTGTACTACTGTGACTATTTAAATTTTTCAGTGAGATTTTTCTTGACGTTTGTGTACAGCTTTTATAAGTTGAACTACTTAGTATATAATCTTGACGCTACTGGAGTTGTACTTTACGTACGCCTGAGATGCCTTAGGAGCCTAAAGGAAATAACTATTCTACACACTAACGAATTACCTGATTGATTGACAATCCAAACGAGAAGACGTTCATAGCAGAAGACTTTATCCGATCCCTTCCCAATGTAACAAACTCAAAAATGTTCACAGATAAAAGTTATCATTGACGAGACTATAATGAACATCTAATGAGAATATAATATCACATCAAACAAGTGTGTTATAGTAAAAAAACTAGGGTACAAAGATTATGTTATGATGGGTAGTATCTGACATCTAAATGTGATACGTACTAATCCTCCGAACTGGGCTACTTCAGCGAAAAGACGTGAGTGTAAGAGAAAGTCTATTCGAATAATACCGATTATTATACGTACATAAATGTATGTTGATAGTTATATACGTTCCTCCTTTAGGAAATTGTCTTCAAGTCAGTTTCTCATATCGCCACTTCTGATTGGTTTAGTCTATATTAGATCATATGTAGATTGTGATAGTTTTGGAACACAAGAAAAATATAACCGTAACTTGAAGAAAATGATCAAAAGCTTACTGTTATTTGAGTAGGGCAGAGGTGTAACTGAATCTTAGTTTAGAATCGATAGTTTGTGGCTAGTGTTGAACTCTAGGACTCTCGTTTCATACTGTTCGAGATTCTTTAGCCGTATGTAACTGCATGTGGGAGTCGATGTTCAATTTAGGACTCGAACCTAGTCAAAATATCAACAGTGGGATAATCCCAACCATTTGAAATAGAATTCAATCTTATACTCATTGCAATAGTTGAGTAGCTATCTGGAATTAATAGCTTAGTGGATAACACGATGTAGTTCGAAGCCAACAGTATGGATTCGAGTCGCTCGGAGGACATTTACCCTGAAATACAGTCATATCCAGCTGACAAGTCCAAATTTGGACGAGGCGCGCGTCCTGTATCCCATTGCTGACCACATCTTATTCTATATAAACTTGTGTCATAGTGGTCATGTTGAGACAATCTTCATAGACTGCCCAAATGTCAGCCGAAATTGAACAAATTTCATTTATGTAGACATCTATGAAGGTTAATGAGATATCGGTTGTTTAAAATATCTTTTCTTATTTGTTGTAGATTGAAGCTCTTCGTGAAGCTGTTCGACACTTAACTTCTGAGGTGTCCCGACTCCGTGGCGAGAAAATGCTTGTACGTTTTCGCATGTGAATAATTTCTATGTGTTATTATGATTATTCAATTTTGTTGACGATTATTAATTCCAGGTGTGCTGTTACGGGGATTTTTTCAGTGGTGGACCTTCTTCCATCAGAATCGCTTACTGACTTGGAATAATCTATTCAGTGAAGACGCTGACAAAATTCAGAGTCTTCTGACTACCCTAAGCAACAATCCAAGCATGTTCGGGATGCAAAATATTGCTTCTAAATTGGCTTGCTACGGCACCTGAACTAGTGATAAGGAGTGAAGTAGTTGAGCATGTCGACCGCTTCACTGGTCTCGGGAGTCTCACTAGCTTTGATGTCCTGGTGACTGACGAAATCTCAGCAGGGATACAGAAAGCCAATTCACGTCATTTATTGCGTAGGCGAGATATACATTTGCTGACTAAAGGACGAGTGTACTGTGCAGCAGTTCTCTCCGTTCTCGTATATGGATGCGAAACATGGCCGGTATGAGTGAAAGATATTCGTTGGTTACTAGCATTCGTTCATAGATATCTTAAAAGCATTGCTGGTGTATCCTGAGACAACCATATAAGCAATTCTGTCGTTAGGAAACGAGTTCTAGGTAAGAGTGGCAGATCAATAGATGAAGTAATGAAACTTCATCAGTTGAGGTGGTTCGGACATGTGCTACGAATGCCTAATCACCGACTGCCTCGACGAGCTTTGTTTTGTGGTGTAGGCGTAAGTTGGAAGAAAGTTAGGGGTGGCCAGACCAAAACATGGCACAAATTCATGAAGTCACTGACAAGTGGACTGAGTCATGATGGTAGATGTAGACTACCTGGTTGGGGTCCGCGAGATGGTAATAATCGATGGTTAGAGACCTTGAATGACATTGCTCAAAATCGTTTGCAAGGGCGCAAGTGCATCCATTCTTTGAGCTCTCTCAAATTCTAATCTTCTGGATTCGTCAGCATCTGTACTATTGTATTTCTAAACCTATCTCACTGAATCATACTTCTTGAATAATATCTTGGAACCCACTTCTTCTATATCACTAATAGTACTCCTACTTCCTCTACCACAAAAGTATGTGAACTGCGTCTCTGTGCTAGTGTTGTAACATGAAGTGATGTACTTACGTAAGAAGTTCCAGGATGCATCTGACTGTCTGACTGATTAATTCCAGGTTGTTTATTTACACTGAAAGAATAGTTCCTCTTGATGAATTTAAAATGAACAAGACATTGTAAGAGGTGCATACAATAAAAATAGGTTGAAGAATGCTGGTTTGCAGCGAATGTTCTATTAAGAGCAACTGGAGTAAGTATATACTTTAGGGGGTACTTTGTTGATCTTAGAACATCACTTCATCTAGCATATCCTAGTTTCCCTACATCTTTCTGTCTTAATCAACCGCTAACGATACACTAATCAGAATCTGGACTGATAATTCTTTATTAGTGTTCGACTCCAAATAAACGACGTAAACCTTAACGTTTTGTTGATCCGCCAATCAAACATACTTTTTTAATACTCCTAGTCATAAATACTTTTCATGTATATATGCATTATCAAACTTTAGTACATTGTAAATAACAAAATTCATAGTTTAAGCAGAAGCATGTCAAAAATTCAAGCAAACTGTGAATCATTGATTAACCATGATTAAGTTACAGTACAATGTGTAATTAAATTAAAGAGATTATAGAATTATTTCCCTACAATATTCCTTTGTCCATTTTAATATAACACGATTAAATTTTTTATAATAATTCCATGCTTGAAGTCGAATAATTTCGGATAAATTTCTATTGCGTTGTCATGGTTGAATTTGAATCGACAATAACTGTCAGACTGTTTATGAAGTTAGACTGTCTTCGAAATTTTATCATGTACCCATGTTTTTTATAACCTTTCCCACCGAAGTTCTTTGTATCCACTGCCTTAACTTGGTGTTTGTTTTTTTTTTAGCAAGAAGCTAAAACCGAGTTAGTAATTGTTTATAAGCTAGGGTAATTTAGAAACAGTGAATCGATATTAAGGTTGAACATGGGCTTCAGAATCCTGTGGGAGAACGTTTATAGTTACCATATGACGGTATCTCGTTATCTTGGCCACTGAGAAATCGACTGCTTTAGTTTCAGTGTTTAAATACTAGTTATTTAACCTAATACAATTAGCTCGAAGTAAATATTCCTTCATTCGATTCTTATACTTTTCTATGTTCTAAATAAACATTCTGTCATAGAAATCTACTTAAACTGACTATTACTTAAAAGAAATTTAAAATTTTATCCTGAAGTCTACATTCACTATTCTAAGGTTAAAAGTGGGGGGTTTTGAAAAGTGCATTATTTATTTATTTATTTAATATATATATATATAGACATGGGGAACCTAAATATTTATGCACTGCACAAAGGTTGTTCGACTATTCAAACCAAAGTAAGCGATCTCCCCAAAGCTCCATTAAATAAGCCTTTGTCATATGGGTCTAGCCTACAAAGCATTAGCACAACATGAGGGTTTGAAGTCTCATGCTAGCCATTGACAAATAGTAGGCTCATACACCATTTGTCTCTTAATGATCCTAGAGCTCATGTTAACTATTGGCTTGGGAACAGGATATTCTAACTGCTCTAGTCATGGATCGTCTGTATCCACCAACCTGGTAAAAGACTTGGACATTGGCTTTGCATTACACATTCATAACACGGTTTCCAACTGATAGATCACAGATTAGATAATAAACCCCGTTTCACCTACTCAACTCATTGTGCATAACATTATTGACTATTCATAAAATACTTTCCTATCTTCAACTTTGACGTGATGTTCGGGTTTGCCTATCACGATGATTCAACCGAGTTTTACTGGCTGGAACGTTCCTTTGGGTTCTACAATGCCAGGCAGGTTGACTGGAGGATGGTTAGACTCAAAGCAGCAACTATAGATCGGAGGGTGAAGTCGTACTGCTGAGTGTAGAGAGGGGTGACAGCAGTAGTACATTTCTTTCCAACAACCTGCTTTCTCGCAAGGAATGAAGGTGTTAGAAAAAAATCAGCCGTAATAATGTCACACCTCACCTTCCTCCACAGATTTCCATTTTCAAAGTCATTTGAAGAGTGGAGCTAACACGTTAAAAACTTCCCATAAAACGTCCATTCGAACCGGTCATAAGTAGTTGTAACTTGGGCTCTTTGGTCACGCTACCAGGTTGTTACCAAGACCATCACCAATGCAACTTCTTATTAAGGTTCTTCAAGAACCACCTTCTCACGATGTGGACAGCTGGGAAGTGATATCCGATCTCATAAGCATAACAGCACACCAAAAGCCAATTAATCATTGACTGACTTCAATTAGTATTTTCTTCTATTGATCAGATGTTTCATCAAAGCTCTAACTATTTCTTTTCATTCCTGAATAACATTTCAAATTAACTTCTTTTTTTTATTTTCTTTGTAAAACTCTAGGAACAACTAAAAGGTTTAGGTTATTTACCAAAATCATCACATCGTCGTCAAATAAAACCGGTCAATGTCAATGATGACGATGTTTCAGATAAAGAGAATAAACCTATATCTGTGTATGAACAACAATCAAATCTTTCAAAAATTGTACATGATGCCAATATACTGAAAACAGAAATTTTCACTGTATTTGCTAATCCGCAAGTTGTTCAACTGCCCAAACTATCCACAAAACAACCAATCAGTGAAGCATCAACTATAACAGATACTGGAAATGATAAACCATTGTCTACTACTACTACTGTACAATTGAATAAAATTAATCAACCTAGTGCTACATTACAATTTAATCGACAATCGATGAAATTGATAAGATTGAAAAACGAATTAGAAAAGGTAATGTCATATATATATATATATATATATATATATATATAATTTGCTGATTATTTCTTTTGTTACAAATGCTAACTGATGATGAAAGTAGAGAGTAGACATTCGAAATGCAGTAAGCTCATGATCGATTTGCATGAATGATGTTGTACTGCTTTATAATCAAGATATGCCGATTCCTCTTAATGGACTGTTTACACAGACTAACCAGATTTAAACTCTTATCGGACATTCATTTTGCGGCCTACCGATTTCATAGATGACATCTCTGTTATTAAAAGTCAATGAGTAAATGTTCCCTGACACTGGCTATTTATGCGATTCTAGCCATATGAAAGCTAATCGAAAAGGAAAGTGAACTCTCTAGTTTCACCGTGTAGTATCAGTCCACAAATAACGTCCATCATTATTCAATTCTATTTTGAAATAAGAAAAACATCTGTTTTCCATAGTATCCTTTTCTCCGCGATCTTGGTGGTCAGGCTTGCCTATGGTGATGATCCAACCAAGCTATATTGGCTGGAACATATGTTCTTATAGGTTTTGCCATGATAAACAGGTCCACTGGAGAACGCTGAGACTAAAAGCAGTTACTCATGGTCTGGATGTGAAGTCGTACTGCTGACTGTAGAAGGATGTGACAACATTTGGGCTTCTCCCCGAACATCCAGCATCTGCAGAGATGCTATCATATTAGAACGGAAGGAAGGGGTTCGAAAAGGTCGATCATAAGAACGTCATACGTCACCTTACATCACGGATTTGTGTCTCCAGCTGTAAAGCATTTTAGAAAAATGCGGAGCTAACAATTGAAAGGTTCTCATAATAAGGCTATGCATGACCGGCCTCAAGCAGTTGTCCTTTGGACCTGCGGTTATGCAATCAGGTCTATAAGACCAACACTAGACTTATTGAGGTAACTCAAGAAACACTTTCATGATGTGAGCAGCAGTCACTAAGACCAACGCTAATCTTATGATGAATGTGAATATTTTAAACTTACCAATGGTTGTTTAGTTCCATCAAAATCATATTCACCATTTTCCATTGCTACTACTAGTTGACTTATAACACGTGCAATTTGATTTAAATTCGTACGAATTAATATTTCCGGCGAAATAACACTAGGACGTGAAGTGATAGTAGTAGTAGTCGTATTACTAGTACGAAGATCAATTGATGTCAAGTATTCTTTACATGCTTCTATTAAACATTGAGTAAATACAACATTTGGTTCCAGATTGGATGAATCTTCCTGTAAAATTATAAGATGATACGTACATGCAAATGTTTCTATGATGAATGCCTAGTGATGCCTAGTAGATAGACAAGAGATTTATATCGCTAGATCAGCTACAACGTAGGACTTCATAAGCACGTACGAACGTACATCAGTTCAAGTTGCTGTACCACATTAGCACACTAAGGGTGCAAATGTCAACTCAAATCCCATACTGGTAAAGTTAGTAGATATTTTGGCGGTTATGATTAAGATTAGGGTTTCACGAAATTGTTCAAAGAGTATAATCTAGCGAAATAAAATTGGGAAGATTGAGATGATGATGAGGAATTCAGAAGATTAGAATTCGAGAGGCAGTTGCGCCATTGAAAACGATTTTGAGCAATGTCGTTCAAGGTCTCGAACTATCGGTGACCATTGTCCCGTGAACATCAACCTGTTAGTCTACACCTACCAACATGACACGGTATACTTCTCAATGACGTTTGTGACATTCTTTGGTCTACCGTACGCCTACATCAGGTTTCATCGCTAGTCGAGTCAGTCGGTGGTTGGGACATGTATTACGACTTTTCACTAATTTATATATTGGTTTGCCATGCTTACCGAGTATTCTTTTCCTAACGCCAGTATTGCTTACTCGGTTGTCCCGAGATATACGAGCAACGCTTCGGAAACAGCTACGATCGAATACCAGTAAGCTACCATTATTAGGGCATAATAAGCAAGAAATATGACTATAAAGACTCTTCACTTTTAATTATCTTTACTTAGTCTATTGTATTGATATTGACTTTTTATCTTTAACCTATTTTCTGTTCCTGTCTCTCATAGCTACAACAACGTACACTTGAAGCATTAAAAACCGAATCACCCAATACATCAATTCAAGCCGATTTCGCATCATTTCCATCAATGAAAATGAAACAATTCTTATTGAATTTGATAAATCCCAGTGATATCTCCTCATCATCATTACATTATCGTTTATTATTTCCTGGTAGTTGTAGTAGCAGAAGTAGTAGTAGTAGTAGTAGTAGTAGTGCATCTACTGGTGACAAAAAACAAGGCGACATTCAGAGCGACCATTTGAAACCAACAAAATTGTTTATGACTAAAGAAGATTTACATCAATTACATGCACATTTGTTAACAGTTTAACTGTATTGAATTGTTGGTTGATTTGTTTTGTTTGTTCAAGTTTTCTTTTGTTTAAGATTTATTTCTTTTTTCATGAATAAGACGGGGTGCCGCTTACTCAAATAAATTGAAGATATATATATATCTATATATATATGCATATAAATATATACACATATGCTTGGTTATATATACATAATTCAAAGTAAGTATTCATCATAGTATCCATTACATTATCCATCAATTCTTTACTGTTGTTGTTTGAATCCAATTTAAAAAAGAATAAACACAAGATCTATTTTCCCCATTGTTTTGTTTCGTCATTCTCATTTCTAATTGGAGTTGACTTGTGGTTTTGCTGATGAATAAATAAAATTAATGAATACACAGAAATGATTTATTTGTACACTGATATCCGAAGAACATTAGGACAAGTGTCGTGTCAAAACGATACAAGTTCAATGACATAATGTGTTGTGTTATGAATTGACGACTTTTCTGAATGAAGTTTTGAATATTTAAGCAAATGAACTTTATTTGTGTAACTAGTGGTTTTGGTACGGTATTCACAAATGGTCAGAAGTCTGATGATATGAGTTAAGTTTGCAATAAACTCGGTTGGTGGAGTATAAAAGTAGCAACAACCCGTGAGAAAAGGACAAAGATTAGGTGGCATTACAAGTTCTAGTGACTCTCAATTGCGTTTGTGGTTAAAGAGGAAAGACTGTCGATTGTTTGTTGTTAAACTAGCTAACCTGTAATCTCTTTATTCTGAACCCGCTACCAGTCGATTGATAATGACAAGCGTTGCTTCCGAAATTTCTTCCTTAGCCCGAAGCTTATCAGTTTATCAGTAGTATAATACATACATCAATCTGCCAGACATTCAGAGCAAATCATAAACTATCAATGCTCACACTACGTACCTACTTCACTATGTGTAGCTCTAGTTTGGACGAAGCATTCACAAGTTAAGTGGTATACAGGTTGAGTGTTTGATCGTGAGTAAGCGATTCCATATGTATTTACAAACAATGCTTAAATCAATTTCGCTGGCATAAGAGTACGTTTTAAAATAACAAGCAAATTTCATACCAAGACACAATATCAATCCATGACTATTGGATTTGGTCGTGTAATTAGATGTACACTACATGATTGCAGCCGTCAAATTTATCATAAAAAATCATCAAGTCCACATATTTTCATCTTTCTCTGTGCTGATGAACCAATGCACGACTGTGTCAGGTTTCATGTCGCTTATGACCGACTGAATAGTACGTCAACAGTAGTTGATTGGTGATAAAGGCCTTCTACAAAAAAGGGTGAAATTAATTTTCCTCATTATACAACTGACAAGTAAGCCAAATGAACAACTCAATAGACAGAATAAACAGAGATCCAGTTAAATGTATAATCAACAGCTTTTAAACAATTTGAAATAATCACTAAACACTCAGTTGTATTTCACTGAATTCATAAATTGATCATTGGTAAACCAGCAGGAGAAACTTGAAAGCACAGGATTTCCATTTTGTCCTGGATGTGGACTCACTAGTCGTGCGCATCAATCACCGCCGCTGTTAGCAATCGAACACAGGATCTTCGAACTCATGTGCAAACGATTATACTATACATCACTAAGACGGAATCCAACAATGTTATTGTCTGACTCTAATGCAAACAATGTATTGCAGAACACCACCTACTGTCCACGTCAGGTAACTGCCCCTCTCGACAGGGTTGAACTCTGTCAATCACAGCTTTTCACTGGAACTCCGAAAATGAGTTGGAAAGTGATTGGATTCTGGCTCAGTGGTCTGGAGCTTAAACGTTGTTATGAGTAACGTATTGATTGGATCATGGATGCGCACTGCTCATGCGTTGCACATTGAAACGAAACGTTCTAATGGTTGTCCGATAGCGATTGATTCATGATTTAAATGAAATCCAACAACCAATTTGCGAATAATAACTTTCCAAATAATGTACATTTATTCAGTTTCCCATTTCGCATTCTTTCTTTTATGCTTTCACCTAATGATAATAAAGCTTAGAAGTCTAGGAAGAAGCGGTGGATCTCAGTAGCATCTACAGAACTCATGGATGCTCGGAAACTTACCTGGCTCTGAACATGATGAACAACGGAGTCAGCTTGAGTGCACGCTGATAAAAAGCCTACGCAAAGATCGAGAATAATAGTGGGTTGCGAAAGCGAGGATGACGGAAAAAGCAGAGGCGATGGGCAGCAGTAGGCAACTATGCAGAATCATCAAGGAAACTGGAATAAGAAACCCAAATGTGGATGAGATTACCTCGGAAAAGGATGGTCCTCTTATCTTTTCTCAATCCAGGAGACTGAACAGATGGGCAGAACACTTTAGGCATCAGTACAACAGGCCTTTAGTCACACTTCGGTTACCCACGACTCCCGGTCATCCTGAGTGACAAATCGATGTACGTTCCACGACTCCTTATGAAGTTTAGAAAGCGATGAGAAACTGAAGTGAGGAATAGCAGTGGGTCCTGATAAATCGACCTCCGAGGTTTATTAAGGATGCTGGCCCAGTTTCAGGAGCTAGATTAACTGTCTTAGATAGAATCTGGGAACTGGACGCAATCTCATCCTAAATAATATAGTATCTAGAATATTGGACTCAATACTACTTCGACGCTTAACGACAGCTCGTGAAGAGCAGACTAGAGAAAACCAGGCTAGTTTTTGACCTGGACGTGGCTGTATAGACCACATCTTTACACTTTGACAGGTCCTGGAACACAGACACACGTATAGCCGTCCTACAATAGTTGTTTTCCTGGACCTTCAGGCGGCATTTGATTCAGTGGATCGTGAAGTTCTGTGGCAGTGTCTGTCATTGAAAGGTATACCGAAGAAGAACTTTAACCTTATACAGGCTCTCAACTCGATCAATACTGATTGGGTGAGAGCATATGGTGAACTGTCACCGGCATTCGTCTGTTCAAGTGGTGTCCGTCAGGGATGTCCACGTTCTCCATTCTTGTTTAATTTTATCATAGACATGCTCCTAGAATTAACCTTATCCTAGTTTGAATTTTAAGTATTCGAGCTTCTAACTGGTAGCTCGATCACTGACTCAGAATATGCCGATGACACAGTCCTACTTAATGAATAAGATGACAAAATGCAGGGTCTTCGGACAACCCTAAACAACAATGCACGCATATTCGAATTGCGGTTTTCCTCCTCGAAATGCGAAACATTGCTTCAAGAATGTGTTGCATCGGTACCTGAACTAGTGATAGGTATTGAAGTAGTCGAACGTGTTGACCGCTTCACTTATCTCGTGAGTCTCATCCTTGCCGATAACCTGGTGACTGATGACATCTCTGCACGGATACGGAAAGCTCGATTGCGCTTGCTAACCAAAAGGCGAGTGTACTGTTCAGCAGCCAGTCAAACGAGATTACGCCAACCGCTCCTACAACTAACAATACCTTTACTAGCTTTACTACTATCGGATTCGAACTGACGATTACATCTCCATGCCATTGTGGCATAGTGACATGAACTGTTGCACGTATGTACGAAGTTCTACGTTGCGATTGACTGATTGATTGGGTCTCATGTGATGAATTGAAATACTCACTGATAGAAAGAAAATGATGTTACTGGTATATTGAAAACTTGAAAAAATGCGCGTGGCCTAAGCGGGAGCAAATTAGAAGTATACTCTGCACACCAAGGCACTCAACCATAATAGATCTGTGTTAACATCTCTGACTGGGATAATAATCAAATTTGGTGTTGATAACATATACGCGTATCACATTTCATATGACTGAAAATGTATATCAGACTGAAACCTTAATCCAGAGGTTTTCCGAAAAATACCCTTGTTTTAATAACATTTAAAAGGTGCACTGCAATGAATGGTCAGCGATTTTCTTACTGATAAACAGAACATTTTGGATATACGGAACTAAACAATTTATTATTGGTCTCAATATAAATTAGCATGAATAATTCAATTCTATGGGAGGCCAATGATCAGAACGATAGTAAAATTGCTAAATGTGATGGTAGGTGATTTGATCCACATCCAACAGAAACTACACGATTGTACATACAATCTACTGATGAATACTAGGTAGTTCGAAGTCGCGGACGTCTTTGCTAAATTCGTTTAATCACCTGATTACTTACTTACTTACGCCCGTCACTTCTAATAAAGTATAGGCCGACACTAGCGAATTATTATTCTGTTCAGCGTCTGTTTAGCGAGATAGGTTTTCACGAGATTGGGTCGCTAATCACACGCACAACCGTTCTCCTTCATGAAGGCTTGGGACCGGCAGTAAAGCCAGAAGGCCTTCAGGCAGTTACATAACTAAATTGAATCTTGACTAAATGAAACAATTTTGTCAACCGGTGTACATAACAAATGACTTTTACTAAACTAAACTAGTTTCTTCAACCATTCGTTCATTATGAGAAGAAGCCAGTTCCAAAACTGACTGCGAATCATTGAAAACATTCACAACGAAAATTAGAAAATCAAATTTTCAAAATAAATAATTTCTTTTCCCATTATCGAGCTATAAAGATTGTTGTTCATCGTTGAAATCATGATAGTATATCACTTGTAGACCACCATTAGCGTTCACGCACAAGACCGTAGATCGCACTATTCGATTTCGGTAAGTTGTTGATATGAGTCAGTTACCGGAACTCGATTCTTGGTTTAAATTATAAATAATCAGTAAATACCAACTATAAACTAATAATGATACTAAAATTATTAATATATATAATAATATTGTTGGGGACGTTAGACCCCCAGATTCGCTTGATAATGCCGTATTTTGGTTTTCACGTTTCGCCAGCATGGGCGGATCAGATGACCTTGAGATTTCAATTCCCATCAGCAAAATCAATGGCTGTGATTGGCTGCAGTGTATTTTAGTATGCTATTTTCTTAACTGTCTCAAGGACGTTCTTATGTTGTATAAATAAACGAGAGTTGCATGCTTGATTGTAC